CTCCTTGATCTTCACCAAAGTCCTCCTAATTCCCAAATGTCCTCCAGAAGATCCATCATGGAACGCTTTTAATACATCCCTTATTTTTGAACGAGGCACCACCAATTGCAAATGCTCGTCCTTGCCGTTTGTTGATTCCCATTTCCTGCACAGAAGTCCGTTATGCAGCGTAAGGCTTTTCCACTGTGCCCATAAACCTTTCGTTACCGCGCTATATTGGGCGACGTCACTCCAACTTGGCTTGTTACCACTTCGTAGCCACTCCAGTATTGGTTTAATATCTGCATCTCTTTCCTGTTCTAATTTCATCGCATCATCTCCCCATGCCTCGTCAACAGTATCAGTCCTTATCACCTTAAGAAAAGCAGTTTCCTTCTTGGCACAATGCTTGCAATCTTCCACGCATGGGCGTCTCGATAATGCATCTGCGTTGCCATGAATTCTTCCGCCGCGATGTTCGATTTCAAAGTCAAATTCCTGAAGTTGTTCCAACCATCTGGCTACTTGGCCTTCGGGATCCTTAAACTGAAGCAGCCATTTCAAAGCAGCGTGATCAGTTCTGATCAAAAATTTCCGTCCCAGTAAATACTTCTTGAAATGGTGCAGAGTTTTGACTACGGCCAGCAATTCCCTCCTGGTCACGCAATAATTCCTCTCCGGCTTAGATAGTGACTTGCTGAAGTAAGCAATAACCTTCTCCTGCTCACCATCGCGTTGTGAAAGGACACCTCCTATTCCAATATTGCTGGCATCCGTATCAACTACGAATATTCCTTTCGCGCTGGGGTATCCGAGAATTGGTGTGTTACAAAGCCGTTCTTTTAGTTTTCGAAAGGCTTGCTCACAATCCTCGTCCCAGATAAAGGCACGTTTCTCCTCTGTCAATCGATGCAAAGGCTTGGCAATGTCCGAGAATCCTTTCACAAACCGCCGATAATACGAGCACAATCCAAGAAATGCCCGAACTTGCGTTTTGTCTTTAGGTGTTGGCCATTCCTTAACAGCGACAGTTTTGGCTGGATCAGTCTCAATTCCTCTCTCAGAAATAACATGTCCTAGATAATTCACTTCGCGCTTGAAGAAAGAGCATTTCTTTGGACTCAACTTTAAATTTGCTCCACGCAGCTTGTCGAGTACCTTTTCCAATTTTCTTAGATGATCGTCAAAATCCCGTCCAACAATGATGATGTCATCGAGGTAAACTAGGCAGGTTTCGCCCAGCAGTCCCGCCAGCACCTGTTCCATCAAACGCTCAAAGGTTGCCGGTGCATTGCATAATCCAAATGGCATCACCTTAAATTGCCAGAGTCCCTTCCCAGTTGAGAATGCGGTCTTTTCCTTGTCCTTGGGATCCAAATCCACCTGCCAATAGCCACTTTTCAGATCGATCGTTGAAAACCATTTCATGCCACTCAGTGTGTCAAGTGTGTCATCGATTCTTGGTAACGGGTAGCTATCCTTCTTGGTTACATCATTCAATCGTCGATAGTCTACGCAAAACCTCGTTGAACCATCTTTCTTCTTGACAAGCACGACAGGTGAACACCAAGGGCTAGAAGAGGGCTCTATCACGTCATTTTTCCTCATATCGTCAATCATTTGTTCAACCTCTTTCTCACGAGCGAATGGTATACGTCTGGGCCTTTGACGAATTGGCATTGTATCACCTGTGTTTATTTTATGCTTCACCAAACCAGTTCGGCCAATATCACCATCGCTTCTTGAAAACACATCAGAGAATCGAAGAAGTAAATTTCTAGCTTTCATAGTCTCCACTTTTGTCAGACTTTTGTTTTCGTCTAAGATTTTCGTTACAAAGTCTATTCCCGTACTGTCCTTCTTCACAAGATTTTCCGAGCATTTTCTTATCCAGGCCACTTCTTCCAATACGCCCACAGGCTCTCCTTCTTCAAGCGTAATTTTTGAATCACTGAAGTTGAATACCGGAATGCGGTTGACATCAGATGACCCCACGACAGTTCTTGCCGGTAGCCATGAGTTTACGTGTTCCGATTTATCAATCACAGCGCACCTTCGAGGTAAACTTCCTTCCCTCCTCCTAGGTAATGCAATTGGTACGAGCGTCTGTGATTTTGGTGCAAGAACAGTTCTTCTTAAACAGCAAACTTTTCCCAGGGTTCCACCCTTCATCGGAATTTCCTCAGCTCCACATAGTAATACTCCAGATTTTAAGTCGATGTTACACTGGTGCCCTTGCAGGAAGTCAAGTCCCAGGATGCAGTCATCCAGAATTTCGGCCACAATAACCTCATGTCGATAAACACGTTCCCCAATTTTGATTGTTACATGCAGTTTTCCACTTATCGGTATGCACTGGCCGGTAGCTGATTTCATTCGTAGGCCAACAATTGGTTTAAGATGTTTCCTGATGTTTTGCCCAAACAGCCGAACATTTATCACCGTCCTTGAAGCTCCAGTATCTAATGTTAGCTGACTGTTTTTCCCATTTACTTGACCGTCTATCACCAGTGTATTTCCATCGTTGGTTTGCTTGATATAGATTGTTGGGGTTGTTCCACTTCCAGCCATCGCCCACCCCGCAGCCTTGGCTGGATTTAAGTTTCCCTGCTGGTCAGAAGTTGAGACCGCCGCGTCCTGGCGGTTCATCTTCTTCGGGCAGTCGCTCCGTATGTGCCCACGCTCTCCGCATCCATAGCACATGAAGTTCCGACGGCGTGGAGGTACCTGCTCCGTTGTCGTCATTTCCCGCAGACCTAAGGTACGGGGGTTGCCACGCACGGCTTCCACTTCCAATGCATGGGCCAGAGCTTCTTTCATGTTCTTGTGATGGCCCAGATGAACAGCAGCTCGTACTTCGGGGTCCCGAATACCGTCAATGAATGCTTGGAGAAGCGTGCCTTCAATCATTGATGGAGTCGACCGGAAAGCTCGACGCACAAGTTTCTCGATTTCCACGGACCATTGCTGTAGGCTCTCATTAGCACGCTGAGTACGCTCTTTTAATTGCGCTCTGTACACGTGCTCGAGGTGGCTGTCTCCAAAACGTGCCTCCAGTGCGTCGAGGAGGGCACTAAAGCTGAGATCCCCACTTGCGCCGATAGCTTCCAGCACTGAGAGCGCTTGATCACGGAGGGCCAGGGTGAGGGCTGACTGTGCTTCCTTCTGAGTCCAACCATAAGCCTCCATAAGTGTCTCGAACTGTAGCTTGAACGCGGTCCAGGATGTTGTTCCGTCGTAATGGGGAATCTTGAGCCCTTTCGTTGCGCTTGAGGCCGCATTTGGGGCGTCAAAAACGGCTGCAAGACGGCTTCGGCTCTTCAAAGGGCTTGGGCTTGTCATTTCCTGCTTGATTTTGGAGATCTCTTCTTCCACTCTCTCCTCTATGGCCATGACGCGATGTTCCAACTTGCCTAACCCTTCCTCCACTTCCTGTACCCGTTCGACAGCCTTTTGCAGTCCCTTCGTGAAATCCTTATGCATCTCTTTCAGCTCCCGTAGCTGCTCCGCCTGACAGTGTGCTTGCTCCCGTAGCTGTTCTGCCTGACAGCGTGCTTGCTCCTCTTGGCGGCGCGCTTGCTCTTCTTGGCGGCGCGCTTGCTCTTCTTGGCGGCGCGCTTGCTCTTCTTTCAGCTCCCGCAGCTGTTCTGCCTGACAGCGCGCTTGCTCTTCTTGGCGGCGCGCTTGCTCTTCTTGGCGACGCGCTTGCTCTTCTTGGCGGCGCGCTTGCTCTGCCATCATTTGCTGCAGCTGTAGCAGAAGATCCACCTGCACAGGCTTGGCTTCTGCATCGCTGGTTTGAGCTGCAGCACCCTCTTCCCTCACACGCTGCGCTTCTGACATTGAACAGGTACTCACTCCTCTTACGTCCTGCGGCACTAGCGGCATTTTTCTCCAATCCCACTTCTGACACCAAATGTTACGTGCCTGACGTCACGTTCCTGACTATGCGGGCTTGGGTTACGGGATTGGATGAAATGAAACACTAATACCGGTTTTCAGACTTTCTATTGCACTTAAGTTACAGCGTCCACGGAGTTAAGTTATCGGCGTTCCTCTCCAGCAGAATCCGGCCGACTGACACAACTTTGCCGTTCACGCTGACTTAACTCACTTAACTGACTGCACTTCACTATTTCACTGCACTTCACTATTTCACTCACTTTTCTTCTTTCTCACTTCTTCCTTTTCTTCCGAATCGCTTTAGACTTAGAACTCAACTGCCAGCGGTGAGCCGCAGTTCCGCTTATATACCCCCGGTCAGGTTCTGGAACATTCAATTTCGTTATTCTTTTTGATCGTCATGCCTCCAGAACCTTCCAATAATTTCGTTATTCATTTTTATTTATTCTCCTTCTCGCTCTTTAATTTTTCATTTCTTTCACACAAATAATTCCAGAAAGTTCGACAAAACTTCTATAAACTAAAAAACTTCATGTTTACGGCGGGACTCGAACTCGGGGTCTCTGTGGTGTAATCCACACGCCTTACCGATTACACCAACTCGTGTTGACAATTCACGACGAAATTTACAATCTCTAGGCAACGTTTGACAACCATCCATTGACGTCATGATGTCAAAGAGTTTGAACCACTTTTCCGTCACAGTATGTAGGATGAGGTAAAAAGCGCTTGTGAACAAGGTTGTTGGGACCATACAATTTAATGAATGATGGTTCCCTCGAGTAGGGTCACATTTCCTCACCTCTTTAGTAGAATATTACCCACAGGTAAAGACATTTCGACTGACCTCTGTTTTATTTTTATGTCTGCCAAAATCTCGCTGTGATTTTTCGAGGGGCAGCCTTTTTTATGTAAAAATTCGCATTTATTTTTCAACTTTTTGCGTAACGCTCATTCACCTTATTGAGATAAAAAATATCGCATGAATTCATTTGTTTGACACATATTTATGAATAAAATTTTGTAAAAATGCATTAATTTGCTAGGTAGATGAAATATTTTTTTTTTCTTTTAAGTTTTATATTAAATTCCAGTTTCCAAAACATGTGACGTCTTTAATGAACGAAGACAATTACTGGGGCTGTTTCTACGTCTATCCCGATCTCTATGCAGATATATTCTCTCCAGTAGTAAAGATACGTGACATACAAGATGTACCGGAGCTGGTTGGGGGCGAACTTACCAGGGACATGGTCACCGCTTGCCTGACGTACCTCCAACGCACTCCTATATTGGGAGACCTTGTTTTCATCAAATTGGATCTCTCATCAAAGGTATAAAGAACAAAAAAAAATTCTTAAGTCACTGCTTCATTGCCATAAGAGTAAAGATACTTACGAGAACAAAACATATATATTCAACAGGACTGTGATTTAGTTTGATAAATCAATACGCAAACACATTTGCTTTCCCAATCAAATGCTTTGACCTACAGATTCCAAACATTTGGTACTTGCAAGCTACGACAAAGTACAGATAGAAGCTATACAAGCAGTCCAAAATATACAGGGTGTAAAAAGACACTTAACGAAGCCGTTAACTACGTATACCGCAGTTCTAACTAAGTAGTTTTACGCTAAAATTATCACTGGGAAACGACTTTTATTTTTAGGTATCAAAAAAAAAAAAATTTTTATTGCGCGCAATGTAAAGCAAACGGGCTTCGTGTCATTGTGTGCATAGGTTCACAGCTTAGCATTAAAACGCTGTGATAAGTACGTAGGTCGACGTTTTACTTCGCAACAACAAAACAGTTCTGTAAAATAAAAATCCTACTGTGATGCACGATATTTTTTGTGCGGGTCTGCATTTATTTATTACGTACATTACTGTTCGTAACTTCAAATGCGTAATTTATTTAGAAAAATTGAAAATTCAGGTAATGTTTGTTTGGAAAAAAGTTTTGTAATAATACTTAGAATTCGATTGCGCAAAAAAATAAAAATTAAAAATGCATCTTTGACCTTCAATATCTCGAGAACCCGTGGAGTCCCAACTATGGTCTTAAAGAAAAAAATGATCCAAATAATGGGGAGAATACGTGGCTTTCGGCTTCGTTAAGTGTCTTTTTACACCCTGTATTTGCCAATTAACACATTGACACTGCGCCTTACCTTACCTACTTGAGCTACAGATACAAGCAGCTCAACAAATACCTTTCGAATTTCTTTATTCAATTTTCATCTTTAATTTCCTTATATAAAGTCAATAATCCAATCAAAACAAATATAAATTCGGGTAGTTTGATCTGCTGCTGTCGTTACTAGAATAGACCCGTAGGCTATTTAGGCTAGCCAATGTCTTTATTTGAATAGTCCCAGAGATCAGCCCGCATCCTAGAATAACAAATTCTCATGAACCTTGATCCACAATCAGAACTGACAGGCGGCTTAGTTATCTCATCTCTTGTCTTGTAAACAGAGATTTATAGAATACGGGTAAGGTATTTTGGTTTGAATTTTATTACTCAGACAATTTTGGTTGGCTTTCATAGGGTTGGCACCACTGTTGGTTTTAAACCTGCCAGTTCAGTTTATGTTGAAACAAATATAGTGGCTACGATCATAAAATTGGCATAACATTACAGTGATTTATTTTAAAACAAAGAACGATTTGCTCGCCTAATCTATATATATAAAAAAAGTTGAGTTAGTTACTCCACTTATAACTCAAGAACGGCTGAACCGATTTAGCTAAAAATTCGTAGGGAGGTACTGGGAGAAGGACATAGGATAGGATAGAGTAGGTAGTGTAGGTTAGATAGAGTAGGGTAGGTAGAGTAGGGTAGGTAAATTAGGGTAGGTAGGGTGGGTAGAATAGGGTAGGGTAGGTAGAGTAGGTTAGATAGAGTATGGTAGAAAGTGTACGGTAGGTAGATTAGGGTCGGTAGTCAAATGACGGGAGCGACGCCGCGGGTCAGAGCTAGTATACTGATAAAAGCGTCGTCAACGTTGCCGCAACTGTCCTGTTGTGACTTGAAGCTAGTGAAGCTTTTCTGAGTTAATTGGCAAAAGCCGCAATTTCTAATAAAAAACTTAAGGAGAATATAAAAAAAACTAATTCAATTTATAACAATAATTCTGTTATGGCATTTACATATATTTAAGTAACCACATTGTAACATTAATTAAATGATTTATTACAAAATTTACTTCCTTCTATGAGATGCTTCTATATCATATATGATTTTTCAGCATTTAATGAAGATTGATGTTCTGCAGCACTATAAATACTTAGTGTATTTGAACCTGTCATCAAACTTGCTAACGGAACTGACAGTATTGTCCCATCTTCCATACCTGCAGTTTTTGTCAGTAGATTTTAATAGGCTCTCAACGGTTTTGGACTACAAAACACGTAAGTGCCGCGTTAATACTATTTCAAATATGAATAACCTTCTAGATAGTTAACGAAGGACATCCAGAAGATGACCAGATGGCCTGATTAAGAGATACAAAGGTCGTTTCCAATCAGCTTATCTGGAAGTCATCGAGTTGAGACTCTAAGAGCCTGTGTATGTGCAGGGGAGACGTTTTGTGCCTGATATAATGATAATGATGAACCGCGTTTCGATAGTTCTTTTATTTTATTGTGAAACTCATCTGATGAGATTATCAGATTCTCAAGACGTCATATACCTTATGTGTGCAATTACGCACCTCAACATAGTAACCTTCTCAAAAAACTTAGCCTTCAACTTTCCTTCATGTTTTAAAACCTTTGATGTTAACACTTAAAATCATCACATCATCATCAATCACCATTGACAAGCACAACCCACCTGTAATAATGTAATGACCAAAATGTCTAGAAGAAGATAACCGACTCTATAAAGTTGACAAAACAACTAAGCAATGGAACAATGTAGTTCCTAAGTACACAAATATACAGCATGATCGATGTTTACACATACCCTGTTGCTATACAGTCTGTTACACATTCCGCACAAACTTGAACTGTTTGCGGAAATGTAGACGCAAACTCTTGGCACATGTTACCCTTTTCAATTTTCAGCTCAATGGTTCCTTACCGAAGTGCACTACAAATACAATTCGGTTAAACGAATTAGAGATTTGTCAGCATTCTGGTCGATAACTGTGCTGGATCTTTCGCATAATAATATCAAGGCAATAACGGGACTGCAGAATTTAGTGTATGTAACTTTTTCACTTTTTCCTGAATTTACAGCGTGCAAGTGCTTAGCCATGAAGCAGGTAAAGCAACTGGATTCTTTTAAATCTCCTTTAGATTGGAAATCTCCTTTAGATTGGAAATCTGAGTCTTTTTTGGTCTTGAGGCACCGCGGCGTCCGTCCAGAATGTGAGACACCGCGGCCTCGGCCCAGACCAGGAGAGAGAACGGAAGGTTTTTAGTCAGTAAGAATCTGACACTCTCTCTCGTCTTGCCCTGGGCGGAAGAAGTCATTTGATGATTTTCCCCTGACAAAAAAGGGGTCTTATTACTATCGTGCAATCCTTGTTACTTCTAACAAATTTGTGTACTAAGATTACATTCAAAATGTAGTGAAAAGCAAAATTTTACGTTTTACTTATCGAAAAACATCGAATTCACTACCGAACTTAAATAAATAAATCTTTTATTCTGGTCTTTGGTATGGGATCTATCTGTCTCGCCTTTCAGTTTCCTACGGCGATTGGACTTATCATTCAACCACATCCAACGTCTAGAGAATTTGAACCACCTGCGTCTGCTCTGGCTAGATGTGTCTTATAATAATATATCTAGTTGTGAGTTTGGACCTAACAGTGGACTTTGGACCTTATTGCATCTCGAATATCTCAATCTGAATGAAAACAATTTGACGTCAATGAAAATGTTTTCTTATTGCACTAGGTGAGTTTAATATATTTTTTATGTCCTATAATTTTTTCTAGTTAAGTTTCATGTTACTTCAAACTATTTACTTTGAATAGAAAAGTCATTTGACATTATTAGAGTATTTTTTACATATTTACCTATAAGTCTCAGTTTAGCTTGTTGTTCTATAATTAATAGGTAAATTCTATAATCAGAAATATATGAAAAATTATCAAACAACCGCCAAAACAGATAAAACCAAAATAATATGAGATATAAATGTAAAGTAAACACAAATAATACAAGGTCATTTTATACTGGTAAAGTATATTTCGGTAATGATGTCACTCGGCCCAACCACAATGCCCAATCTGCGCTGATTCAACCGGTGCGCTAACGAATGAAACAAAGGATGCACATTACGTTTCCATTCTACAGAAGGCGTAGGCAGCGACACCAATAAATGGTGTTGTTTGTATTAATCATTGATAACATGCTTTTGGGTACTAAAATTCAAAACTTTGTGCTGAAAAAGATGATAAAGTGATATAATAAGAAATGTTATGGAAGCAACGAGTGAACGAGCCAGCGAGCGAACGAGCAAACGAACGAACGAGCGAGTAAACACATGAGCGCATGAACGAACGGACTATCGAACCAACGAACGAGCAAACGAACGAACGTGTGAACGAAGAATAAACAAACTTAACAGGTTTATAATATTGGTACCTATAAATTTTACACTATGTTGTACACCATAAAAAATATACAGAATAAAGACCAAAATATTGTACTATGGGCCGGATTTCGGACACAGGGTAAAATAATGATACCTTATGCATTAATGATCAGCCGGGGTTGCGGGACAAAGAAGAAACGGATGGGTTTTTAGTCAGTAAGAGTCTGACACTCTCTCCCACCCGACTCTAAAAGCGAGAAGTCAAATGATGATTATGAAAAAAAAGCATTTATAATACCTAAATATACCAAATAAATACTGAATTATACCAAAATAATGTGTGTGTGTGTGTGTGTGTGTGTTATTTTATATACCGTTTATTGGTATTATTCATTGCGTACGTGAGAACAATAAATATTTCAAAAAGAATTACAAGAACGTATTGCTTTAGTGGATATAAAATAGTACGAATGAGCAAAATAAATGAATTTACTGTTTGATCCGTTTCGCTTGTTCTGTTTCAACGCTACTGTATGTGGTTTCCATTCTGTTAATGTTTTATTTATTTCACGTACACATCGCTTCGATGTTTCATAATATACTTACTGGGTCCTCAGCAGCAGAAAATAGGGAGTAAGAAAAATTGCTGTTTTAAAACTGAAAGTAAAGATGGCGTCAATTTTTTTTTCTCTTATAACTAATTTGTGATCGTAACATTTGCTACGATTTTTACTTATTGTTCAAACACGCATTTATTTAATAAGCTTTATGCACAATACATGTGTTTTTATATATGTAGGTAGGTGGACTTAATGCCGTTGGCATTATCTACCATTCCGGCCTTTCGATCATTTAAATCCACTCACGTTTTGTATTCATTCTTAAAAACCATCGAAAGGGACTTGTCGAAATAGGTACTTTCTTTGTAATGCATAATTTTACAAAAGAATTACTTAGTTGTATTATATCATCTACTTTATTTACCAATTAATAGAGTCTTTCGTTTCAATTCAGACTCCGAGAGCTTCATCTGCGCAACAACCGGTTTAGCATTTTGCTCGAACTTGCAGTGTACATGAGTCAGATGCGAAGACTGCTCATACTCGATCTTCGAGCAAACCCTATTTGCTCGATACCTGGCTATAAAAGTGTTGTAATCAACACATTTTCCATGCTTCTCAGCTTAGACGCTGCGGAGCTCGATCCCGTCGAGCAGGTAATAAGGCAAAACGTATTTTATTCAAAAATGGAACACTATCTAGATCAACACGTAATTAATTTACAAGAAGTGTAGTAGTATATAAGACAGACATTCCGTCAGTCTAAATGTAGAAATGGGTATTTCAAAATTATTGTGAAATTTAACATATCACTTGTCAGTCGTACAGGCCTTGCCCATGTCACTCTACAATACACGTATGAAATAAAATACTCACATACATTTTCAATGACAGGTGAGTGATAGCTGGAGGTAAATTGTGAATATACATTACTAAAAACCCAAGCTACACGGACAATTCCCTCTCTAAAACACCGCTCACAAACCGTCCCGAACACAATGTAATATGAAAGTTGAATGTTGGAAATTGTGCGGTTTCCAGTCGCGCCTTGTTATAGCAAAACCCTAATATTCAGCGTCAAACCACAACCGAAAACCGCTCGTTCAAACTGTGCGACCTTAGTGACCGCATAGTCCCGAGTCACGGTGGTCAGGAATATCTTACTGTCACCACATTTTCACGTCAAATTTTGACAAGACGAATGACACACTGTTTATCTTTTACGTAGAGTCGATTAAATACGTCCAAGCTCTAAAAACACAACTAAATATAAGTAATTAAAAAACCGTTATCAAGACGTGTAATATAATGCTGTAAAGGAAACATGAATGAGCAAAAAAATAAATCTAAATTATCACTAATCTGTACTTAACCTTTGACACCAAAACCCTAAACAATGACATATGTATATTACTGTCTTTACATATTACTGTCATACATGAAACCACACGACGAACTATTCACGATTAGAGTAGGTAATAATTAGGCAAAACTAACTGACATCAACTATAACAATCTGACTAGAAGTGTGGCATACTCTAGTTCACATTTAGCACATTCTTGACATAAACTTTGTTATCCATATCCAGCGCACGCTGAGGATGGATGTCAACCCAGACGTAACTATGCACGCCACTCGAAAGTTACTGCGGCTGATCTACATCCAACAACTTTCGAAGGCTCGGATCTCACCTTACATTCCCCCCGCGGATTCTGTGGATGTGCCCCTCGTCATACTAGTAGGACACGAGGGGGTCGGCAAAGGTAAATTTGTATAAGTTTTAATTGCTTCTAAGAACAGATAGTTAGTGTGGAATAGAAGTCTTATTTGTAAGCAATATGAATATCTGCATACAAAGTTCATCCAGCTTTAGCTTATCAACAAGAAAGAAAGACACGTTCATTTAACTTCATTTCCTTTATTTATTCTATTTCTTTCTTATAAACTTTAACTGTATTTGCATTAATTTGTTCCATTGCAATTTAAAAAATAGACTCAAATATGATAGCTTTTATTAGACTAAATTATATTATACTCTCTAAAAATTGAACCTAATCGATTATCTGTTACTAGAGTACGGCTATTCAAAATAACATAGCTACTTAATTATTTACATCGAGGAAACATGTTTTTCTTGTGAAGGTTTGAACTTTTTAAAGAATGGTTACTTAGTAACATGATAATACGGTAGTTTCCAACTAGTCAAATTCAATACTTTTATCGACATGTCAAAAACGATACTTTTCTATGAAATTTGTATAAAAAACTGAGTTAAGACGTAATAGTACTTTTGGATCAAATAGCGTACTTTTTTCTTAAAAATTAACTTTAAAATATCTAAAATTTAGCGTATCAATCGATTGATGAATAAAAGTATAGTTATTTTTCAATATAAGTAATTTAATATTATTTTATAAGCTAGTAATAGGCCTCTTTGCAACGCCTGAAAAAGGCCGTTAAGCTGTGCCTATCATTTTAATTTAAGATCCTTGTACCCACATTTAGATTCAAATAAAGAATTTGAATTTGAATATTTCATTGTATTGAAACTACCCAATTATAAGCACATGTTTGTATCAAATTTTTTTTTTAGTAATTTAGAATTCCGCTAGGTGGCGCTGTACCTATGCACACGTAATTCAAACGCTCCGTATTTAGATATCTTTAAAATATAGAAATAGTGCCTAGAAAGTTAATAAAAGTGTAAAAACCAATAAAACATTATCTTATGATTTAGTGTCAGTGTTTTCCAAGAGATTTGTGCATAAACAGTGAAGCAAAAACATAAACTTAAAAGCGTGACTCTCAATACTAAGTGAATAATATTAATATTTAGATACTTTTACTTCGTACTCTGAATAATAAAATAAATACTTCATACAAAGTGCACAAACTACAATATAAAGAACATTAAATCAGATGAGATAAACCAAACAACAAACTAAAAGTGAAAAAGTGATGTAAAAAAAATAACCGCCAAAAATTCAATTTACCGTAAACATAAAAGACATTGACCTTCTATTTGCTTTATTCCCAAAATCTGTCAAAATAAATAAACCGTTAATTTCGTCACAATTCTTAGTGTTGGAATGGCAGAGTGTACCAAGTTCCTACATTTGTGAAAGTTAGAACCGTTGTAATGGGAGCGGGATCGATCCCTAGTGCCAACAATACATTTTTCGAAAATTAAAATTTTTTATCTGCTTACTCTTGTATAACATTAGCACAAAGAGGAAAAAGAGTATTTTGTATTATTAAAATAATAAACAAATACAATAAAACACTAACGCCCGGTTTCTGAAAGGCTTGTCAACGCTAAAATTAATCTCCTGTTAAATCTCTTGTCAAGTGTCAATTGGGTTGCATAAAGCATGATTAATCAACTAATTTGACCATCATGTCAGTTGACATGGCTGTCAAATCAACCCAAGAATCGAATGATTATCGCAATTTTGGGTTTCTGAAACGCTGGTCAAGCCTTGATCATAGATTATTCGTCTGTCAAAAGCTCGGTCAACTAATCGGTGCTTGTTGGCGAATTAACTTACGAATACAACTGATTTTTCACTTGAGTCTACATTTTCTCTTCAAATAAGTATATTTTTTTTAAAGTATGTTAAACAGAAATATTTATTACGAAATTATATTTGTAATAATATCATTTTCTTTGTAAGTGTAAATTATTTGATATCTTGATTAACTTACATTGATTCTGGTTTTAGATTACGATAATGTCTCTTTCGGATAGTAGCAATATGAGTATCAACACATCCAGCAGCGATAAAGATTTAAGACCAGAATAAATCCGTTTGATTTCTACAATGAAGGGGAATTTATGAATCGGTACCAACCAACGGACAAAGGCGTTTGTGCTATTACTAGTTAACATATTAGAACCGAATATAAAACAGTTCACTTTGAGGAACGATTCTATCAGTGCTTTGGATAGGTGTTACTGACAATAAGCTATTACCATGCTACATGAGCATTTCAAATTACGGTTGCTGAGAGTGCACAAATCTACGGCTTGTAGAATAATAACAAAAGAATCTGCAGCGATTACTATGCCCTGTAAACATGAAGATTGCACAAGGATAAAAACAGAATTCTACAAAATTAGCTCTTTTCCAAATCTGATCGGGGCATTTGACTGCACACATGTAAATATACAGTCTACTGGTGGGCGAGCTGAGCTGTACAGGAACAAGAAAGGATATTTCTCAGTATATCTTAGGATACTTCAAGAACGAGGGCCGGGCACGCTATAATAGCAGCGGTAAGATCTCTCTTTGAGGAGTGGCTTGAGAGACGCCACGGCGTCCTCACCTTCCGCCTGACGCAGGTGCTTACCGGGCACGGCAGCTTCGGTAGGTTCCTGTTTCGGATCCAGCGTAAGGAAATGCCCGAGTGTAGTCATTGTGAGGACCACCTAGAGGAAATGGAGGAGCATTCGGTGGCGGTATGCCCTGCCTGGGCTGAACACCACCGTGAACTCAGGGAAGTGATCGGCGGCGGCGACCTCTCGCGCCCGGCCTTAATCGAGGCCATGGTTTATAGCACGGAGTAAGAACAAAGGTTTATAGCGAAAGGAACTGGGAAGTTATCTCCTCCTCCTGCGAAGCAGTTATGCTCGCAAAGGAGGAGGCGGAGCGCGCGAGGGAACTATCCTCCTCGCGCCCCAGCCGCCGCAGGAGGCGACATTCCGGGCGTCGGGGATCGAGAGATGATCTCCGGCCACCGTAAACGCGGGTCTGCGGACGGCGAGTAAGGGTAGCTCGCCACCCGACCAGAACCAGACCCGAGCGTACGGCGCGTAGTGTTCCGCGCGCGCCTCAAAGAGCCCATAGACCACCACAAACGGGGCCCCATAGGGCTGATGTTCAGCCGGGGTTGCGGGGTAAGCGCAATGAGGCACCGCGACCTCGGCCCAGAGCAGAAGAAGGAACAGGGGAGTTTTTAGTCAATAAGAGTCTGACACTCCCTCCCGCCGACCCTGGGCGAGAGAAGTCATTTGATGATTTTCCCCTCAGAAAAAAAAGGATAGTTCAAGAAGATATTGGTGCTCTTTCAGTGATAAATGAAAACACTTCTGTGCTCACATCTTTGTTGTTGACTCATTTTAATTGTTAAGTAATATTAATGGTTTGTATTTTTAGGCGAATACAAAGAAATAACCATATTATTAATATATTTAATTATTAGTCTTTATAAAAAATATAATATAACACTTGAAATATAAAAACAAGTATATTATCTTACTTACATATATACATATTTAGTTAGTATAGTAACCTACCAATATTTAAATTAAATACTAATAATGTATATTACTTAACCAAATAACTTATTTTATTTCGAAATATATGCTGTTTTATAGTTAACCGATCTTCTAATAACTTCTTTTTTTATTTACATACTCCATCTTTATTTCATTATACTTCTTATTATTTTGTTTCTGAGTGTCTGCCTCTCATGTTTAAATTGTTTCCTTGATGTGCAAGTTAAATTACCTGTAAATAAATTTCATTAAAGTTGCAATAATTATTCTTAATACATTATTAGGTACATAGTTAAGAAATCAGGACAGGTATTTAATATATCATAATCTGGTAACGGTTACAATATTCTGACTAGCTAGTGTGGGCACTAAAAAAGTATTTTAAGATCAAAAACTTACATTTTTATTCTGTCTCGTAGTTCTTTTTAATTTCCATGGGCTGTGATTACTGTTTTTGGCTTCAAGACACTTCTGCATTACTTTTGAATTCATTCATTATGGTTTCCCGACCTTAATTTTTATTAGTACTAGATATAGTATTTGTGAACTGATTATCAATTATGTGCTTGTATCTGTAATAAAACATTGTGCGTATTATACATCAGTCTTGGCTGCAGCGCAGGATGTGAAGTATAAACAAAGATATTTAATACTTTTTAACAACAAGAGGTTTATAAAACGCTATAGGTAATAAATATATGTTTAAACTTTGACTTACTTCTGAACTAGTTCTAAAAGAACATGCCTTTCCCTTTCGATGAAATTCTTCCCTCGTTATGCCATTTTAAGGAAGTTTAGTTAGCATTTTATTGAAATTGTAACTTGATATTTAAATTTCGCAGAATTGTTTGACATCAATGACAGTCCGTAATTTTTTTAATATTAACATATTTGACAGATAAGAATGAACTATTGAACAAAAAAGAGCAGTGTGGCTATGACTAAAAATAAATCGCATGTCAAATCAAAATAATCATAGATTAGTTAATTATGCCTTGATCAACGTTTCAGAAACTCAAATTGATTTGACAGTCATGTCAAATTAATCGCAGTGTTAGTTAATCAAAGAATTGACAAGCCTTTCAGAAACTGGGTGTAAACTTGGTATTTAACCAATGATATACTAACGACATCTAGTGGCCAAAATGGCAACCAGAGCGAACGTTGCCAAAACCACCCACAAGATGCCAGTACTGGTAACTTGCTACAGATGCAAAAAATCTGTAGACGAAAAGAAAACTGCTTTGTGTTCTATTTGCAAGAACCGAATGGAACCGGATTGCGATGGTTATCCCTTACAAACGTACCGATTAAAAAGCCAAGAATCTAAAACTAAATGGCGTTGCAGTAAATGCACAAAGAAAACAGTTCCTAAAAATGTTCCTTCTCCTGATGATAACATATCAAATAATGTAACAGTGAGGAAAAAGCCCGCATACTCTATAAATCATCTACACACTGATATCTACAAAAATAAAAGAAAATTGTTGAGTCCTAATCAGGATTCACATATACTCAGTGATTATGACACCTCATGCGAAACTGACACCAATACCCCGAAAAGATTATTGACTGATAGCTTAGACGGCTCTTCTACTATTAAATCACCAATACTATATTACGAGATGCAAGATACAATAGCCCAGCTGACCACAAAGTTAGAATGTGCAGAAAATGCATTGGAATGTGAAACACTACAAAATAACGAGCTAAATAAACAAGTCGAAGAATTAACTAAAGAAATAAAGCTATTAAAGTCCATATGCAATTCTTCTACAATTATCGAAAGCAGCCCTATTGTCAATAATAAAAACAACAGACAATCTTTCACGAGTCAAGATATCTTTTCCACACCTACATCTGGGAGACTACCGCTGGACGTCGAAGATCACAGAACAGAAAATTAAGCAGAAGTGCCCCTACACTCTTTCAAAAGGAAAACCAGTGTCGCCAAAATCACACATTCGCAAATCAAATTGTCCATTACACACATAAAAAACAGCTATATAATTGGGTACAAAGTTGAAACGCAACTTTAGCAAATCATCTTCTAAATGTTGTTAAAAATTGAGTCTTATTACAATGACCGAAAGTTGTTATCATTTCACATGTCACAATCAATAAAGGCGTCTATCGTGTAAAAAACTTAAATAAAACAATTTACAAACGGGTTCAGCCACTCAATGCTAGATGGCGCTGAAACAAATTCATTCTATTCAAAACGCTAACTTCTTTGAAATAGATGTCATATTTGTATGCACTTGTACCAATAGACATTACTATTTTGCTACTCAGATAGGGCAGGGTATCCCAATATATCGATGTTATTGTATTCGTGTGAGCAATATAATTTATCGACACGATATACCTACAAATGATCAGTAATGAAAAAGGTTCTAATAGAAAAAAAGAAAAATATTAACATTTTTTGAAGATTTTATGTTTTTTTGGAGATGGTAAAGTTATTATTTAAAGATTTCGATTTTAACATATAAAAGCACTACGCGCTCCTACAAGTTTATCTCCTTTCCAACAAAAATAGAAATATTAAAATCGGTTCATAAATAACGGAGACGAACGAACAAAAAAAACATGTACGGTCGAATTGAGAGTCACTCTCCTTTTTGGAACTCTGATAAAAATCATGTACAACGTTATAAAATAAAAATGGTGATTAACCACCCGCACCTACCACAGACGGATGCACGCTGTGTGTGGTTAAAACATTGATGTGTCTATGCAATCTTAGTTAAACATTTATGAATTATACACAAAAATTGTCAAAAATCAATTTTCTGAACGATGATGATGAAAAATTATCGATATGAACCTATTTTACGAATATGTCGCATCCCTAAATGAGTAGCGTCGAAACTACTGGAATGTATTGTATATAACGTCACATAACGAACAAGTAGATTTAAACTTAATTATAATGAAAATAAGGCCCTTTATAGTTTGCATTGAAGTAATGAAATGTGATATTTACATTAAAATCAAATATATTTAAAATTAACAAAGGTTAATACTCAAAGATGATACGATACACCACCACAAGACTCATCTTTTTTTCTGCTTACTTTTTTGCAGTTGAAAACCGCACATTATGGCATAATTTCTAATATATTTCGTGTTTCTTAGAGACAACCATGACAACCAATCATGACAACGGATCGAACGATTCTGACAACAAATGTGCCAAAATGTTGTATATCTAGTCATCATGTTGGTTAGCGCGCGATGTCTGAGCGGCACTTCCACTGTATTTTCTATTCCGTGTCGAAGATCCTACCGAAACCACATACCGACACTTACATAAAACGATCGCCACATTACAAAAAGAACTCACCTGCGCCGAGCAAGAGATAAAAACCCTCAATGCACAAATACAGGTACTGGAGCAGTCTCTTAAAAACAAACAAGAACAACAGCAGCTAACTATAAAAACTAAAAAACCCATACAAGCCTCGCTATATGACGCTACGTGTAAGAATACTATCAGGGTCTTTGGCGCACAACAATGCGTCGGTCTTGCAGCAGCTCTTACTCGTTCCAGGGAGACCACGAGGTATGTAAAGTACGATGTAAGAGGCGAAACGATGCCAAACGCCCTCAGCGACACCATAGTGAAGAAATGTTTTAGCACTAAGTTATGTAATGATGATAAAATTATAATATGCTTAGGTGAAAATGATTACGATATGAAACATGTTCTATCTCAGCTAAAAATTTTTTTACAAACATATTGTAGTAATAATGTAATTGTACTAAATGTACGCAAAAGCAAATATCTAGATGTCAACGAGTTAAATTATCGAATTGAAAAAATCTGTAAACATTATAAAAATTCTAACTTTATTAGCTGTAAATATTATAATATGCCAAAACTTTGCAAAACAATTAATTACACCGTACATAGATTGTACTGATTATGAGAGTAAATATTTAAATCCTAGGGAAATTAGAAAAAGGTTAACGGGTATTAATCCAAGTACAATAACAAATAATAACTTAAACACCTATAAAAAGGGTACGATACCATATTATTATAAACGCCAAGAAAATCAATACTTGCTCAAAAAAGTTATCAGTAATACAAAGTCTACTGAAACATCTAAGAGAGGTACAATTCTTCATTATTTTCCTATAGTAAATAAAAAAAACGAAACTACATTTTTTCGTGCATAATGAAACAAACCCATTGGATATAAAGTTTAGGGTTGTTCACCAAAATATTGCTAGCTTATTGTCAAAACAAGAACTACTTGAAATTACTTTACAAGAACTACAAGAAAAGCACAACGCTCCAGATGTAATATGTCTCTCGGAAACATTTGTAAAAATGGGCCATGAAGGGTATGTAAAAATATTTAACTATGTAATGGCTGCTAATTACTGTAGGGAAAAAAGCAGAGGTGGGACTTGTATATTAGTAAAAAAAGGTATAACATATAAAGAATTACTATTCATGAAAAATTATGTTACTCTTAACATATTTGAGGTTTGCGGTATTGAGCTCACAAATTACAAAATATTAATTATCTGTTTATATAGAACACCATCCTCGGATCCAAATTTGTTTATACATAAATTGCACAATCTTATGCAAGAGCTTGTTAAAAAATACAAATTAAAAATACGGATTATTTTAGCTGGCGATTTTAATATAAATACTCTGAAAGGAGGTAGCATATGTAACGAACTAAAATATCTTGCCTACAATTATAACTTGAAAATTCACATCAACATACCTACTCGTAAATTAACTTGCATTGATCATATACTAAGTAACATACCGGACGCAACTGCAACCGTACTGCCTCTTAATCTCTCTGATCATGACACTGCCCAAATGCTAACGTTTCACGTAAAAAATAAACCCCGGAAGCAGGCTGAATACTTTATTTATAAAAGGGATTATAATCAATATAACTTAAACAAGTTTAGGGATTGTCTAGAAAAATTGTCATGGTCGGATACATACTTAAAAAATGATGTAAACGAAGCATTTAGTAGTTTTCATGAATTATTATGTTTATTTTACAATTTATGCTTTCCAAAAATTCGAGTAAAAATAAAAGATAATTATAAAAATAAACAGAATTGGATTAGTAAGGGCTTGAAGCAAAGCTGCAAAACCAAACGGACATTACGATATCTATACTATAAAAACAAAAATACTGTAAACAAAAATAAATATATATCTTACTCAAATATGCTAAAAAAATGTATAAACCACTCAAAAAGAAATTCGTGCATACAATTTATAAACAGCAGTAACAATAAATGCAAGGCCACATGGGCGATTATAAAAGATGAAATAAATTCCTCTAAAACTGCCGTTCATGTGGATAATATTAAGCAGGCAGATGTGGTTCTCACGGACCCTCAGGAAATCGCTACTGCTTTTAACAATCACTACACACACATAGAACACACAGCACCCATACCACATAACACTCATCACAAAATATCACAAATTAATTATAAAAGTAATCGGGGAGTAAGCAACACAATCTTTCTTAAACCCATGACACAAAGTGAAGTAAAACAGGAAATAATGACACTTAACAATACTAATTCAGAGGGCTATGATGAAATTAATACAAAAGTAATTAAAAAATGTATAAATGAATTACTAGAAATTGTCACATATCTGATAAATTTGTCGTTCTATGGCGGAATCTTTCCTGATGCATTAAAATTCTCTATAGTTAAACCTATATTTAAAAAGGGAGAAAAAGAATACCTGTGTAACTATCGACCGATAACCTTAATACCAATCTTATCTAAGGTATTTGAAAAATGTATGCATAAGAGACTTACGGAATTCTGTAGTAAATATAACATAATAGATAGGGATCAGTATGGTTTTCAAAAAAACAGATCTACAACTATGGCAACCTTTACTCTCATGCAAGAAGTGTTATCTAAAGTTAATAATAACTATTTAACTACAGGTTTATTTTTTGATTTAAGTAAGGCGTTTGACTTAGTTCCACGCAATCTCCTACTACAAAAACTAGAAAATAATGGTATCAGAGGGCCGGCTCTTCAATGGATAGAAACTTATTTAAATAATAGGCAGCAATGTGTTGCTATCAACAAACTTAATAAAAACCGGGAGATGGTTCAATATTTATCCGAGTACAAAGATAATAGATGTGGAGTGCCACAGGGGAGTATATTAGGTCCTATTCTATTTGTCTTATATATAAATGATATCAGTCACATTACAAACCATAAATGTACATTATATGCTGATGACATCTCTATTATAGTAACTTCTAATAAAAAAGATAACACGATTACTAACCATGAAATAGAAATAAATAACACAATAAATATAGTAATGAAATGGCTAGATGCAAACAAATTAAAAATTAATTTAAATAAATCTGTTTACGTTCAATTTAATAAAAGTAACAACAATAAATATAATATCAAGTTGAATATACACAAGATACAAGAAGTTACACAAACAAAGTTTTTAGGGTTAGTTATTGACGAACATTTAAATTGGAAAGCACACATAGATCTCATAACATGTAGGATAAATAAATTCGTATATGCTCTAAGACAAATAAAAAATATTACAAATACTAACACAGCAGTAATATCTTACCGTGCATATATAGAATCGTTATTGCGCTACGGACTATTAATGTGGGGTAATAGCACAGACATACATAGAGCTTTTATCGCGCAGAAAAAATGTATCAGAGCAATATATGGCCTACAAAATGACGATTCTTGTCAACCCAATTTTAAAAAACTTGGATTACTACCTTTACCATTACTCTATATATTTGAAACTTGTAATTTTGTGCATAAGAACATAGAATTATTTAAAACTGCAAAAGACATATATCCACGTAGCCGACGATATCCGGACAGACTGGTCCTAAGTGATGCACCCAGACTCACTAAATATAATAAAAGCTGTGTAGCTATGTCTATAAGAATATATAATAAACTACCATGTCAAATTAAAGCACTAAATATAAAACTGTTTAAAAAAAAGTTATACCACTGGCTAAATGAGCAAAATTTTTATAGTGTTAAGGAGTTTCTGGAATCTAAAGTTTAAAGATCCTGAACAAGTAAAATTGAATATTTGCATGCTATTTACGATGTAGCTAAAACATGATTGTACTTATTATTATTTCTTGTAACACCTTTATACCATGTTTTAATGCGAATAAATATATTATTATTATTTTGTATGTTCCTTTCCACTCACGGGACCACAGGGTCCCGGATTTTTGGAAGGCGTACGAGGGGCCGAAGCCAACTCGCAGAGGCCCTTTGAACAACTTTAATATATGTGAAATGGGACATCAGCCGGCAGTTATCCCTGTATGCACTATAAAAGTGCACCCAAGGACAATCCCCGGTTGATGGAGGACTATTGCGAAATGTGGTAAAAATTTATAAGGTTATGGGTATGGGTTGCTATGGACTAGTGGATGAAAACTATGGAAATACTATGGCCCCTGCCCCTGACCAATATTGATACATACGGATAAACAGGCAGGGGGTGACTGGCAAACTCAATTAATGGGCCCCCGGAAACGGCCGCTAGCATGTAGCGACACGGGGGCAACATACGTTGAGCTGCTTGGGGAAGGAGAGGCATCCCACGGCTATCAGAGCAATCCCGGAAGTACGGTCAAGACCCCTACCAGCATCTTACTGAGATACATCCTTCCCCCGAGTCTCCTTCAACTCCTACTCTTGCGAATCTCCACTCAAGCCAGCCAATTAATTATTATTATTATGTATGTCTTTACCAATCACGGGACCACAGGGTCCCGGTCATTTGGAAGGCGTACGAGGGGCCGGAGCCAACTGCGCAGAGGCCCTTTAGACAACTTTAATCTAAATGAAATGGGACACAAACCGGCGACTATCCCTGTATGCATTATGGGAATGCACCCAAGGACAGTCCCCGGTTAGTGTAGGACTATTGCAGATAATGGGAACAAAATAGAAGGCTATGGGTGTGGGTTGCTATGGGCTAGTAGGATAGGAACTATGAAAGGACTATGGCACCTGCCGAAACAATGTAATTTATACACGTAAAAATGGCAGGCGGAGACTCGCCAACTCACCGACCGGGCCCCCGGGAATGGTTGCTAGTAATAGCAACAGAGGGACAACGGAAATGTGAGTGGCTGAAGGGTGAAGAAACTGCCACCAGCTTTCTACTCAGATCATCTGCATCTGCCTAAGCATCCTGCATCACTGGCCCACTCGCCGCTTACGAACAGCTTCCACCCTCCGAGCAGGATCACTACTCTCGCGACTCCACTCTGGACGGCCAATGAAGGCAAGCCAGAGGTGGAAGACCTGTTCCTCGTCATCGTTCACTCCGACCAGCCAATGAAGGCAAGCCGGAGATAAGGAACGGTGACTCCTCCCTGGAGCAATCGGGATGATGGTAGCCCGCGGGATCGCTAATTCCCGTCACCTCGCCTCAAGGTGCCCTGCGGGCTTATTATTATTATTATTATAAAAAAAGGGTTGCAGATAACACCTTTCCTGTATACGATAACACAATTCAAGACACAATAGAAAGATTAAAGGCGCGTTTATTTTTTATTTTTTTATATTAGCCAAATCTCATTAGGGTTTGTAATAAAAAAATTATTATTAAAAAAACAAAATACCCGACTGCACACTAAAAAAAGAGTAAAACAAGCCCAACAATACAAATTTACTGAATATAATTTATAAATGTTGATGGAAAGCATCGCAGGCGGGGACCAACAGAGGCTTATTTATAGTCATTTCTGTTGTGCACCATTTAGCAGAATTTTCGTTGGTGGCGGTCAAGGTGGTCCCCGCCTGCGATGCTTTCCATCAACATTTATAAATTATATTCAGTAAATTTGTATTGTTGGGCTTGTTTTACTCTTTTTTTAGTGTGCAGTCGGGTATTTTGTTTTTTTAATAATAATTTTTTTATTTATAACTTTTTAGCTGTTTTTATTTAATGAAAATGTTGTAGATGAAGTATCGAAAAAATCGCTATTTAGAGACGACCGTCAACGACGTGTGCCCTTATGCGTGTGCCCGCATTCGGGCTGTATACTCGAGCATATCCCCCTCCGCACCGCGCCGCGCGCCGCAAGCCAGGCCACGCCCTATCTTTTTGCTTGCTAACGCATGAGTTGCTTTGCGTTGACGCAGAATTAACATGTTCCCGTGGGAATTTTGAGAAAAAACGTATCCTATATTAATTACTCCCGTGATTGAAATGAATCTAATGATACCGCATACATATTTTTTTAAAGGGAAATTTAGAAAAAATATTATTATGTCTTTATGCCGTGGGACTTTTAGGATAAAATGTATCCTATGACACTCCCGTAATCAAGACAAATCTAACGATACCTCATACATCAAAATCCATCAAGCCGTTTAGGCTACAGGAGGTCACAAAGGAACAGACATACATACATACTTACATACACTCGAAAAACATTACCCTCCTTCTTTGGCAGTCGGGTAAAAAGTTATATGGCAACGGTTATGATTCATCCAAGTTTGTACTATCTCGGATAAATCTGAGGTTTTTACAATCTATACTTCTATACTAATATTATAAAGAGGTAAAATTTTTAAGTTTGTACGTAGATGGTAATCCTCAGAACCACTGGTCGGATTTCCAAAATTCTTTCACTTATAGATAGTTATAATGTTCCTGAGTGCTATAGGCTATTAAACATCACGCTACGAGTAAATGGAGCCAAGCAGAGGGTTAAAGCTCGTGTTGCTAGTGTTATGTGAAAATAAAAAACGTCAATAAACAACTTATTACCTAGGTGATACTCCACCTTAACTATTATTATCACAAATCATTATCCTTCGGGGTTGTTAAGCATCTTAGTAACTTATTATTCAATATTTTTAATCGATAGCTTGTAAGCATCTATCGTCTTACTTTCAATACATGTGCGCAAACCACAGCAAGAACCTTCGTTCTTCCCATAACCGTCTTCTTCAATGTCCCACTCATCGTACTGATTTTCTCCACTCCTCCTTTTTCGTCCAGTCTGTCTTGCTGTGGAATGCGCTCCCCCCTGATATCAGGATAGTGTCTAGTCGTTTGACTTTCAAACAAAAGGTTCGTGAGCTCTTGCTAAAAGGTTTGGCTGAATCGTGACCACCATATATATAGTATATTATAATAATTATAAGTATATATTATATATGTATATGTTATTTATAAATATATTATGTAATTTGAGTACTTAGTTTATATATATTATATTGTAACTTGTAACTTGTGTGTAAATATTTGCACATATATATGTACCTATCTCGTCTTCGCTCATTTAAATTTAAGTCTGTTTGCTTGCTTCTTGCACCGACCATTGGCTCATCTCTGCATCACCCAAGGCTCGACTGGTAGAAAATGCCTGAGGCATTAAGTCCGCCTATGTACCCATTGTGCATGAAGTTTTAATAAATAAATAAATAAATAAGCAGTGCAATTCAATTGAATAAAATAATTATTTATGTTTTAAGCATTTGACTGCCGACAAAAACTGTTGAAGGCTAACCCTCCGCTAGTGTCGGACACCATTATCCGACATGGCGTTCTAAGTGTAAATTGAAAGAAACGTTAATTTTGGGTTGCGGATAACATATTTTTTTCTTTTTTTTATTATTTGTCTCGTAATCACTTATCTCCATAACATTTATATGACGGATTGCATAATAATTATTAGTATGCGTCGCCATTACGTAATACAAATACAAATTGTAAATTACTATATTAAATTGTTTGTGGCACGTGGACAGAGAATGGTGAATAGACTTATAGACTTTTTGATCGAATGCACAGATCGAATGGATTGGAGGCGCGAGCGTCGCTTTCATTCGTTCAGTGTTGCCACTGACAAATGTCACATAGGCGTCTATTGTTTGGTACTTTATTTTTCTGGTTTTTTTTTTTTACTCTATTTTTTTTTTATCATAAGCAGTTTGTTTTTTTGTAGTAGTTTATTATTCTAACAATTATAAAAAACATATTTCAGTAGAAAATAAGTTAAATACTTATTTTCTTACCTTAAGTTTCTGCACAGATTGGCGTCATGCGTTAGTGACGGCCATCGCTGAAAATCAGCGCCGCGAACCCGTCTCGTACGGGGTCGCTGCATTATGCTGAGCGTGGGCCATTTCGCGTGCTTGGACGCATATTTTTCTCCTACCGTCTACTTTTGTGATATTGTTTTTACCTTGCTCAATGTATTTTTATTTTAACTTTATTTTATTATCTTGTTCGTTTTGTGTCTTTTATGCGTCCCAGACGCGAATAAATACTTTTTCTTTCTTTCTTTCTTTCTTTCTATTTGTGGACAGGCAGGCAGTTGAAACAACTGATAATGCCCGCATCCTGTTAATTTCCACTAGTAGTTGTCACATTATTTTTGTTAAATTGATGTAAAGAATTGCTATGTTCGTATGTATTGCAGGAAATCTGTCACGTCGCCTTGTAAAAGAGTGCAGTTCCCACATACAGCTCGCTCGCCGTCACACAACCGCCACATTCCACTTCGCCGACCACTACATAGAAATTACTAGAAGCAAGTTTGATGACATGCTATTGGCTGGCGATTATCTCACTTATTCTGAAATGGATGGGGAATCTTATGGATTAAGTATAACGTTTTTATTCATAGTATTAATTTAATTTAGCTAGCCTCTTCACCTTGGTAGAGCATGTAAAAAGCTTATGGTATGTTGTATCCAAATAAGCTATCTCTGTGCATACAGATTTATGCGTTTAATAAACTGTAGATTGAGACTAGCCTAAACACGTTTAAGAAAAATAATCATCTATCAACATATTGGCTACTTTCCTAGGTTAAAAAAAATAATTCTACGTTTCAATACAATGAAATATTTAAAAATTATTTAACATTTTTTCATCGATCAGTCAATACACTGAATTTTCGATATTTCTAGCAAATTTTAAAGAAAGCTATTTGACGCAAGTGTACTATGTCGTCATACCAATGTAGTTAGTTTCATACAAATTTCATAGAAAATTGTCGTTTTTAACACTTGGATAAAAATATTGAATTTAACTAATTGGCAACTAACGTATTCCTGTCTACAAAAATAACGTCAACCAATTCATCAAAACTCGCTCGAATAACGAGCCGCCTTCGCTACGCATCAGTGTTACGAAGTGCTACGCGGTGCTACGCCTGTCACTCGTAGCACCTGTAACAGGAAATACAGCTACGTATAACAAACATTTCAATACGAAACGTTTCGTCAAATAGACTAATTAATGTTATTGAATATTTTACAATATGGCTGACAGTAGATCTATTATTATATACGTAGAATTAGTAAACGCACTCATGACATATTAGAAGAAATATTATATGAAAAGGATATTGTTTTTGCATTTTGCTATTATTGCATTAAGAAATGTTAGACCTCATTTGAATCCTAAGCTCCAGGTTTTGTAACCTAGAGCTTTAGGATATTTAGGATATTTTAGGATATGCTTTTGTAAGAATATCCTAAAAACGATCTAGATATAACAAAAGCTATGTAGGAATGAGTATGTTTTACGTAAATATTATATTACTCCGTAGGCCGACAGGAAGCTTTCGTATCAGAAGGAAAAGTGAAGATTGCATGTATGGATTTATCCTCAGCTTTGATGCTGAAATTACGTGGATACAGACCTTATATGATCCTCGCGACGTACACGGATAGGAAATCCTTATCAACTATACAAGAGCGACGGAAAACGTAAGGAAATTGTATTATCTACACACACACATATATATATATATATAGATTTCACTCGACTCGGTAGATCAGAATGATTTCGATTTGTATGTCATTTCATTTATACTACTAATATATTTTTACGACCTTGTTGCTTTATACATCTTAAAAATATCAAAATTAAAATTAATCAATAGTTGACCATTGTAATCTATTGCGACTCCGAAATTGAGGTATTACTCCCTTTTTTCGGGGGGAAGGGGATCATCAAATGCTTTATCCCGCCATAATTTGGGTAACCCCCTGTTACCCAAATTATGGCGGGATAAATGTTAGACTCTTACTTACTAAAATCCAATCCGTTCCTTCTACTGCTTCAGACCGAGGCCGCAGAACATTATTGCGGTTGCACGCGCAGCTCTAACTTCTTTACCTAATAGCTACCAACTGCGCTAATTACTCATATAACACCCTTTTTTTACCCTGTAACAGGTTTTTATTTAAACTGTTATCTAGTTCAGGTGATCCCTACGTTAGATTTCAAAATTTATTTTCATTTATCATATTTATTTATTTATTATAATAAGGTAGGCTCACAGCTTATGTATACAAAGTAGTTAAAAGTATTGGTGATAGGCAGCAGGTTTTATACATTAGCCAGTTACGAGCTAACCAACATCCTTAAAATTATGTATAGTATATATAGACTAATAGAGTAATTTAACTGTCTCTTAAAAATGTAATTACTTCTTATTATTAAAACAATTGAGCTAGCAGAATTTATAAAGAGTGATCTCTGTTTTTCAATAAATTTTATTTAACTCTTTATTTTATTTAATCTATGTAATACAATTATGTTTGAAAAACAGCTAAAGTAAATACTTATTTTAATTATACTTTTTTCAACGTCAGGTATCGCAAGAGTACTCGCGAACGCATGTCTCTCGAGACTCCGATGGAGCGGTCCACGCTACAAGTTATGCTATCGGGTCGGATTATAATCACCGGCATTATAAACGAGATCATCCTGGTAATACGTTAATTAATATTAATTAAATTAACACAACATTGCGTTGGATTTACTAAGTAACCTGTCGTAAATCCAGCTTTGTTGTTATTTAAGCAATATATATTATTTACTAGCTTTTGCTCGCGACTTCGTTCGCGTTGGAATAATGACTTCCTGCAGATGTTTGGTTAAAAAACTATCCTATGTCCTTTCTCGAGTTCCAAACTATGTCTGTACCAAATTTCACAGAAATCGGTTCAGTACTTTAGCCGTGAAGAAAAGACAGACAGACAGACAGAGTTACTTTCGAATTCATACTTAATATTAGTTTGGATTTGGATTTATAACTAGCGGCCCGTCGTAAAAGAAGACTCTCCGGTTTTATTAACCGCTACAGCACAGAAAAGATTGCCTGATTATTGAACCTGATCCTAATCTAAGCAAACACAGCATGACAATAATTATTGGAATCGGTCTAGCTGTCACGCGTGATGCCATGACCGATCGAAATTGGGATTCATTTTTTATCACCATCCTGTAGAAAACAAAGACCCTCCTCCCCATATTCCTATGTAGGTATGCTTAAATTTTATGAAACTAAGCAAAGGATATTGATGCGGTTTTTTAAGGAGTAGTATGATTGAAGAGGAAGGTTTTTATAACTAGCTTCTGCCCGCGACTTCGTTCGCGTGAAATAGTGACTTCTGGCAGATTTTCAGTTTTACCCACATAGTTGCCGATCTCGTAGGATTTTCGGAATTTTGGAATTCAAAAGGAGACCCTTTCGAATTCCAGGAATAAAACCTATCCTATGCCCTTTCTCGAGTTTCAAACTATGTCTAAATTTTATCCAAATCGGTTCAGTAAGTAGTTTAGATGTGAAGGAGAGATAGACAGAGTTACTTTCGCATTTATAGAATTTTGAGGAAAGCTTAAAAGCAAAATCTGTAGAGGAGATCTGTAAAGAGGGCCTGTTTGATGTGATGATGCAATTCTTTAAATTTACATCATTGTTTTTACTTATGAACCGATTTAAACAAAACAAATATACCTATGTTTATCCCAGCAAACAGCAACGCAATACTGAAAACGGCCCGAATCCGAACCAACCAACCGAAAATTCAATTAGGTTGAGCCCTTTTTGACACTAGCCCGAACAAACGTACAGACAAACGGACAAACAAACAGACAAAAATTCAAAAAGTCATTGTTTTGGGTTCTATTGCGTACCTACCTATAAAGTTTCCCTAGTAAAGTTTTTCTCGTTAGTCTTCCATGTACAGACAGATGATAAGTATAGGTAACATCAATGTAGGTAATAGAGAATGGAGAAATTGCAATCGAAATTGGGCCCGTGCGAAGCCGGGGAAGGGCGCTAGTATTATATTTGTAAGTTGATAGATAGCATTAACAAAATGTTTAACTTAGTTTTAATATAGGTACGTAGGTATTTTGTTAATAAAGATACTGTTTACTGATTGTTCTTACAAGGATTGTTCTTTCATTTGGTTTTACAGGGCCTGCCCGATGAGAAAAATCAAAGTGAATTCATGATGGAATCTGAATGCTCACTGATGATGGACAGCGATGCTCGTGCCAATAAGGATTTCCTAAAAGGCTACGACATCCTTGCGCTTTTAAATTCTGTACGTTCTCTTTGCTGTTGTAGAATCCGCAGTTGACTAGTTATTACAACTCCATAAAATCTCTCATTTTATCCTTCAGCGGAGACGCACATGAACCCATCTCTGTCGTAGTTTTAATAGAATAAGTTTATTTAGAAATTGTTAGTTGCGTAAATACGTTCGATTGTACGGTTGGGGCAGTGGCTGCGCAACTGGCTGCTATGCAAAGTATTACGGGTTCGATTTCCGCACGGAACAACACTTTGTGTGAATTACAAATTGTTTTTTCGAGTCTGGGTGGCTTATTGTGTATGTGAGTTTGTATACTTGTAAAACGCTCTCATGACACAGGAGAAAATACTAAAGTGAGGCAATGTTTTTACCAAAAAAAAAGAAGTATTTCAGGCTAATTATCAAAAGTTCTTCAATATTTCTTCTTTTCTACATAATGGCCGCTATTTTATGCCCTACGGAAACTAGACAACGAGACAGTCATGGTGATGATTTTATACCTGCTTCCGAAAACTGTAGTCAAGTTAAAGTAGCCCATCAAAGTTGCTAATGGCTCTGTCGTCTAGGTCCCTAGGAACGCCGAATCGCTGAACTGCACCTGTTAATACAAAGTGTAACTCAGTTACCTACGTAAGTTATACTAGGTATCTACTAGGTAAACCCTGTGCCTTGTATGCATATCGTATTATGTTCCTCTTGGTTGTGTACCTTCTTGTATCTCACAGCGTATTGGTGTTAGTTCCTGTAATACCTATCTAGGTGTGTACTCGTATATATCGCATGTTAAATAGAAAAAAGGACTAACTCAAAAATGAAGATATTCCAAAATTGAACCTTATTATTGAAGCATAATTTTTAAGATTGAAATACTTTATTTTTTGAGTTAGGCCTCTTTTATGTATATATAATAATATGTATGTATAACTAACTATACAGAGATGGCAACTAGATATATCCACTTATGTAATGTGTAAAGAGGTTTATGCTCGGTTTGCTTCATTTTTTTTATGGTATGCTTAGGTCGGCAAACGAGCAGACAGATTACCTGATGGTCAGCAATCAGCACCGCAACACCAAAAGAGTGCGTTGCTAGCCTTTTAAGGATAAGGGCTTTGAAAATTTAACGATTGATAGGGGATGGGAGGAGGGAGAGCGATTGGGTAACCTCACTCACATGGCGAAACACAACGCTGTGGTTGTTTCACACCGGTTTTCTGTGAGGCCATCACTCTGGTCGAGCCAAAGCATTGTGATAGCTGCACCAATATTCCGGGATTGATCAACTATCAATTCATGCAAAAAAAGTACCTACCTGACTCTTGAACGTTTAAGTGAATTTTTGCACTCTGCCTATCCGTTCGGAATTATTTAAAAAAAGCATCACGTGATGTTATTGTAACCCTGATTACTTTCTTCGTTTAGAGTACTTCATCTTTAGACGAAGTTATGAAACAAACTCATGAAAAAAGTAGCATGGAAGAAAGGAGTCTTTACTCTTTATTCAAAGAGTCTCAGGGCACTGAATATGCCAGCGATGTCAACGGGCAGAATCTATCTTATCAAGAACGAAACGTGAAAAGGTAAAAATAAAAACTTACCTACTTACCTACATAAATAACGTATGTTATAACTATGGTATTCTAAGGTATGACCTCTATAAAAAAAATCTTTTAGATAGGTACCTACCAGTATTATTTTCTATTAATTTACCTTTACCTATTAATTTCGTAAATACCTATTTTTTAAACAAGTGTTTAGAACAACTATTAAAATTCAATAACATTTTAGATAAAAATTGTGTCTTATATACCTCATCTATTAGGTAACTACTAGATACATCTGGTATTATTCTCGTAGTCCGCAACCCACTTTGGCCCCGTTGAGAAATGATTTGATGATTTGTTTGTGAGGGGAAACAAAAAAAAACATTTTTATACTATTCCCCATTAGCTATTTAGGCCATTAGCTAAGTCATTTTTATTACCTTATCTAGGTAAAACCATATGAATTACTACCCCATGTTGGTACCCATATTATCATTAATCATATGCAATAATGCAAGTCATCTAATTTGTTACAGACCATCTCGTCAAAAACCAGTGGACAAACACTCCAAACAATCGAGCATCTCCCATTCTCATCGTAAGAACTAAACGCAGCTATAAAACTCGTATGAACTAGTTTTATCTAGGTGCCTATAAAATGGGCCGTAAAGTAACGTATCTTAAGATGCCTTACTTAAAATTTCGTTAAATTTCTTATAATTTAAAAGCTTTGCTGATGCTGGCTGTTTGTTATTGGGACGTTTGTTTTTCTTTTAATACAAAGTCCTCTTCTTTTTCTAAGTTTCTAGCTGCCAGCCTCCCAGGTTATTGTCCTATATCTACTGGGTTATGGGTACAATTCCACGTTTTATGTTATCCCAACTAATCTTATCAATACGACAATAACTCTGTCTGTCTGTCTGTCTTTTCTTCACGCCTAAACTACTGAACCGATTTCTGTAAAATTTGGTACAGACATAGTTTGGTTAGGGACTCAAGAAAGGACTTAGGATAGTTTTTGTACCAAACATTTGCTGGAAGTCACTATTCCACGCGAACGGAGTCGCGGGCAAAAGCTGCCCGTAGGTACCTAAATCGAAACTGAGACATTGTTGCGCAGTCTACAATAAAATTGCAACAAGTTAGTCCCCTAAACTCAAACCATTATCAAATCTTAGGTTTAATCATACCGGACAGCTCCAAGTCTTCAAACTCGAAATCTGTGACATTTACTTCACAAGACGGTCAAGTTGAACAAGATGTCACTGGACTTATGGTGGAGCCGCCAGTACCGGATTCTAATAGTGAGTTTTATCCGACGACGTCTTAGTATTTTTTTAACGATCTTCTAAAAGTCTTGTTCAGTTAAGGTGCTTACGTAGGCTTCGATACGTAGTTACCTATACCTACATATATAACTGTATAAGTTATACAATATTTTTTTTCTTTCTCAGATAAAGAAGTAGAGAAACAGATACGGTCTATTAGCACACGCATTCCATGGCAAACGGCACAGTGGCGGGGCTCACAGGTCGCTATGGACGAGTCAAATCTGTGGATAGCCTTTCTGACAGAAGCTGGATACTTACAAGCCAGCGACATAAATACTCAACTATGTAACATTATTTGCTTACTTACCATTTATATTTTTAGAATTTTTATAATGATATCCAAGATTGTTATGTATTTTAAACGCATCAGGCGTATTGACTGTTTCGTGCTTTTTGTTTGGTGGTTTTTGTAGAACGTAAACTTGTGGAAGATACCGTGGTGAGGTAAGTTTGTAGAACGTAAACTTGTGGAAGATACCGTGGTGAGGTAAGAATGGCCGCTATGCCCTATGGTATAGTAGGTATGTACTGAATGTGTGTTTTTGTAACCAATACTCAGTTAAAAGACTTATTGATCTTTCCTGTTTTTAGCGGACACATACACGCCACGGTTTTCAAAGACTGAAGATGATACGATTCTACGTCAAATAACAGACATGGTATTTATAATTTCATAATATTGCTTGTACTAACGGAGAATACTTTACTTCTTAGAAGGAACTATTATAAAGATGTATTTTCAGAATAATTAGGGCTGATTTTTCAATGGTTGGATAAAACTTATCTGCGGAATAATTATGATGCTGTCGCGTCAGAATGTTAGTATATGACAGTGACAGCAACAATTTATTTCTAAGTTATCATTCATCTGACTTTTGAAAACTCAGCCTTTAAATAAACAACTATACTTGAGTGCACTGTACCAATATGCTATTTCAAAATGTTAGCAGTTGCCGAGTGACACTCCCACAATTGGGTTGACAGACCCCTACGAACACGTCCATCGCAAGAACCCTGGATTGTTCTGGGACACGGTATGCCATTATTTTATTAACTACCTAATTTTATTTTATATTTTGAATGTGAAATACGCATTCTCATATTTTAACGCAGGTAGCAATGGATGATCCTGATCAAGCATATATTAAAGTACGAAGAATAATTCGTGATATTGTTAACTCTCAAAAAACACTAAAACCTATGTTTGACATTGATTTTGCCCAATACAAAGAACATCCCACAGTCCAAAGGAAACTTACGAAAATTCGTAGCCAAATAGCGCCCCAGCAACTGTTCCATTGATTTGAATCACAATAAATTATTACGAAAATGTGTTTTATTTTGTTTTAGTACATAAAGTAAATTATAAGTATCATACAATCAATAGATAAAACTGTGAGACTGGATTTATTTATTACCACTTTACTATAGCCTTAACTTGTAACAGTACAAAAGTCTCACATGGGGATCATTTGAAAACCATGGTATCAAGCATCGCTCCTAGACCTTGCACTATGTTGTTGGACATCAGGACATCAACTTTCTCCTCTAGATGCCTCTTGGGATCCTGTTTGCCTACATTCTTAATGGCTAGCTGTTCTGGTGTCATTTTCTCTTCATCCTCTAATGCCTTATTGTAATTTTTAGCTAACTCCAACATGTCTGTGACTGTGGTCTCATTGATTGAACAGTGTTCCTTGTAGTCTGATAAAGTGAGTCCATCCATCCAGGATTTTTTGTGGAGGTTCAGTAACATTTTCTGCTCCAATTCATTCTTCCTGTAGTTTATACTGATGGAGTAGTAGTGGCGGTTCAGTCCATGAATGAGGGCTTGTACTGATGGTTTTTGGAGATGACCCAAATTGGATGTGGTTTGTCTTGGCTCCTGGCCGAGCACCATCATGTTAGGGTTGATGAGGCGGAAAGCATCAATCACTACTTTACCCTTCACTGACTGGATGGGATCAACCACAACAGCAACTGCCCTCTCTGACAGAGCTTCAAATGACTGCTGAGTATTTATATCAACTCCTGATAACCAGCATCCAAATCCAGGGTGAGAGTGGTACCTGTAAATTAATAGTCACAAATAAGTGCTAATCTACTTAATCCACAACAATAGTCCTTTCAATTTCTAGAATTATTTCAGTTGTTAACAAAAGGGTTGCTATTTCCCAATATTCCACTCAACTTTTTTAATAACCTTTGACTGAACTTAGCATAAACTGTAAAAAAAGAAATATTGGTCTAGCTGTTCATGGATGATGACATGACCATTCAAAATTGGGATACATTTAGTTAAATGTATATGGGCAAAACAACACCTTTAAAAAAATTTCTATAGTGAGTGACCTCACTCACTATAGAAAATACATTGTGTCTTGCTTATATATATAATATTAATGATGTACAATTTTCAAACACAAGCAACTTATCAAAATTAAATAGTCAAGATGAAGAATATTTTTTTTTAATCCACTAAAGTCTATGTCGTCTAGTGGATGACTGTTACTGAATTAAGGTTCCAAGACTAACTGGAATACAGTTTGATTTCACCAGAGCTCAATCCACATAACTTTATACATTATTATGCCAACACACAATACAATGATTTTTAACTACTACAACTTCATAGCAATAAAACTAATGAGCTTTTACTATTATGAGTACAAATTATAAAAGAAATGTTGAAAAATAGGAATAAATAAAGACTATGCAGTTGATACTGACCATCCAACCACCATCTCGGGTCTGCCAGTCTGCTTAAGCATATCCAACATTTTGGCTTGGAAGACAGGGTCCACTGCTTCTACTGATACCCCAGTACCAGTCTGAGGCATGGCAAACACATCAATCACACGTACAGTATAGTCGTCCACAAATTCACCTGGAAAGTACAACAGATTTTTATGCAACAATGCTAAAACAATAAACAAGGGCTGGAAACATTAAACAAATTTCCAACCATGATTCAGCATTTTTTAATTCCATATGCATCCAAGTGTGTCATAGTACATTTTACCTACCTAACATGAGACCCATGACCTCCATAGGCACGCCAGCACGACCATGTTTTAACATCTTCAGCAATGCCAGAGACGAAATGTATACTTGCTCTGCAGTATCGACAGCAGGTGCATCAGTTGGCGGCGGCGCTTGGGACAGGCCAGCCATACCTCCTCCAAGACGTAGAAGACGATCCATTTTGTACTTCTTTCTTCTACACTCTAAAAAACGAAGTCGTCAAGTTAGCATCACATCATGAGACATCAACATCTATTTGTTAGCAGCGTCGATGATTAATTCATTTTAATTTTAAGAAACTAAATGCATTACCGCAAAACTAGATTGCACTTACACAAACAAATTATTATCATTTACACTATTTCCGAAAAACTCCGGCCAAAATCCAAAATGAATAGGATTTAAAACAAGGAACGAATGATTTCAATTTATGGAAACGAAAATGACAGCCCACGTCGAAACTGCAACCTCATGAACGTGTGCTTGGTATAAAAATGTCATTGATCTCAATAATATGTGAACTTTTAAGTATGAGTTAAAGGTTCGTAATAATACAATAGTTTAAAAAGGAACCATTTAAATAAATTTTTCAATCGTAATTACCAAAGGTTAATGCTTATTGTCGTTATTTTGTCGTCTATAAAAAAATATTATCAAGATTTTTATGGCAATACTCTCTTATTAAAATATCTGTCAATTAGTTTCAACGTCAAGTGTCAACTGTCGATGGAAATAGTCAAAATAGCCGATATCAGGCGGTACACCACGATTATTTCATAATAAGATATATTTCTCGTCTTAACACTAATAACGCTTACTTAATAAGATAAAGATATAAAATAGAATGGCTGAAAAATCCGTTTTACCGAATAAGCTCTCAGAAGGTCCTCATGGCTTAGGTACATATAAAAATATCTGTCAGTATTTTATAAAAACATGAATTTTCGATACCAATTTTTTATGAAAGAAAACTATTTCAGGTGATCCTGAAGACAGAAGCTTGCGCAAAGTTGAAAGAGATGTATTGATTCCTAAACTCATTAGGGAAAAGGCAAAGACAGAAAAATGTATTCAGGAAGTAGCAGAATTTGAAAATTGTTGCAAGGAATCTTCTCTTCTGATGGTTGTGAAGTGTAGAAATCAAAATGCTGCTCTTAAAGATTGCTTAGGCGCGTGGTATCAAAATGAGGATTTCAGGAAGCTATGTACTGAAGAATATTTGGCACAAAGAAGTGAATACCGAAGAACTGGTATTAGGAAACCTATCAAAAGGGCTTAGTTTGTTGTAGTACAATTTTATTGTTAATGAATTGTTGTTAGCCTTGTATAAATAAAAATCAATTTAGTCATCTTCATTTATTGTAATTGGTAAATTCCGGCTTAATAACAGTTCTCTGACACTGTACAGTTTCAAATCTTTGGGTAGTTCCACTTCAGTCTTATTTGGTTCTACAACTTCCACAGCAATGACTTCCTAAAAAATAAAAAGTTTTTTTATTACATACTAGTTTTATGCAAGGAAAACAAGCCTTGGTGTTAGAACTTATTTTATGAACCAAGACACATTTTTGTAGATAGCAAACTAGTGACCAAACACAATCTGTTCTGGCAGATGCAAAATAAAAAGATTTACTTATATGCACCTTGACTGTAGTATTTGCTACTCTAACAAGACCAAGAGTTTGAATCCATTCTTCTTCCTTATTATCAGACCTTATTATGACTACATAATCAGCATGGTATGCTGCAGGACCTTCCTTGTATAGTACTGAAAATTAAGTCAACTAAATTAAAGTCCATCAAATGAAATGTTAAGTAATTTAAATTGTAATTATTAAAAGTATTTACAATAATCTCCACCAAATTTGATTCCTGGTTTTACAACATATCCTTTTGATCTATAGTAATGATAAACTACATATTTTGATAGAAATCTTCCATCTACAGCTCTAAAGAGGTCCCAACATTTCTCTATGCTTAATAAAGCATTATCAAGGCTGACAATTTGTAAGCATCCCAAACCATAAAGCAAGAAAAATGCTTCCTCAGGAGTCAACATAAGTTTTTCTTGTATATTAATTTTATTTAAACAGCACTTTGGCCTCATGTTTTCAAAATAATTTTCTCCTTCTGATTCACTGTTTGGCACTATTACTACTAAGTCTTCTTTATTATAACTCTGGCATCTTTCAGCACTGTGATTAGAATTATTATCTTCTTCATCATCATCATCTTCACTGGATACTAAATCTATGACATCCTTTTGACTAACTTTTTTGCTGTCCCCGATTATTTTAATCATTAGACTATCGATATCTTTCATGAAATCATCTGCTTCTGCAGTTCCCAGTTTATCAGAGGTTCCGAATTTTTTATACCAATAATTTCGTTTCAGAAATTGCCTTTTACGAATGATGCGGGGCATTATGTCACTTTTATCGGCTTTAGGTTCCGATCGCGATGTTGTCCCTTTGCCAAAACATCCCATGTGATACAGCAGTGCTATCTCCTCTACAGACCTTACCTCCACATTAAAGCCATTGTAATATCCAGTAAATACAATCCGCATTGAATTATCTAATGGAAAACGCAACGATTCAACAGCCATCGGAAATGAGTCATTTAGGTCATTAGTTTGACAATCTTCTGATTGCAAAGTAGTCATGACAAAAGAACTGGCCAGTTCCCAAATTTATTTACAGCCGAATGTGTCAGTTCCAAGTGAAGACTTGAAGAGCGCAAATTATGTTACTGCAATATAAAAAACCATTTTTGTATCATTTATAGTTTTTTTTTGGTATGAAAGATATATACAAAATTATTCATAACGTACGGTGATAAAAAGTTTAACGACAGACTAAATATCTAGTAAATATGGAAAAGAATACGCCCGAAGATGCTGACAAATACAATCGTGAGTAGAGTTTTTTTTAGATCTACAGTGCGGTACAAAACAGACTGTTGATAAACAATCCAGTAATATTTGAATGAGACACTTTCAGTTTTTACTATACTTTTCCATTATTCTTTTGCGCGTTATTACACTGATGTAATAATTAATAATAGGTATTATTACAAGTAAAATAACAAATATTTGTGGACCTCTAAGACTATAAATAAAAATAACCTATTTTTCTATTTCTACCAAATTAAACGTGGATCTCACTACAGAATTGAAGAACCGCGTTGTGTAAAAAGACTGTACTGTAAAATGTAACATCATTCATCTCGTAGTGGAACCATTCCTTAAATTATAGTAAACCCACAAAATAAATCATGAAAAAAGTTCAGAAATAATTTTATGTAATTATTTATGCAATTATTTTAAATTATTAGAACTATTATAATACTTCTATGTATCAAATATATGTACAGTTACACAGGTCAATTACAGGTCATTACCTATATTTTTATTTAATCAAATTCATATTTATTGAAACAAAAGGTCGACAATGTGACTCAAATATGGGTACTGGATTCAATTTTCCGATTTTTATTAAGGATTATTGTTGTTTTAAGTTTCTCGATACTACATTTACTAAAGTATCTAAGACGAAGACGGGAATAGAAAACCAGGCACTGGTTTACAAATACCTACTCGTCCCCATCTATATGAAATTAAAATAATCGCTCTTTGCCCACCGTACACCTCGTGAGACCTTTAATTATAGCTGATTCTATACTCCGGAGCCCTGACCTGTGATCATCGATACCTGGAAATGTTTTATGGAAGTTGTAGTACTTCTACTCAATCCCTTGTAGAATTAAAATTACCAGCTACCACTGCCTACACGCTTTACCATGCCACTCATGCCAGGATCCTGTTGATGATACATACGGGGAAGAATAAAATTATTATAATACGTCTGTGCGATGTGTTGTCTACCGACAACTAATGTATTCAGTGTAGATTAATTTCCTCGTGTTTAAAAGTGTAGTTTAAGAAATTAAAAAAATATAGTTATTTTCTGAATTTTGCCTGCTATCAAAAATCAGTATTGACAACCGTAATATTAATGCGCTGTCTCTTTCTTTCTAGCCAGAAAGGTGTATAACAGAGAAGGTAAGAGCATAATTATCGTTCGATGTAAAACTAACGTCACTCTTCATAGTCACAAGACCTCTCAGCTGAGGCTGTCTTCATATTCTGTTTTTCCCAAATAAAAGTTTTTCGATTCTTCTTTGGCAATAACAGACGTGATTATCAATTCTTTAGCCAAAATGGCTAACATGGGTGATGAAAATGTTAGTCAGCTAATGCCGTCTCTGGGTGACGACAAAATCGGTAAGTAAATCACTTACGCAGTATTTCCTGAAACATAAGTGGTCAGTTTACTAAAAATATGTTCATGCAATGATTTCTAGACATGATTGCGGCCACCAGCGTATTGCAAATCCGCGCCAGTGAAATCCGCCAGACTCAGATCAACTGGCAATCTTATCTGCAGTAAGTATTGATTCTTCTCCCACAATACTGAGTGGTCTCTGTACCTGATTGATGTTTCATGGTCAAATCTGTTACTATATGCACTTAGGTCACAGATGATCACGCAACGTGACCATGACTTCATTGTGAACCTGGACCAGCGTGGCCAGAAAGAGTTACCTGACAGGCACCCAGAAACGTGTGCTGATGTCTTCTTGAACCTGCTCACGCACATCAGCAAGGATCATACCATCCAGTACTTGCTTGTACTGATTGATGACATCCTTTCTGTAAGTGCCTTGCAAAGCTATTGTCATTGAAAACAGTTACCATCTATCTAATATCATTCTATATGGTACCTATCTATTTAAATCAATCAACAACCAAAGTGTTTTGTTCTAAAATCATTTTCCAATTAGCATCTTCATTCCTCTTTAGAATAGAATTGGAACAGGGAGTAATCCTAGCTCATTCAAGTCTTTTTAACACCTTTATAGTTTTATTACAGTTACAATAACAAATAACTTGTATTTAACCACATTTGAAAGACTTTGTTTTACATTATAGGAAGATAAGGGCAGAGTGAAGATCTTCCGTGAAGCCAGAATGGGCAATGCATGGCAGCCATTCCTGAACTTGCTGAATCGTCAGGATGAGTTTGTCCAACATATGACAGCCCGTATCATCGCTAAGCTGGCCTGCTGGCACCCAAATCTGATGGAAAAGAGTGATCTACACTTCTACCTCTCCTGGCTTAAGGACCAACTTAAGATGAACGTAAGTCACATAGATAATATCTGCAAATATTTTGACATGTATGCATTATTTGCATGAATTTTAAATATTTTATGCATGCATTTTATTACAAAACTACTTCAAAGGAATGATGATAATTTTTATAACATTAATATTTTATTAAATATATTACAAGGAAGCATGTATCATCAAAGCTTTGCTAGTAGTTCTCACTCCACAATAAAGCATCAACTATCAATACTGTAAACATTAAGCTTGTTTAATAAAAACCTGCTAAAATAATCACTAACAATCACCTCTTGGCATGTAATTCACTATGACTGAATATTTAAGAATCAATACACTCATGAAATATTATAAAGATAACTAAATATTTCTAGTGTATAAAAATAGAAATGGAATACTGACAAGATTAAAACAAAGCAAATTTTATGTCTCAATCTTACAACCCAAGAAATGTACTATTCCATCATTATTTGAATATTTCATATCAAACCTCAAGATAGAGTGGAGACAATAATGTACCAGGTATTTATATAAAACATCATCACAACCTTCTTAAATTTCTCTGAAACTAATCTTCACCATTGTATACTCTTACTTTTATTACTCAGTGTTATGTAACAAAAAAACTATTTGTAATATTATAATTCTTTGTGTAAAAGACTATTCAAATTATTAATACAAAAACTTAAAAGCATAACACATAACATCACATACCTTTTTACTTTAAGAATGTAACGGATAGTTACAAACCACACCCACTTTTTGAAACAATTACATACAAGTGAATTAACATTAATTTAGTTTTCTTCTTCAATGTTATGTTTCATTCACTAGCATTTCATTAATCACAGACACCTTTTGATTACAATTTGATAACATATAACATTCAACAACATTACAACACACAATCACTTCAAAAGACAATGTAAATAGTTCTAAACAAATCAAGTTCACCATTCAACAGTAGTTGTGTGGCAATGCTTAGTGCCTTATACCAAGTTGGTATAGTCATCATCAATGTGTCTAAACAGACTCAAACGTAACACAATGTTGTGAGTATCACGTGCAAGCATCACGCATCGTTGGGGCTTTGATGACGCGGGTGAATTGTCATTGAGAGGTTTGTTTTCTGGAAAGGCGGAGAAAATGTCTGCCGAGTTAGAGCATGCCGAGCAGGTTATGTTGCTGCACGAGAAACAGCATTTCGCCGCCGATAAACTTCAGAAACACCTGAAACATCATCACAAGGAAAAAGACAATGTCGACGCTGGCCCAGAGAAGTATTCGAGCCTTTACAGCTCTTTCGATGAGCTGAAGCCACTTGAGGATTTGCCACCTGGCCTGCATAAGGTACCCTACTACGTGTACATGTCGACACCAAACTGAGTGTTAAACATTACTCTTGTAATATAACAGTGAATACTAACTATCTTTTGTAAATATGTAGGTGTTTGCTAACAGAATGTGAGTTCCTTTAACTGAATGTGTTTTTAATAATTGATATTATATTGCATGCTTACACTAATCTTGTTCATTACACTCACAAACTAGGAGGATGTGAAGGTATGTGCAATGTGCATGCGGCTTAAAGTATTATATTCTTTATTTGTTAAATATTGTATTTATTTAGAATTTAAGATTATGTTTTTAAATTATTATTATATTTTGCATTATTTTCTCCAATCTATAAATTGTAAATTTTTCTGATTATACATATAGGATCAAAATAATGTTATTTTATTTGACAACCTACAGTAATTGTTGTAAATGGGCCAACTCATTACAATGGACTCTTCCAACTTTCTATTTCTATGTGATTTTAACTCACTAATTTAATGTTTTTCAGATTCTCTGTGTATAAAATGAGAACTATTTCTTCTTATTTTTGTCAATTTTTATTTACAGTTTCTGTTTATTAATATTTTAAATTATAATGCTGTAATTAAAAAGCTTTTGAAATGTAAACTGATATGATTTGGGGCGCGATATTGCTAGTTATTGTATTTAGGATGGTATTAAAATATATTTTCCATGCAGAACAATGATTACATCCAATCTGTGGCCCGCTGCCTGCAAATGATGCTGCGTGTTGACGAGTACCGCTTCGCGTTCCTGTCTGTGGACGGCATCTCTACCCTGCTGTCTATCCTGGCTTCCAGGGTGAACTTCCAGGTAATTGTTTGTTTTATATTTTAGTGTTTCTAGGCCATTACAAAACTTGAGATTTTTTAAATTGTTGTAACTTTATTTCTACTTATAATATTTTCTCAATCCAGGTGCAATACCAGCTCGTGTTCTGCTTGTGGGTGCTGACATTTAATCCCCTGTTGGCCGAGAAGATGAACAAGTTTAATGCTATCCCCATCCTCGCCGACATCCTCAGCGACTCCGTCAAGGAGAAGGTCACGCGCATCGTGCTCGCTGTCTTCAGGAACCTGATCGAAAAACCTGAAGATCATCAGGTATACCAACTTATACTTAAAGATGTTTATTAGGTATCTTCCGAATTATCAACCCTTTTTGGACACAACTTCAAACCCAATTAGAAATCGCCACTTCTGACCTAATTCCACTGATTATTTATTAGTTGGTTGTCTTGTTGATACTTATGTCTATACTTTTACCAGGTCGCTAAGGAGCACTGCATCGCTATGGTACAGTGCAAGGTCCTGAAGCAGTTGTCCATTCTGCAGCAGAAGCGCTCCGACGACGAAGACATCATGAACGACGTGGACTTCCTGAATGAACGCCTGCAAGCTTCAGTGCAAGACCTCAGCTCATTCGACCAGTATGCCACTGAAGTGAAGAGCGGCCGGTATGTGTTTTGATAGTATTTTTATTTTCTTACATAACTGGCAAAACTTAATGTTTCTTCTTGTTATGTAATGGCATGTTGTGCATATTTATCTTACTGTAAAGAAATAAGGGTGTAAATTCCATACTCAGAAATCTTACTATAGCCATTACCATAGCAACCACAAAACATACACTGTTGAACTTAGGCTTCCACCAATATAAATACTAAGTATAATTATTTTATTTTTAGTCTGGAATGGTCCCCCGTCCACAAGTCAGCTAAGTTCTGGCGCGAGAACGCCGCTCGTCTGAATGAGCGCGGCCAGGAGTTGTTGCGTACCCTAGTGCACCTGCTGGAGAGGAGCAACGACCCTGTTGTCCTCGCCGTCGCCTGCTACGATGTTGGCGAATACGTCCGCCACTACCCACGAGGCAAACAGTATGTATTTGTTTTATTTTGTATTAGCTTCCGCCGGCGTCTTTGCCCGCGTGGTGGATAAAAAGAAGCCTATGTGTTAAAAGGTCCATCAGTTTTTCGAGGAATTATAACAAACAATACAATACATTTATAATATTTGTAGGATTTTATTAAATGAGGCGACACAGGCGTACTTACATTCCAGTACGATTTCAAAAAATAAACCACTAAAAATTAATGGTATAAAAAATTGTTACGAGTATGAAGTGAACTTGTGAAGCTGACTGTTAATGTAACACTGTACCGTTATCTAAAATTGATGAGATGAATTCACTTTTTTCTATCTCTAAAAGAACGCAAGTAAGAACGATCTTGGATCTTTCAAGATAAAATCTAATTATAATATGTTGATCACAGTATTATCGAGCAGCTGGGCGGTAAACAACGCGTCATGTACCTGCTGAGCCACGAAGACCCGAATGTCCGATACGAAGCTCTACTCGCCGTCCAAAAATTGATGGTCCACAACTGGTATGTTTGTAACATCATTTTCAGCCTTATCTTAATCTTACTTTGCCTTAAGTAATAAGAATACATGATTCAGTGATAAGTGTTGTTCAGTTTATGATATATATTTACAAAAACTTTCTCCTCATACAAGAAGCTAATCTATAAGCTTGGGTGTAACGATTGGCAGTATGTTATTTTTTAGTGAAAGTAGGTATTCAATATATTGTCTGATCTGTACGCCATTTATCACAAGAGATTATACTGATAAGTGGATTGTTATATAATGCTACATAATCTTTGTGTAAACAATGTTGTCGCTAATCTGTTTACATCCTTTCTGAATTTTAGAACTTTATGCATTAACACTGTAGCCTGATTTATGCTTTATATTTCTCTTTACAGGGAATACCTCGGCAAGCAACTGGAGAAAGAACAAATCGACAAGCAGGCGGGCACTGTTGTCGGAGCTAAAGCTTAAATTAATACCTGTTATATTTATAAATGAAATATTTAATTCCTTGTTATATTGTTGTCTTGAAGGATATCAAGCTTATTGCAGATATAGTAACTGTACTATGTAAACAATGGAGGCAAGCAACCCATTCAATAATCTGTATTATCTGTTATTATAACTCACAGACAAATAGATTTTGAGTAAAACATGCCTTTACATAAAACCTTAAAAAGAACACTAAATTTTTTGAAATATTTAGTGTACACATTCCTTTAAGAGTTTAACATTACAGTTTTAATATGAATGTTTATTAAAAAGATATTATGTATTCGATTATTTGAAATTAATAGAGTTTTAGTGGTTTGTGATGTGATAACTGGCTACATCAGTATTGTGAATAAAGTTCATCGTAAATATTATATTGATATGGACTTTTATTTTGTCTCTAGTAGTGAGTCAACGAGAATACCTAAGCAGAACGGATCCACGAAAATGTCTTCTTATACTATTGAGAATGCTTTCTCTGTCTGATGGCAAGGCATAAAAAAAGAACTTATTAAATATCGTGTGCCTAGTACAAAATGTAGTGGAGAGAATATACATAGGACATTTGGCCCCCACTTTTAGCGGTAATTACCCAAGTTGACATGCGCCAATGGGGTTTAACGCTACTTGCCTTATTACCTGACCTGTGAGCCTCTTGTTGACCGCTATATCCATATCGATCGTGCGATTTATGCCCATGAACAGCCTCTGCCAACATTACACTATTACGAAAACCACAAGAGTGTCTGACTGGTGCAATGGCAAATAGGATAACGCCGTTGGATATTCGACAGGTCCTCGGTGGTAAAGTGATGACTAGACCAATTAACTACAGTTATCCTCAAAACCATCGAGGCATTCTGTTTAGTCTTCGATATCTGGCTCGGGAAAAGGCATAGCACAAGTATGCATATATGTACTTTCTAAAATTATTTAGACACCACAGACATATAGTGAAGGAAAACATCATGAACTGGATGTTAGGGTTTTTGTATGTTACTCCTATGCAATCATGCATATGCACATGCAGCAAGGGTGACATGCATATGCACACATACACAAAACGGAAAAACATGCCACGCAACCAAACCTATATCGTTTTTTTCCGTTTTGTGTATGTGTGGATATGCATGTGGGCGGAAGGGTGGGACCCTTGCTGCATGCGCATATGCATGATTGCATAGGAGTGGGATTGCATCCTGCGACAAGCCTGGATTTTTGTCGCGGAATTAAAACTAAATATTATCCCTAACATTTAATGTCATGGATTTCCGCAAAGTAACGCCTGATTCTATAAATTAGCATGAACTGGATCTATGTTTGAAATTGCCAATCTGCTTTGAGCAAGATGGTGATTAATTAATGCTCAAACCTTCTCCGTGTGCCATATCTAGCAGTGGGCACTTATTTAGGTTGGTGATAACGCTGACGATGCTGTAAGGAAATAAACAGCTTCATATTATTTTCTTAATTAGCCAGTTTCTTAACTAAACTTTTGAAAAAGGACAATTCGTTGGTGGTTGAAATTTCGACAGGTTCTCGGTGGTAAAATGGTGAGTAGACCAACTAACGCCCTACAGCAGTAAGTCCTTAACAACATTGAGGTATTCTGGTTACTATAAGATGCCTGGCCTGGGAAAAGGTATGGCTCGCTGTCGGTCGATCGATTAAAAGGGATATAAAAGGAAGTATATTTAAAAACTATTTGCTTATATCGATGGTCTATATCTATCTTTTCTATATTACCATTCTCTATGTCAACTGTCACTGTCAAAAGCTTGTTGTTGTTGAGTTGACAGTTTGTTGTATCGTGTTGTGATCTTACTTTTACTATTTCTGTGATTAATAAATTAAATGAAATGGAGGATGTATTAGTGCTAAAAGATTACAAAACTGTGCCGGATATTGTTCACGAATACAGTCCAACACTTAAATTTGGCCATATTCCGTTAGTAATAGATAACGGTGAGTACTTATTTTCAATAGCAAGGGATTTTAAAATTAAAGCCTAATATCATGTTAAACATGCGTTTAATAACTAACTAATATCCTATACAAACTTTTTTCAAGGTTCCTATCAGTGCAGAGTTGGTTGGTCCATTAATGATGAACCTAACCTGATATTTAAGAACTTGATAGCTAGACCTAGGAAAGACAGATGCAAGAAAGATGCTGAACCTCCTGCCACACCGCCAATACAGATTGGTAACGACATTGTTAACATAGAAGCAGTAAGGTCAGATTTTTCAAATTCTTGAAGACTTCAGATTTGTGATACTTTTCGGTTTACAAACTTTTATAAGATTCATGTTAACTGTTTTAAGACGAATAAATAAATGTGAATGTTTCTTTTAATCTTTAATTTTTCAGATTCCAGCTAAAGACTCAATTTGATAAGAATGTTGTGACACATTTTGAGGCTCAGGAGCAAGTATTTGACTACATTTTCTCACATTTGGGCATTGACAATGATGGTAGTGTGCCTCACCCTATTGCTATGACAGAAGCCTTTGTTACTCCCAATTATTCTAGGCAGTGTAAGTATATGACTTCATTTATTTAAATTAAACTTAGGGTACTATATAGTATACATTTTATATATATTTTGCATGTTGGCTCTTTCATTCAACTGACAAGGACATGTTATTGTTAGCATTCCTTAGAGGCAATTTACTATGGTGTGTTTTATTTTAGAAATCCTTAGTGATATCATTCAGTCTGGGTTTTAGCCCAGTGTTTTTCAAATGTCCCTAAGTATGCAATAGTATCTGCAATACAATTAAGTTCTTTCAGAACACCTTTACTTTCAAAGAATAACAAGATTTATTTGCAGCGGCATAACCTGCCTGACTTGTTGGATAAAGTAGCCTATGTGTTAATCCATCTAAAATGTAGATAGACCAAATTTCAATCAAATCAGTGTATATATTTTTGTGTGAAAGAATCACATACATCCATACATTCTCACAAACTTTTACATTTATAATATGAGTAGGATGTAGGTACTTTCCATATCAAATAAAAAATCTAAAACTACAAATTTCCAGTAATGTCTGAGCTGCTGTTTGAAGGCTATGGCGTCCCTGGAGTGAGCTATGGTGTGGATTCCTTATTCAGTATGTACAAGAATGATATAGGTGACACAGCCCTCATTGTCAATTGTGGATACCATACAATACATATTATACCTGTAATCAGGGGACAGGTTATTGTGGACCATGCTAGAAGGATTAATTTAGGTAAGCAAAACATAACATGTTTTTTACTTCAATAATTTTTAGTTAGAATCAGATTCAGATTTCTATTTATACTTTGAATGTTGTGGTGGCCCAAAGGTACAGCACCTACTTCTCATTCATGACTTCATGAGAAGGCAGATTTGAATCCTAGCAAGTCCAAATATGACTTTTCAAATGTGAGTTGTATGTGATTTCCAAGTTTATTTAGATACCTGTGGTAAAGGTAAACATTGTGAGGAAACCTGGACTTATTGATATTTCAGAGATCAGCAAGAAAAGGGAACTCCCTTTATTGATGTTTATAGCAAATACCTATTACATATTTATTGCTTTTGTTAATAACAATCACACTCCACTTTTTCAGGGGGCAGTGAAATGATTTACTACTTGCATAAGCTTCTTCAACTGAAATATCCAGTACATGTGAATGCCATCACCATGTCCAGAGTAGAAGAAATACTTCAGGAACATTGTTCAATAGCACTTGATTATCAGGAGGAGATCAGGAAATGGGCAAACCCTGATTACTATGAAGCTAATGTAAAGAGAGTACAGTTACCTTATGTGCAAACTGCTAGCTCCTCGGGATTAACTGGTATGGTGAAGAATTTTATGCTTCTATGTGACAACTTTAAAAAAGAAATATTTACATAGGTTCGACTTTCCCTGATATAACAACTTCATTATATTTTAAGCTGAACAACAGAAAGAAAGAAAAAAGGAGATGGCGCGGCGGTTGCTTGAAATAAACGCAAGGAAACGTGAAGAGAGACTTGCTGAAGATGAAGAACAGTTGAATCAACTGCTTGCTATAAAGGTACAACTACGATTCTTCATTTTCGGTGTTGAAACCTGGCAAGTGCCAATGTCACTTTAGAGGCCACTTTTTCAAAGTTATACCACAGACATACATATGGTGAAGGATAACATTGAGGGAAACCTAGATTTCTAATTTCTATATGTTTGAAATTGCCAATGTGCCTTGAGCAAACATGGCGATTAGAGAGATTATTATTATTAGAGAAGCTTGCTCAGTAGTGGGCACTTACAGGTTGATGATGCTGTATCAAACATCTATTTGAAATTTACATTACTTCTTTATAAAGAAGTTCCAATATAAGTATACTCGTATATAATAACCCAATATAAGCCTATCTATATTGTTAACTAAAATTCGCGGGTTACTCACGTGCAAATGTTGAGAAAAGCTCTACTAGTTTCGAACCACAGAGGGGTTCTTCCTCATGAGCAGCGTGCGCGGACGCGGCGACGTCGCGCAGCTCTCTGTGGTTCGAAACTAGTAGAGCTTTTCTCAACATTTGCACGTGAGTAACCCGCGAATTTTAGTTAATTTAGTATGTCTCACGATAGTTATTATAAAAACATATCTATATTGTTGTAGCTTAACATGATTTACTTGAGTACATTTTATTTGGTTGTAGGACATGATAGAAGATGGTGACACTGATGAATTCAATGAAGCTATAAAGGGATTTGACATCAAAAGCTATGAAGATCTTCAGGTAACTAGTAGTCAGTCTCAAAATTCCCTAAATTTCTTCATTCTCTATAAGATAAGCCCATTCATCATCATCATCATGATTAACTTAATTGGCAGTTACAATTCAGAATTCCACGACGTTACAGATTTTGGCAGCAAATTGTTTACCAAGAACTGTGAGACACTTTTTCATTGTAGAAAAGTGATAAAATTAATTATTACTTTGTCTGACTGTATGCGATGTCGTGTCACAAATGTTTTTCAAAACATATATTGAGTAACTTTGTCCTTTTTAAGGAATAGGGCTACAAACAAGCAGACGATATACCTGATAGTAGGCAATTGGCGTTGCCTGTTGACATCCGCACTACCAGAATAGTCGCTAGGGCGTTCTAGCCTTATGGGGGTTTGTGGGATTTTGGTACTGGCGAATAGGGTCAGTCTATTTCGTTATAGTGATATTATTTTCTTACAGAGACAAATAACGAATATACACATGCGCATAGAGAAGAACAAACAGCGCATAGTTGCTGCAGCTACTGCCGAAGAGAACTTGGAAACTCGCCCGACTGGCCGGTTGAATCCGCCAACTGAACCAGAAGCGTTCCAAACCTGGCTCAATGAGACACGATCTAAGGTTTGTTCAAAGCCGATATGAGTGCGTGTAAACCTATATTATTCACGAGAAATATCTGGTGTTTATAATTAGGGCAGGCAAAATTTTCACCAAACAATCTATCTATACTAATATTATAAAGAGGTAAAATTTGTAAGTCTGTATCTAGGGGTAAGCTTTAGAACCGCTCGCGCTGGTCAGATTTCCAAAATTCTTTGACTAATTGATAGTTACAATGTGCCCGAGTGCTATAGGCTATAAAAAATCACACTACAATCAAATAGAGCCGAGAAGCGGTGTACGTTACCCAGGCCAGATGTTGTCGACAATGGTCATTTGAATCTTATAGATAATTAGTTGTGCGGCTTCTGTAATTGTTGCGCACATTTTTAAATTTGTTGCGCTTATAGTTTTTTAATTATTTCACAAAAACATTTCCTGCTGGCGTAACGTTACCACAGCCAGACCTTTTTCTTTCTAATGGGAATATTTAAATAAATATTAGCTATAAAATTAGTTGTCTAGATAAAGTAAATGTTGTGCCTTATTTTGTATTTGTTCTTTCTTCGGTTGCGAAGTTATTCGAGATTTTGCTGCGGTAACGTTTTTGGTTTTGCTAGATCTTTGAAATGGTTAAGCGGATTCTTATCATATTTTGTACACGACTTCCGAGGACTTAGTTTAAATTTGTTGTGCAATAACAAAACCAAAATAATGCATATTTTAAAGGTTTTTTCATTAAATAGAAAAACACTTCAATTGGCCCCAGCACTCCCAATAAGAAGTCGAAAGACTTACTTCAAACGTAATTTTAAAGCTTGTAACTGCCTTCAAATGTATGTGAAGTTTCATTAGTATCCCGTAAGTATTTAACAAGTTATGATGATATTCAGTTCTTCACGAGCACGGTCTTAATGCACGCGGTGTTATTTGGCCACTGGATTGGATATATGAACTGAATATTATGTCAATGATTAGTTGATCAGTTGTATATCAGTAAAATTTCAGCTCAATACATTGGATAATTAATGAGATAATACTATTAAAGTCATTAGGAAGTGAATGACCGTGGTAAGCCGACCAAGTTTAGGTGGTTACGAAAAAGCGAAAACGCAGAACATTATGGTACCTTCTAAAATATGTAGGATAGTGTTATAAATTTAGTACAGACATGCACAAAAGTTTAAAAAAAAACTACATGATTATTCAAGATTTTTTAATGAAAGGTAAAATAATCATTTCAATTGAACTTTTACTCCCTTACTTATAAAAACTTGTGTTGCTTAGCAACCGATTAAACATCACCCGTCCTTGTCATTTCTATTTCAAAATGCAGTTCAAAAATAATCTAAAAGGTTACAAAAGTAACCTTCTGGCTCAGAATACAGAACAAACTGGCAAGACTGAGTGCGTTATGCAAACAATGTATTACCCCTTCACCCCACTCCTCCTGCGTCCTACCGAACGGCATACTCTAGCGGTGATTTTTGATAATTTTGTGGAACTGGAAGATATGTTTTCTTTTATATTATTATTATATAGGTAATTACCAGTGTACGCGTCTGTACCAAAATTGTAAGGTGTATTATACTAAACATTTCAAAAGATAGTACAATGTTCTGCGTTTTCGCTTTTTCGTAACCACCTAAACTTGGTCGGCTTACCACGGTCATTCACTTCCTAATGACTTTAATAGTATTATCTCATTAATTATCCAATGTATTGAGCTGAAATTTTACTGATATACAACTGATCTAAACAACTAATCATTGACATAATATTCAGTTCATATATCCAATCCAGTGGCCAAATAACACCGCGTGCATTAAGACCGTGCTCGTGAAGAACTGAATATCATCATAACTTGTTAAATACTTACGGGATACTAATGAAACTTCACATACATTTGAAGGCAGTTACAAGCTTTAAAATTACGTTTGAAGTAAGTCTTTCGACTTCTTATTGGGAGTGCTGGGGCCAATTGAAGTGTTTTTCTATTTAATGAAAAAACCTTTAAAATATGCATTATTTTGGTTTTGTTATTGCACAACAAATTTAAACTAAGTCCTCGGAAGTCGTGTACAAAATATGATAAGAATCCGCTTAACCATTTCAAAGATCTAGCAAAACCAAAAACGTTACCGCAGCAAAATCTCGAATAACTTCGCAACCGAAGAAAGAACAAATACAAAATAAGGCACAACATTTACTTTATCTAGACAACTAATTTTATAGCTAATATTTATTTAAATATTCCCATTAGAAAGAAAAAGGTCTGGCTGCGGTAACGTTACGCCAGCAGGAAATGTTTTTGTGAAATAATTAAAAAACTATAAGCGCAACAAATTTAAAAATGTGCGCAACAATTACAGAAGCCGCACAACTAATTATCTATAAGATTCAAATGACCATTGTCGACAACATCTGGCCTGGGTAACGGACACGAGAAGCGAGTGAAACCGCGCGGGAGCTAGTTTTTAAATAAACGAAAAATCTTCTAAACTGCGTTGCTTAGTAGATTGCATGTGAAATCTCTTGCAAGAGATTTAAGTACTTAATTTGTGCTGCTTTAATTAATTTTCAAATGATAACTTACATATTGTGTAGTCTCCATATCTATTTGAGAATCATACTCAATATTACTTCTCACTGAGATAGTATAAAATTTTGAGCAACTTTGCTTGTTGAAACATTTAGATACTAAATACAAAATCCAGGACTTATGAAACCTTTGCTCTTATTAAATATGAGTAGGTAGGTAAAACCGAGATGAAGTAAAATTTTTTTGCAAATTTTAAGCACCAAGATTTCGTTCTCTAATTCAGTTATTAATTACAGTATCGCGAACTAGTAGCGCGTCGCGAAGCACGTCGTGCACGTCGCGCCGCGATGGTCAAGCGGCGAACGGCTGCGGCCGCTGAACGTATGCGAGTCATCTCCCGTCTCGCTGCAGCTGGTGATGAATTTGGAAACCAAGATTCTGATTGGGATGCGTATAAAAGGTAAAAATAATCTTACTCCTGTAAAATTAGAGAGCATAATGCGAGTTTGCTTAATGTAAACGCGATCAAAACGGTACCAAAAATTGCCCTCTTAGTGGTTGTTTAACTCGGAGCAGGTTATCAGAGCGCAGGACGCCATAAGCGTGTTGGTCTCGTAAACCTAAAGTAATTCGCACTCTCCTGCCGCCCCTGTTTTTTGAACCACATCGCGTGTTAAAGAATTTGTGAATCTCTCCCATTGGTCATTACTGTTATAAGTCTTAAAATCTTAATTATAGATAGTCTTATAGGAGATAGAGGAAATTATTATCACCGATGAACAAAAGACCAACTTCCCCTCTGCCTTTATTCTTCTAGAGGTGGCAATTATTTTTTAACGAATTTCTTCTAATTTGTTCCAGTATAAGTCGCGAAGCTGATTCTGATTCGGAAGCTGATGGCGAACGTCTGATGGAGTTAGAGGAAGCGCTTCGTGAATATGAGCCTCCTCCAGCCAATTCTAGTCAACATCATCAACTGCACTTAGCTATAGAACCGCTCAGGTTTGTACCAAAATCGTCCCTAAGATTAATTCTAGTGTATAATTTTTTTACTTCTCTTCAAGACGCTTTAAACAGTAGTTAAGAAAGACATGTACTTTAATATTACTTACCTTTTACCTCATTTCAGAGCGCCAGAGCTAATGTTCCAACCTTCAATGATGGGCAACTTAGAAGCAGGTTTGGCTGAAACGATGGAATATGTTTTCAAACACTTCAGCCCTGAAGATCAGCTGCTGTTAGCTAATAACGTGTTTCTCACAGGAGGCAGTTCTCAATTCCCTGGTAAATTTAGTTTTGTAATAATGGTAAATTTATAACATTGTGCTGCTTGTATTAAGAAGTAAACCTCTTGCTGTAAAGATGGGTATAATACTTTCAAAGACTGATCTCTGAATCACGTACGGCCATACGACCTTTCCTACAAAGGTCGCAAATGAGTTAGATTGCCACATAGCGCACAAGGCACTGCACTAGTCGTAACTTCTATGAAGAAAAAAATAATGAGTACTTAATTGGATTTTCACCTTTCAGGACTAAAGGAAAGGCTCGAGAGAGAACTTCTAGAAATGAGACCATTTCAATCTACTCATAAAGTAGTTGTGGCCAAAAATCCGAGTCTGGACGCTTGGTACGGAGCCAGGGACTTCGCCGGTAGCAATGAGTTCGAAAATTGGTGTATTTCGAAAGAAGATTATTACGAGATGGGCGGAGAGTACTTGAAGGAACATTACGCTAGTAACAAGTATTACAAGAGTCCAGCACCGATCGTCGATAACAGCCTCGCTCCGTCCATCGATGCCAACGTCGTGAAAGAAGAAATAGTTGTTGACTGCTAAAATGTGAGGTTCACTTGATTAAAATTACTGTTCACTATTCTGGTTTATTTAATATATTGTTATATAAATATCCTATATAGGTACCTGTTAAGTTCTAGACTTGTGCCAACAAGATGCTCTCGGCCCATCTGACGAGATTCACTCTCTTTAAAACATCTTTATTTACTCGGTCAACGATTACTGGCTCGAATACTGTGTGCATTTGTTATTTCATGATTAGTATATGCACTGAACTAATCTGAATCCTGAATCACACTTTCTGAATTAAACTTACAAGAATGCACTTCACTTTTCATAGAACATTTAGAATTAATAGTACTTACAAATATAAGGTTAAAATAAAAGCGGGAATTGAAAATAAACAAATAAATAGCCACAAATATCATGGCACGTTTATTTTTTTCCACTACATGGCGACTTCTAAAAGAATCGTGACTTGTTATTTTGCATTCATATAGTTTCATTTTTTTATTAGAGCTCTGCAAAATGAGCACTAAACAATAATTTTACAATGTATATTTTTTCCATAAAATTAAAATATAAACTCTGTATTTATTTTGATCTCAATATAAATCACTATGAACTGAAAAAAATTAAAAGTTTTGTTAGTTCGCTAATTATAATATTGAATGATGAGACTATAATAAAGAGTACATTTAAAAAATCACATTAAAGCATATATATAATGCTGACTACATAAACGCTCTAACAGCCTCTCCCTACCGTCTACCGCTACACCTCGCAGATTGTATACTCAAAGTATCAACAACAAACAATATGAAAGACTCCAGCTCTAAAAACAAACCAATATAATTATAATAATAAATTTATCACAATCATTTCAGACTACAAAATAACTAAATAATCACCTGTAAAGGAGGCTGTGAGAGCTATAATCACGTGCAATGTAAATGTAATACACCACAATTAACAAATCTAACTTATTTCAAATATAAACTAGCCTAAAAATTTTAACAATAAAGAAAAAACGGTAGTAGTTAAAATATTGGTCATCAAAACTCTGAAGAGCTATAACTAAATGACCGCACAAATTATCATCATGCCATGATGTTTGTATTGAATTTTAATAAAAATTGCACTCAAAGGGATGTAAAATACTCCAAAACTTGGTAAAGTGTGGCTTTTAGCCGTTTATTTTTGTTTAGCGTATAATTAGAAATTGTATAAAATCAGTGACTTAGAAATAGCTCTCAGTATATAAAAAAAGTTAAAATCCTTAGGCTGTACTCTCGTATGAATATAATGTAAGCAACGCAATATGTTGGCAAAGCGGAAGTTCACGTAAATCTAACGATACAATAGAACTAAATATTTATGTACCTTAGACATTATGATTACACAAGGCTCACTGTTATTTCATAAAACTACCACGATCAAGTTTAGTGTAACTGGTCGGCGGCACGCGGCCCCCTAGACTAGTAGTCTGCCTCGACGAGGGAACTATACGTTATACATTCACGGGGAAGGATATGTACGATTTCTTTAACCAAAATTCAATAACGGCTTACAAAGACACTGGTTGGTCCATCAACCACAACCGCTCTGATGTTAACAACAAAATAACAACAACACAATCTAACACTGCCAATATATTTCACGTGAGTATTCTTTTTAACGTTGTGAATTCCTCAGTCTTTTCTACGGTTCAAAAAAAAGTAGACGAAGAAAAAAATCATACCACCTCTTTTGTAATTACGTAAATTCAAGGGTTTCAATATGCACTTCTTAATATAGGTTAACTAACATCGGTATGTAAAATAGTTACACAATGAAGGCACACAGGTTGCGAGTTCAACGTATACTTAGCAGCTCTTAAAAATCAAGGAGCAGCCTGTGGCCTTCACTGTCATTTCGTGAACCTTATTTATTACGAAATATATTCACCGAGTAAAGATATTCCTCTTATCAATATAAATATATGAATTATACTCTGTGTGAAAGATTAAGAAGTGAGAGCATATTTCGTAATGAACACGGACCGCGTGCCCCCAGCGCACCTATTCACTCGGCGAGGGTGAAGCAACGATAGGGCAATGTAATAAAGATAAAACAATCATAAAGACAGTGAACATATAATAATAATAACAAAAATATATTACTAATCCTAGAATTCAAAAAGAAACAATCACCCTCGGCAAGAGATCGGGGAGCTGAGAGACATCTATATATTTATACATGTATTTATGTACCTAGGTCACTATGTTGGTGTTTCTATTTCCATTCATAATATCTATGGATAATATAATTATATAAGGTATACAGCATTGAAAGGCACCTAATACGTGTTGTCCCTATCAATGCTGTTACATACAAACTATTGATAACTATGGTTTTAAAATTTCAATGGTGATCATTTTATAATGGTAGCTGAAAGATTTATACTACTCTTTAAACCCAAGTTCTAGTTTGTCTAAATAATACTGTTATCAATGGCTTGGTAAGAAACTTACTAAAGACGTTAAGATTTTATTAATATACGGAAAAGTTGAGATGTAACTCTTAAAATTTGTGGGCAACTAAATGCATCCTCATATTACTTTACTTTATACCTTAACATACGGTGTACACGTTTATTTTAAAATGATAATGAGATATTGGCCTATTTTTTTCGTGTCTCTTTCAAATACAGAACTATCAAAATATAAAAAAATATTGAGGACTATCAAACAACATTCATATGTATATATTATTATTATATGTATACTTATGTACATCTACAAGAAATTTTGATCTTTATAGTACCCAAAGTATAGTTCTGCGCTAAGTCTAACATTAATTCCAATTATATTCTCAGTTCGATATTCGGTATGACTGTAGAATGAGACATTCCTACAAATCATACACATATTATAATTTTGAATGTTTCCTCGATATACTTGAATAAATAAACACTACCAATATTTACATTTGCTGAACCAGCACATGGACACACACATGGAAATAAAATAATGTATCAAAATAACAACACGGGAAGTTGTAAAACAATAGGTATAAATGTCGGTTTAACACTATGTATTACATATTAGAGCTCTTACAATATTTTATTTCCAGTTCTACCCTGACCTGCAGACTTAACTAAACTTACACTACCACATCATTTACATAGAAATGGCACCAATCTATCTTTGATATCAATAATGGCAAACCATAAGGAACCCCCGCAGCGGACACTTTAGCTGCACAGCTCGGTGCGCAAGAACTGTCTCAAGGTATTGGAAGACTACTGCACTATACACTATTCATTATTACTATTATTCGAAAAACAGTAATGAAATAAAGTTCTGCTTCTTGCCAAAATACGTTTGTTTGTATATATGTATGTATATTGCGATATCCTAAATGGGTAAATAATTATGTAACAATGTTTTATGATGACTACACTTTATATGAATATTCAATCTCATCGGAAATATAAAATGAAGTTTATCGATGGTGTTATGATTGATATTGCCTAATGTCGCTAACCGCTAGAAGGCACACAAAGTTTAGTAAGAAGCTTCACAAATTATGCTCTTTGTTTATGTAACGGCCAGTCGGCCTCTTTAACCACGACGCACGAGACGAATACTAACACCCAGAACTCACTTATTCTGTAAGACACACTAAAGCGTACTCCGGCCGATGTCCTCTCACATTGAACACTGAACATAACATTATTCTGAACGTAATACGTTTAAAAAATATTGCCAATTTTATGTTGCAACAGGCACTTCTCTGGATTTCTCCAATAAACATCATATTAAAAGTTATTAATTTTGTGAAGCTTTCAATATTGCCTCTCAGGACTCTGCTAGTTTATGGAATTATTATTTGTACTTCTTATTTACTATTATTATTATTTTTATATGAAACCTGATTTTTATTTATAGTATTCTTATGGATTAATCTTGAGGAGTATTATCTAGAGTCCCTTATATTTCTTCAGCGATCAAAATACTTTACCACTCACCAGTAACAGTTCTATATAAAATTACTGAACTTCCATATACACTGACACGTTCTAAGTTAAAGCATCGCAATAAGATATTGTTACATTTCACTACGACTAATGAAGGATGGGTATGACGATGACAAGCGAATGACGAACATTAAAATTTAGAATTTTTAAGTTGGAGATTTACCATTTACGATTCCAAAATTTATCACTAAGCAAATTAGAATATGAGATCAAAAATTTTAGGCCTACAATCTATCATGATGAGACTTTTAAGTATTGATTTATAGACGCCACCACGGAAATTAATATAATCATGTGATGGTAGGTATAAATCACAGTTGTAGGTATAAATCACAATGCATATATTATCATAGGCGGTACCGCTACGTGACTACTCACTACATCCTCGTCTCTATTGTGATGTCCACCTGGTGTTGTCGAGGGATTCCACAAGCGTAACGAAACCAACTCGATTCCTCTCTGCCACCTCCCACACGCGGATACAATCCAACAGCGCAGCCTTGCTGGCGCTCATACCACGCCCGACGAAATCAACAGTGTATAAATAAATAACTCCAAATATAATAAACAAATAAAAGTGCATGAGTCCATGCTGACGATCCTAGCGAGGAGCTGCCTGTCTCCTCTGCGCTCAATTATATCATTCTGAATGATAGCTGCTCTTGTTGATGGCTGCCAAATATATATTATTGCACTCTGGCTGCGTCCTGCTCAACCAAGAGCTGTAACAACGTATACAATATCATATCATAACACTTCCTTGTTTTAATATAAGGATCCATTAAATAAATTAATATAAGCATATTGTCTTTAAATACCTAAAACTGGTGATCAATCTGCAAGATGCATTTGACCGGACATCTGGGGCTGCGGCGTTGGTGTATGCGAAGGAGGAGGTGACGCTGCAAAAGGCGTTAAGTCGATATTATTTCTTTTATACCAAGACTTCATAAATAAAACTCAGTAGAATACTTACAAATAGATGCAATAGACTGGGGCGACATCGCAGACATTTTGCTCGTATCTTGCATGGAGACTTGAGTTCCTTGAGATGTCATGTAGCGATTTACCATTGGTACAAAGCTGGAAAGAAATTGCCGTCTATCAATCGCTTCTATGGATCTGATCTATGAACAAGTAATTCGTTCTACGTGTGCGGTATTACCTAATGACTAAGGTGCTAATGTGGAAGCGGAGAAAAAAAAGATAATGCGGTGCTTGGCCGTACCTGGGTACTTCACTCGGAATGCAAATGGACTTAATGGTGAAATGTTAAACAACAAAGCTATTAAGTTTTAATTCAGCCATATTTGATTCAAATTACTATTGAATGACGATAAATGTAGAAACGAGGTAATAATATTAAAAATTCACTCCTTCAATATTTAATGAATGAGGATGAATTTGAAAGCATTTCAGTAATTTCGATTTTCATACCTTAAGTCACAAACGCCGGGGGAATCAAAGTTGCTGTTGTTAGAGTTGTTGGTGTTGGTAGCAACACTGTTGATGGTGCCGATACTGTTAGCCGACACATTGCTATGATTCTCGCGATGGACACGGTTGTGGTGTCTGTACAAAGGAAATTGAGTTGTTCAGATTATCACAGACGGGAGTGGATAGAGCGTAATTTTTCGGTAAAAGACTTGAAATATTTTCTTTATAAAAGAAATATCGATAGTACAGTAAATGAAGGTTATGTAAAACTTCTGTGGCGCATAAGGTACAAGAGAAAATCCTAATGTGGGCAAAGTTCTTTTTTAATAATTATTTGCTGCTTACGTAACGGATTGACGAGGTAATTCGTCATCAAGCCATGTTATGTTTACTTGCATTGCTTCCTTTAACTGTGAGCCGTACAACATAATTAAAATTAATGAAGATATTATGAAGTGACCTTATCAGATAGCTGTCTCGAACGAAGGAGCGGCCGCAGACACTGCACTCGTAGCAGGAGCCGGTAGAGTGCGTGCGGATGTGCAAAGCGAACTGAGACTTCGATGTAAACGACATCGAGCAACGGTCGCAGTTCAGCGGCTTGTCGGCTACATGCGACCATCTGGTGACAAAACCAACCATGGTAACACATGCCTACTAGAGCTACCATCCTTGTGATCACAACAGACATTATTTTAAGGAATTTACGCACCTGTGCGCAGTTACATAGCTCTTCACAGCAAAGCGCTTTTGGCAAATATCACAAGCATACGGACGTTCACCTGAAACAGAAATTTTACTGTAAAACAAACGAAACTATCTACCTGAAAACAAATGAAAGCAATGATCTTTTAAATAAATGAAAGCATTATGAAGGCACATGATGTTAGAAAGACGGCAAGATGCGATTAGAGAGTGATGCAGTCTGAAATTAATGAATGGAAGCCAAGAAATTAAATAAATAATAATAAGTATTGAAACTCAAGTGATGATGTAGCGGATGATTAGAATTATTAAAACTTACGTTGTCGGTGCCACATCATTAAGTTCAGAATGACAAAATATCTGCCTGGTAAAGCAATTTGCCGTCTTCTAAACGAACCATAGCTATCTTTCAACCTTAGTGTAACTCACTACGCTCTATGTGTAGCAAACTACCAGACCAAAAACATTTTTATTTAATTGTAGTAGATACGAATACATGCTTTATTTCCGTAGCCATTTCGAGGCAGTACTATGCATGCAGTTTCATTTATTTAAGCTTGCGTATATATCTTTTTTATTATTTGAGCATTATTTTGGACCTTTCTCGTCCAACATGCAAAGGTTTATCAGTTACCCGTAGTACGCAGCTGCTGTATACATAGTATAATGATTCCTAATTATGTTAGTAGGTATCACAATGTTTTTTATCTGTTAGACACACTAAGCTATGAATCATTTGGTTTACATAATATGATCCCTGTGATTCAGGAATACTTCAAAGTGCTTGCACACATAACCCAATAACTCTGGGCACTGTCGACTTACAGTGCTCATGCAATAGCTATTATGTGAAGTTGAGCGTTGTTTGAATGTAAAATTTGCAGTTGTGTATGCAAAACACCGCAACATAGGGAACGCGATGTGGCCGTACCGGTATGAATTCGCTTGTGAATGTTGAGCGTGGATTTCTGCGTGAAGCGTTTGTAACAGACATCGCACTCGAACGGCCTTTCCCCCGTGTGAGTGCGCATGTGTATCTCCAGGTACGGCTTGCAAGTGAACGCCGCCGGGCACTCCATGCATTGGTATGGACGCCCTTGCACTGACCACCCGCGCATTATATTAGTTTTCAATTCACTTATTACAATTATGATTATACTCACAACAAAACTTGCTATTAAACTTATGTGGCACCGACAACTTTGAATTCCAACATATGAAAAATTAATAAGAACAAGAATATGACATATGGTAAATGTTAGACTTTGTTGGTGATCATGAATTTTTGAATAAGGAAAAACAATAAGAAATAGGCGTGCGCTGAGCGTTGTCGACTGACCTGTGTGCGTTCGTTTGTGTATATTGAGTGTAGATTTTTGCGCGAATCTCTTGAGGCATACGTCACACTGGTAGGGCCGCTCGCCGGTGTGCGTGCGGTTGTGGATCTCGAGGTACTGCTTGCAGGTGAAGGCGGCGGGGCACTGCAGGCACTGGAAGGGCCGGCCCTGCACTGTGGACGAGTGACACGGTTAGCCAGGACGTGAGAGCCCGCCTCCCCACGCCGCGCACGCTAGTAGCCCACATACGTTACGTTCGTCTGCGTCGCACCGGCTCGCTCGCCGGCCACCCACGTACCTGAATGCGTCCGCTTGTGGATGTTGAGACTGGATTTCTGTGTGAAGCGCTTCAGGCAGATGTCGCACTGATAGGGCCGCTCGCCGGTGTGCGTGCGCGTGTGTATCTCCAGGTATTGCTTGCAGGTGAAGGCGGCGGGGCACGACAGGCACTGGAACGGTCTGCCCTGGACTGGTGCCCAACACATATATTATAGCGGCGGCGAGCCCGCAAGGACGCTAGACGCCCTCGCTCTACGGAGGTCGCGGCGCGGACCGGTCGCCGCTCGCCGCGTACTCCGCTCCAAATCTTTCGCTAGGTATTGTTACAAAGGCTCGCGATCGCTCGACTACTCGGAGACAGATTCGGAGAGGCGGAGTGCGAGTGGAGAGAGGCGTGGGCGGGCGTACGGCCAGTCCGGCCCGCGGGGTCACCCACCTGTGTGCGTCCTCTTATGTATATTGAGGCTGGACTTCTGCGTGAAGCGCTTCAGACACGCGTCGCACTGATAGGGCCGCTCGCCTGTATGCGTGCGCATGTGAATGTCCAGGTAGGGGCGACGGGCGAACGCCGCCGGGCATTGCCCGCACGCGAAAGGACGCCCTTGCACTGCGCCCAGTGCACACACAAAAGCGAGTAACGCACGTCGCCGACGCATCACGGTACCTCGGCCCCGGGCCGCCACCCGCCCACTGCCAATCTCGACCGCATCACCGTCGCACGCGGCGACCGATTCACCCCCAATTTTGTGACCCAATTTTGATATCCAGCACCGTATCTACGCTACGATGCTGGGGCGCCAAGTATGCGTCTTTGCGGCGATTGCATTACCGCTTTTGTGAATGAATTAATATCCATGAAGAAATGATAAAATGATAAATGCTAAAACACCGAGTTGTATGCAGAATGAGAGGAATAAGAGGGCGAATGACCGGCAGTTATTATTAATATGATAGGCGGGAAATTATCAGTGATTGCAGAAGTACGTAAAAGCGCGCATTTGCATGAGTTAAAGAAATCGAGATGTTAGTCGAAAGCAACGAGATGGAAGCTATCAAAATAGGGAGAGTAAAACAACGGGTTAGGCGGGCAACGGAAAAATAGGAGCGAAGCATGACGCTAAATGAAATGACTGCATGACGAGTCGCAAGTTAACGCTAATCGTACCGAAAGGAATACTGCGGATTATAATATATGTGGGCTACTAACCCGTATGTATTTTTTCGTGCAAATTGAGCGCGCACTTCTGCGTGAAGGACTTGAGGCAGACGGTGCACTGGAACGGCCGCTCCCCTGCGCCGCCAACGCACGGACACGGGGGGACAGAGAAACAAAACAAAACCACGATGGACAAATAATACTACTGAGCTCTGGTACCGATTACCGATCGTATCCAACTGACTACCATGAGGGAATTTTAACACGTTATTTGTCCATCAGACATTCTCTCTCCTATAACTTAACGGAAATCATCACAACGTACACATGCTTTACTTGTTTGTGAATAGTTTTTGAGCGTGTGTAACCTAATGTAAGCTGCCATATACAGACTAAAACCAATATTATTCATGTATCATTTCCGTAACACTAACCATGTTCACAGGTCATAACAATAAAATAAAAACAATACTTAGGTCAGGGAGCCCTTAAAACTATTCACAAAACTTAGGCTTCAAAGTCACAATGTTATTAATTAATTGGAATTGTGGCAAATACATTGTGGCTCCGACACCGAACCAAAATAAAGGAAATATCAAGGGACCCACCGGTGTGTATACGTTTATGAGTGCCAAGGCTGGACTTCTGAGTGAACCGCTTGTCACAGATGTCGCATTGATAGGGGCGCACTTTGTTGATCAGCGATTGGATGTGCTCCTCTAGAAATACCAATAAAATTCAGCTAAAACAACGGTCCAGCTCGCCACACTGCTGCAGTAACATTTTACTGCCTAGTAACTAGCTGAGCTAACGTATAATATAACAAATTCATTGTCTACTTAAGGATTTTAGGGGAAAATGCCTACCAGTGTGTATTTTCCCATGTCGTCCCAGGCTGGACTTCTGAGTGAAGCGCATAAAACAGATGTGGCACTGGTACGGCCGCACTTTCTCTAACAGGGCTCGTCTGTGCTCCTCTATAAGTTATACGAGTTTCGATATAGCATCGCAGCACCCTCTCAAACAATATGTATTTCATTAATATTACCTAATATGTTAAACAATTGAAACCATTCACACACATTCAGGGGGAGGTAGGCTATCTCTATAACATAATACACGTTAGTACCGTTCTGCCTCAAGGAATACGTCACGCATAAGTAGGCAGGAGGTAGAGGTAGGGACCCACCGGTATGTATTTTTCCGTGCCGGCCCAAACTTGATTTCTGGGTGAATCTCACAAAGCAGATGCCGCACTGGTAGGGCCGATCCTTAGCCAGCAGCGCACGTCTGTGTTCCTCTGAACGAAACCATCGAATGAGTCAGAATACGGCTAACATTCAACTTTGAACGGACAAAGAGAGGTGCGGGCTTTAGGAGCCGAGTGAGGAGGTGGACAGTACGTATTACTGCAGCGACAGTGTCGGCACGGGGCGGTGCTAAAGATATCAACCCACCCGTGTGTATTTTCTTGTGTCGGTTGAGGCTGGAGCTCTGCGTGAACCGCATCTGACAGAGATCACACTTGTAGGGCCGGTCCTTCACCATCAACGCGCGCATGTGCTCATCTAGAACCCAGGCCACAGTCCAACAACACAGGTCCGGTGCTACGGGAGCACTGTCTACACCACGTTACACAAGAACACATAATCGATTTGTCGCTGCCTGCAGTATCTGCATACCGCAGCTTATCCATTGTGCGTTCTTTACCTCCCCCTGTTTACCTCACATCAAACGAAGCCTTCCTCACGCCCTGATCTTTTTGCGAAAACACTATTAGCTCTATTGGCACAACTCAAAAACTATTCACATGTCGTATGTTAAGCATATGTATTGTCAACTATTACAGCGAATTGTGTGTCGCACCAGTGTCCTACTTGGCTATATGTACGTGTACTTCGTTACATTTAATATGATAAGGAAAATGGATAAACAATATTGTATAATATAAGTGTCTGAATAAAAGTCGTAAAAAGCTCCGTCCAAAGGCCGCGTGCTTATAAGTAAGTATAAATAAGCACTATGGTCAAATAAAAATATAGTAGGCACCCAATGAAGTATTGAAAAACGAAAAGGGAGACGACATTTCTAATAGGACAGGTTTAAAAGGAATCTGTTACTTATTGTAAACTTATACGAACTTGTTCAAGTCTTGTAAAGGATAGAATCACTAGCTACTTACATATATAAGAGTAATAATAAAAATAAAACGAAACATTTTAGTACTTGTGCATTGAAATGATAAATAAAAGTACGGTTTCCTAGCAAGTCCAGGGTAATAGATATAAATATGTAGCACATCTAGCGTAAAAATAATAGGTATGATATAGACATAAACAAGAAAAAGACAATACATATAAAATACAAAATAGCTCGTTTATCAGGGCGTCAAAACAGGAGATAAGCCATAATCAATAACAGGTAGCCAATGGAAAATTTAAAACAATAACACAAAATAATTTCAATAATTCGGTTCGCGGAAACAGGAGGAGGTCAACTTGAAAATATAATAATCCAATTTGTTTTCATAATTATTATGAACAATCCCCTCATGGTACATGGTAAAATTGGGAATTTATTGAGTTTTTCCAGTTCAGTTCAGGTAAAATGTAACTTCCATATAAATCTCCTAATACCTCCATCCTAAATTCAGTGTTAAAACATTCATCCCTATAACACATTGAACATTTTTTTACTTTTGGGGGGGAATCATTTTAATCGAAAAATAAATGCAATAAATTACTAAAATTAAAATTTTCTCTTTGTGCCAAATATAAGTTTATAATTGACTGGCGATAACAAAATAATATGGAAATTACATTAAATTGCATTCAACAACAATAATGCAATTACAAGTATCATTTTGGGATAATACAACAATAACATCAGATAAATAAATATTTTTCAAGCGATTTGCTTTTGGTCAAATTACTGACAATACTAACACAAAATTAATATGTTTCAGATCTTTAAGACAGTAGTAAGGCTTTTAGCATTGGATATTTTAGTTTGAAAAATATTATTTATTTAGGCGGACGAAAAACAGTCATTTTTTTAAAAGCAGTGCAAGGGCCTGATTTTTTTCGTCTGTTTTTCGTGTGCCTGTAAACAACACTGAGATGCTTTTAGATGCAGTAACATCTTGTTAGTAGGGTACACTGACCTGTATGAACACGTTTGTGCGTGTTGAGACTGGATTTCTGCGTGAATCGTTTGAGGCAGAGATCACACTGGAAGGGGCGCTCGCCTGTATGTGTGCGCATATGCACTTCTAGGTAGGGCTTACGGCAAAAAGCTGCGTCGCAAACCTACGTCGGCAAAGAAAACCGATGATCAGTAGCTGAATTACCCTTAATTGAGTACCTAGTTGGAACTTAAAAAGACAATCAATTAAGAATCAAAAGCTGGAAGCGAAATGAAGACCTTATTTTCAGGCCTTTTAAGTAACTATCCGGTTTCGTCTATTAAGCTCGATAACTTTAAACAATACCTATCTGCGCGACAGGAACATAATAATAACAATATAAAAGAAGTGCCCTTTCTAGAATTAGACAAAAACCACTGCCTTCATTGTAGTGATACTCATAACCCTAAAAGTTTGAACATCGCGGTCTTCTTTATTTAAAAAAAGGTATTATACTAAGCAAAATACGCTCTTATTCGAACGCAAAGAAAGTTCTTTTTCAACCACAAAGGTAGGTCACAAAGTTGTCACCTGGCCTACATTATTTGTAATGCGTACGTAACATTTTAAGGGTGTATAAAAATCCAGGCGAACAAACAATTTAGAAGCCCCTTCTACGTCCATTGACAAATCGGAACCGCTTCGGTACATCTGTCCATTTTGTAGTTGTAGTTACTAGTAACGGCCAACTGACATCGCGTGCAATTTAGCAATTTTATTTGCTGTAGAAACAAGTTGTATTGTTTACTATGTTATTAAATATTGTAACATAATTGAAAAATCTCTGTTATAACGTGCTAACATGCAGGTACGTTTTATGGGCCAATATTATAAAAATCGTTTTGTATAATGTATAAAAAAAATACCGGTATTCACAATTTTTTATTTTTTTGTAATAGTTTGGTAAGCTTTTGGTTAATTGTTGTTTTATTTTTTAGTAATATACGTACTGTGCACTGAAAGGGTTTGTTGCCTGAGTGCAGCTTCATGTGAACATAGTAAGATGAAGCTGACGACAGTACTTTGCCACAGACCTGAAACAGGAAACATTTACAAGAATTACCTTTCTGGATATATTCCCCGGCGCTTGTAGCATTGTTTAACGTAGTCATGAGAATTGGTGATATTAATGATATGACAGAATAAAGAAGTAAGACTAATGACAATAGTTCGGTGCTTTTTATTGAAAGAAAAATATCGAAATTGATAACCATTTTTAAATTTATTAAAAAACTAATCTTCGGCCCACAGTCACAATAAAAATCAATTAAATTATCTATAGAACATCAAATAACTAAATAATGAACAAATGAAATTGAATTATATGTCAAAATCAAAAAATAGCATTTGCCAATTAATTTTCCAGTTCTCACCTTACAGGCCTGAGGTTTAGACCGTGGTGTCGATTGACCACCATTTGCCACTTCCATTTTAGTTTGAACTGATCCCATGTCCACCCCCATACCCTGTTTAAAGAGTAAGAATGGTGATTTTATCGCAAAATCCGCAAAAATAATATAATTTAGAAAAAAAATACAATCTTTACCTGAGGGCACTGTCGTCCGTCCATGTCCATATCAACTCCTTCATCTTCCATGCCTTTAAAGCTCAACTGAAATGAATAGAAATAGTCTCAATGTACTTACTTACGGCCGAAAGTTTTAAACAGGCAATTTTTATTCAAAAATTTTAGCTTGACGTCGTTTATTGATTTCACACGTTAATGCACTTTGACGAAGAACAAAAACATGGTTCTGGACTAAATCCATGTTTTTGGTCTTCGACGAAGTCTCCTTTTGTTACTCACCTCATCGTCTTGTTGCATTTCTTGTTGTTGTTGGTGTTGTTCCATGAGATCTTGCTGATGTTGTACTTGCTGTTGTACTATGAGGCTATCTTTAGAATCCTCTTGGTGTGCTTGGTGATGTTGGTTCATTGAAATAATTGATGCATGACTTGAATCTGAACGTATTATTGTTGGGGGACCGGTATGTACGTGTGGGTGAGATGTGTAAAAACTGGAAAGCAAGAAAATTGGTCATTTTTCCCTATTGAAACTATTAGTTTTGGTACTATTGACTGTGGGGATCGTAAGAACTTAATAATTAGCTTCTAAGAATCGTAAACTTTAGTTGAGTCACTGTGACCCTAATACAAAAACAAGCTGTTATCATGTCTTGTGCTCTGCTGCTGCTTTCTTACCTCATAGGTTCAGCTTTGATTTGCTGTTCGAACATGGAGATAGTGGCGAGTAGGTCGCCAGGGGGTGGCACGGGGACCCCCACGCCCCGTGCCACACCCCCGACGCCTACGCCCCAATGTGCTGGGAAACTAATGGCGACCTCTTTGCTCCCCCATTTTCAACTTCTGCCACCTGTAAAGAACTTCATGTCAAGTGCCGATCCATCAAAACTGCACTTAATCTACCTGAATAAGTACTGGAATAACGGCTTATTTTAAGTGACTACTTCGGTAAACTTTCAACAGAATGCAAGTATAATTAATAAGTTGGAAATTTAAATTTATGTAAAGTAGTTATATATTTTAAATTTCCATATTTATAAGGTACCTACAATTATTTATTTATGCATACATAAGTATCGATAATTGTATCATCAATCCAATGAAAACAATGTCATTGTCGGCGTAAAACGATGAATAAATGATAGAAGTTTGATCATACCTGGAATATATTAAGACATTCTGAAGCTAATGAGCAAAGTTTGAGAGTTATCACACAATGAGACCAAAATGCTGACTCTTTATTAAATAGGACACAATACTTTATTTATTCTATCCACATTATCCAACGCGGATATGGCTGTTTTAGTAGAGTAAGTAGTCTGTTTAGTAGAGTACCTACCTCTATTGTCTTCCTTTATATTTAATCTTGTCCTTCAAAACAAAGATGGAGAGATGGAAATTAAGTCGAGATTACATATCACAACTTAATTTTCATCTGTTTTAGATAAAAAAATAGTGTATTGCTTTTTCTTCTCTTTTTAGCTCGCATTGGCTGCTCTAACACACCTATCTGTTTTATTATCATTGATTTAGCCGTAATTATTTACGGCATTTGTCGTAAGAGTGACAACAACAGTAAATAAAAAACTCTCTAGACCATTTAATTATTTTAATACCTAATTGTGTAAGATTTGTTAAAAGAGGTTTAGTAAATCTATTAATAACAGGTATGTTATAAATGTAGCACATCATCGAACGTGTTAAACCACACTATGAACTATGAAAATATAGTTAAGTATAACAGGGAACAACACTACAAGCAGTGATGAGCAACTGAACAAGGCAATTTACATGATAACTTTGGGAAGAGGGAGTGATGGTAAGGTTGGTACAGTACAGGTTAGTGAATACCTAAGGAGGCGCGCACCATATCATTTTTTAGGCGTTGATGTGTGTGCATTCAGGACTGAATGATTGTTGCTTTATTAAATCAATACATTTTCTGTACCGATATTTTCGGCAGATAAATATTTGACATTTATGTACCCCGCAGAAAATTTACATGAGGTAAGTCTCTAAAAAAAACATTAGCACTTTTTTGCGATTCGAAATAAAAAGCTCGGTTTTCCGTGTAACAAAATATAATTAAAACAAAAACATGATTACAAACCAAAAGATACAAGGCAACAAAACAAAAAAAGAATACAAAATTGTAAAGTCACAAATACAAAAAGCATAGAAATAATAATAGGCAAACAAGGCATTATTAAAAAAATATAGGCAGGTTGATATTTAAGGGTTATACAGATAATACCAAATATTTATCATTACAAATTAGATTACACATTGAGGTACATTGCTGTTTTATTTATAATTGTTAGGCCGTTGACTGAGCACAGTAGATAGGTGCATAAAAAGCCGGAGATATGTATGCGAATCGCAATAGATACATAAGTAGGTATAGGCATGTATATGAATAAAATGATAGCATACACTCACACAAGGGCGCTTATCTTTAGCATATTTGTGTAGCGCATATGCAGATATGTATGTAAACTTGTTCACATATACAGCGGCAACTCTAATCGGTAGATATACGAAAGTGTAAACAAGAAAACATAATGAAAACAGCTAAAATGTCTAACAAATTATTAAATGGCGGAAGCTCACCGACCGACTGTCTCCACCCAGCCTCCCCCCCGGCCATCAATAAAATGGCCAATTCGTTATTGAATTTTGTCCCCAACTTTCAAGCCGAGGCTGCGCGACGCCGGTTGTCATACGACAAGTAATTTAGTAACCAATACAAGTCTAATGTAAACAAAACGGGTTTCTAACACACTATCTATTCAACGTTTCGGTGAAAGTTATGTCATATTATCCTGAGCTAAATCTACAGAAACGACTTTGTGAAATTCTTATTAGTTACTATCTGTAAACATAAACATTACTTGGAAACGAAAGACTTGTAGCTATTGGAAATACAACGACCTTTCATAATGTACGGAGGGAATGAGATACAAATTTATTATTATTTCTTTTTTATGCAAAATGTTAGGTTTCATCGCGCTTATGTTATTATATCATTATAAATGTATAGCAAAAGTTATATTCTACTCACATAAGTAAAGAAACACCTAAGTATAGTAGTGTATACAGAATCACATAAATTATAACACTAATTACACAATTTCGTTAAGATTGGCCATTCGAATTATGTTTTTCTTAGACACCGACATAAAATGGCTGCTACCTCATTGTTCTGCGCGTTCGTTCGTGCGCATAGAAGCCGTGAACGCTTGGGGACGACTTCTCCGCCAATTAAAATTATGGCGCGAAATTTAAGGCGTCGTTAACTACAATTTAATGTTGTATTTATGATAATTATTAGCGCCAGTTGTTAATTCAAATACATAGCAATTGTATAACAAAAAACAAATGATGTTATGAACAGTATGATGAAAGCTGGAATATACACGAGGTTATTACATTCATATTTATCTACTTTATCGGTACCTAGCGGAGGAGAATTAATTTTCTTTTGTTGATGGCGAATACCATCTAAATGTTGATTTAATTGGTTTTCGGAGTTTGTAAATATATGACAAATAGGACAATAATATTTCTTATATTTCTTATTAGCAACCAGTTTAGACTTTCGCATTTCTTCCGCCATGATGTTACCACCCTGCGTATTATGTAGACGTTTAGGTACCTATAAATTGGATGTTGTCTGTCTGCAAGATTGCAATTTATTGATTAACTATTCTTTTTGAAAACTAGACCAGTTCCCTGTCACCATATAACAATTTATGCTAAGTGAGTAGGTAGATTTATTATATATTGAAAAATTTAAAAAAATACCTACTCACTTACAATATGAAAACGTTAGTAATGTATGTTGCTTAACTTCAGGAAAGCTTAATGATATTAAGCGAACATCATTAATTTTATTTTATTAAATGCAATTATGGTACGTAGGTAGATATTTTATCTCAATAAGGTAACCGGCAAGTATAATAAAGACTTATTACAAACATAACGTTTTTAGACATGAACCCTACAAAATGAAACATAATATTACTATCCAAGAAACCAAACATTACTATTATCCGACATTAGCCGACATTTGTTAATGTAATAATGTTTTTGTTGAATATTATGTGTAGTTAAATAATATAACATTTATATTACCTATATTACTTACTTTTTTGGTAGATATCAATTTAAAACAGACAGTCAAATCAATATAGACATGCTTATAGTTTGTAAATATTATCCTATTCTAATTATATCGTTTGCAACCAGTGTTCAATTTACACGCTATTAAAGGATATCAATAAATTTGCTGCAGCCGGTCCTGCAAAAAGTAGTTTCGTTGTTTGATTATTATTGGATCGGTGAACATTAGTGGACCTATATAATATGTATAAATTTTATTTTCTCAGTGTCGAACAGTGTAGAAGTATAATAAGAAGATATTTCTTCTGATGTAAAAAGACATGATAATTCGCGCTGCAAATAACACGGACTTTCATGTGTTTATATAGCAAAATAAAATGCTGAACGTAAAGTGGTCTTAAGAAAATAATAATTTATATGAAAATGCTATTCTTGTAATAAATACAAAAGTTAATGTTATGCTCGTGGTTGTTTTTTAAATATTTAAATGAATTCTGATTGTTTTATTGCAGTTGCATAGACAATATCTCAAAAGACTATTGCCCGATTGCTTCCCTCTACGTTTGTTTATGTTTCACGTTTGACAGTGACGTTTCCTCCTAGATTGTTTATGGTTCTTTTTGATAAATCGTAACCATGGCGGTGGGTGTTTTATATTTTTGTATTAAATTATCTATTTGAATCGGTTTTATTTGCCTATATTATGCGCGTAAATATGTTTCAATGCATTATCTATTTAAATAGGTGTCATATCACTCCTGTATTTATTAAATTATTGTTATATTTTGGTCTTAAAATCGGCATAACCTAGAGTTGTATGTTAACATGTAGAATATAATTTAAAATAAGTGTGATGTTGAGTGCAAACCGTAAATGAAGTATATACATTTCAGCGTGTACCACCGCCCGCGTTGAAGAAAGACAAGAAGGAGAAGAAGCCTCCTAAGGATAACTCCAAAAATGTTATGAGAAACCTTCACATCAGGAAACTCTGCTTGAACATCTGTGTCGGAGAGTCTGGTGACAGACTGACTCGTGCTGCTAAGGTTAGTCCCAATTTACAAACCAATGTGCTTATTGATTGTTGTATTTGTCTTAGGTTACCCCCAAAACATGACTGTAGCTCATGCTTTAACCACACCATAGTATTAAATACATGAATCTAATAAATAATCACAATATTAAAAGCCGTCTTGCCATGATATTGCATATTTCTAATGTTGTGAATTGAATTTTTACATTAAATTTATTATCTCTGATGCAGTAATATCAATATTCAAAACTAAATGCACTATCCCATGTGATGTGTACTTTCATATTTATAAATGAATAGAATGTAGCATGAACTTGTTCAAGAGTGACATACACTTGTGTTACTGTTTGTAAATTCATGCAAAATTAATATTTCCAATTTGCAACTTCTGAGCACTATTACCTTACTGTTCAGAATACTTACGGAAATTACATTGACAAAATGAAGAAGTATTATTATCAAAAATACAATTTCATTTTGCACCAAGCTTCATTGAGTTATTGACTAATAGATTATTTGTAATAAGTACTATGACTTTGTGACTGAAAAGAGAGGTTATGGTGTAATCTGGAATAACAGCACATAATTAATATTGGTTTTGTGCAATTTCAGGTGTTGGAACAGCTTACTGGTCAGCAGCCAGTGTTCTCAAAGGCCAGGTACACTGTCAGGTCTTTTGGTATCCGTCGTAATGAAAAAATTGCTGTCCACTGCACTGTCCGTGGTGCTAAGGCTGAGGAGATCCTCGAGAGGGGTCTTAAAGTAAGTTTTAAATGTTTTTTTTTTATTTTAGTTTGCAATCAAATACTGATAGTAAATCAATAATATTCCAAAGTTTTTGATTGATGTTACAATGCAAATGAAATAGATTTCAACCCTTTTTTGCTCCTGTTGTTAAATAGATGCAAGTAGTTGGTATTGTTAACACAATAATGTGTCTCCAAGTTTCTATAATATTCATCAACTAGTTGTTTAACTCCATACAGATCTTGGCAATACACAGTTTATTTTTGATTTTTCTGAAATACCTAGATATTATTCTAGAGATTAATCATTACATTTTCTTCTAGGTCAGAGAATACGAGTTGAGACGTGACAACTTCTCAGCCACTGGCAACTTTGGCTTTGGTATTCAAGAACACATTGACTTGGGTATCAAATACGATCCTTCTATTGGTATCTATGGTCTCGACTTCTATGTCGTACTTGGACGACCAGGTAAGAATAAAACCTTATTTGATACATTTTAATTATTAAAGAAAGAGTGTTGAGGTTATATCTTTGATAATTGCAATTATTCAGTTTGTTTATAGTTTATTGATGCAATTTTTTTGCACATCTGTTCAAGAGTGACGAAAATAGCATAACTTCACTCTGTAAAAAATGTGCCATATTATTGACCATGTTTTAAAGAATATTATGAATGAATCAATTATTTTTAAAAATATGGTGCACATTTTGATATCTACTTCAACATGTAACTTCCTGTCTTCCAAACATCCCACATTTTTTTAAATTTATTCTTTTTTTCTAGGATTCAATGTAGCACACAGAAGACGCAAGACTGGCAAGGTTGGATTCCCCCATCGTTTGACAAAGGAGGATGCCATGAAGTGGTTCCAACAGAAATACGATGGTATCATCCTTAACAGCAAAAAGTAAACATAAGTAAACAAAATTTATAAAGGTTATAGTCTTTTATTTTTACTTCCCTTTTTTCAATTCAAAGGCAACATATTTTTTCTAAACTCTGCAGCAATACGGTAGTTTCCAACTTCATAGTCTAAGTCAATACTTTTATCTAAATGTCAAAGAACTATTCTATGAAATTTGTTATGACGTCATTGTATTTTTGCTTTAAATAGCTTACTTATTTCTTAATATGCTACAAAATATCTTAGTGTATTGATTGATCGATGAATAATAGTATAGTTATTTTTCAATATTGTATTGAAACTATGAATTAATTTATTTTTGACCTAGGAAACTACCTACCCAATTATGTGTTAGTTTGGATTTAAATTGAAGTAGATCCTTGTCCCTAAGGCACAAGGCAAGTGCCTAAGACGCCAGATTACGGAGGTGCCGGTTAAGAGGTGACGTTCACTGTCGCCATGGCATCGCAGAGGATTTAATTTTAAATAAGTTCCAATATAACTACCTACATTCTAATTTATATCGATAATTCATGAGGTAATTTCTTATGGGTTAACCTTTTCTGCTGTCGCATCTCGCGAGATGCAAGAGGGTCACTGTCAATTATTTACGTTGGTGTAGTCTAAACTAAATAAGGTTGTAACATGTGCATTGGTCATTTCGGGTGGGGTGTAGTCCGGTCGGTGCCGAAGCATAATCTACCTACCATGCTACGGGATGCCGTAGCAAAATCCTATTAGACGCTCACTAGGCTAAACATGCCTATGCGTTGGAAAGTATGTTTCAGATATATTATTATACTGCTCACTCACATGGACGTTACTTAGTACGTATGTGTAAACCTCTGCTGTTAATTCAAGGATTATAAGGCGTGATCGGATATAATGTAAAAATACGGTCGCACTATTCGGGTATCAGCACCGCCCATTAACACTCTTTACAAGTGCGGTGCCGGTGCTTCTTGTGGGTTATAAGGGATTAAGGATAGGGAAGGGAAGGATTTTGCCTCCAGTGACCTCCAGTTAGTGTATTTTACAAAACAACGTAAGTGTTGTTTCACGCCGGTTTTCTGCGAGATCGATCGAGCCGGCCGATTTGTGCCGAAAAATGGGTCTCTTCCACACTTATTCTATGTGGAATGGAGCAAATGGCAATTTTCCTTTACAGATCCGTTTCGCAGATTCCCCTTCATTCTTCAATTAAGCACCAGCTGTTAATAACATAATACGATGAGTGTAAGACTTACACTAATCGTACTTACACTGTAAGTAAAGAGAAACAATAATTTATGTTAGTGGCATTTCACACAAACATTCTAAGTACCTACTCGATACAGCGTGTTTTTAATGGTAGCTGTCTAATCACCAACCCCCATGATATGGAGTACCTCAGTAATACCCCCATGATATGGAGTCAAGCAGTAAGTGACCTTGAAAGCAGGTCCAATAGAAGTCTGAAACGCTATGTTATTCCAGTTGGCATGGTAACACTCCCTATGTTTGGTTGAATAGCAACGCAATGCGATCACGAGTGTCAAGTTTCATTATGAATGATTTTTTATAGTGTATATTATTTGTAATCAAAAAGTATTTTAAATAATTATGGCCTCGAGATTTGCTGATGACGAAGATGACGTTTTGGCGCCAAAGGAACCACAGGTCACGTCATTAGAACCTGAGGAACGTAAAGCAGCTCGATCGCTCCGTATTAAAAGAAGACAGGATGCACTTAAAAGGTGAGTGCCTAGGTACTGTATGAGATAATCTAGCCACCTGGGTGAAAGTATAGATGTTCAGATAACAGCTTTAAATATAAGGAGAGAACCGCTTTATCTTCGCTTTTTAATTTAGGTAGGTAGGTTTTTTATTTTGTTGTAGAAGTACCTACGTTCTTTCCTTCTTACCTATGAATGGTGCCTAAAATCTAATGAGTAGTTAACTTTATTAAACTTAACTATGATGTAACTTTTATAGGTAGGTACCTCCTAGATATATGAAAAGCCAATTGCTGGACTGAGGAGTCTGAACATAATACCTGTCATTCTCCAGTAGATAATTTCAACAATATTGGTCCTATAAACTTAACAGAGCTGACCAGCCCGCTGAGGAAGCAGCGGGTGAAGAAGAACCGAGTCCCATAGAACAAGCTACTTCCACCGCTGCCGAGGAACTGCAAAGATTGGCGCTAGATGGCGCTGCCAAAGTTACCAATGTCAAGGTCACTACAGATGAGCGGGAAGTCATCAGACGGACACATTTCTTTAAGAAAATGTCAAGTAAAAATACTTCTTTTCCTTAATGACCTTATGAGTGATTATTTTTATGGCAAAATGGCGCTAAACAAGCAGTTAGATGACCTGATGGTAAGCAATCGGCACTGCCCCTGGGCGTCCATACCCACATGGGATTGGGCCTTCGGTACCTAATCTAAGTCACGTGGCGAAATACAAGGCAAACGCCGATTTTAGGAAAACAAATTAAGGAGCTTAGATATCATTAATTTGTGTAGGTAGGTACCTAGCCAGTCAATATCCATATACATATACTTATGTTGTGTAAGGTTAGCTGTTACATCTATCTACCAGCCTCGGACTACCAGCATAAAACAGGTACCCAAAAAGGGTATCTATTTATATTAATATCAAACGGTGTGGTAATACTTACTCATGTGAAAAGGAGGGATGAAAAGCATGTAACAGAAAAAGTCATGAGTATAAATGTGGATGGATGGAGAGGAAGGGGGAGACCAAAGAAAATATGGATGGATTGTGTGAGAAGTGATATGGAAGACAGAGGAGTTAGCGATAGCGTGACGAGTGACAGGACAGAATGGAAGAAAAAAAGACCCCAAATAAAATGGGACAATGGCAGGAAGATGATGGTGTGGTAATACTTACCTACCTTATAATTTTTTATATACCTAGGTTCTATGAAAAAGATCGAGGATGAGGCAAATGAAGCACAAGTACAATATGAAGCTATTTCGGAAAATTGGGAAAAAATGTTAGAAATCAAAGATCCTTTGGATATCGACGCTGAGATGAAAGAACAAAAGAAAAAATGCGATGCATTGCTTGCACAAAAGGATGCACTTATTGCTGAGCTTAAAAGTGACCTTAAAAAAATGGATGAGGGTTATTACGAAGATTTGGAGAAACAGGTGGGTAGCATCGTTACTCTGACCTAACTTACAAAAGACTACAGCGCACTGAAATAATTTTATATAATTAATTAATGTTGTTCCTTCTATTTTGATACTTTAAGTAGTTAGGTAAGTACCTAGGTAGGTACCTGTAAAGACGTAGGTTGTAGGCAGGTAGGATCCAAGTAGGTCGTTGGTTGAATTGCGGAGCAGTGGATTGTCGGATTCAATTACCGAATGGAATTATCATGAAATTTATATATTAAAAATAAAAAACAATGATGCATGTAATACTTATATTATAAATATAATTTAGGTACATAATAATATGTCTAATAAGTATTCATTCTTTCAGGATAATGACATCAAAGAATTGTCAGACAGAATAGAGAAACAGGTGACAATAATGCAAAGAGCTTATGCAAAACAGCTGGCTCTCATTGAAGCAGCGGTTAATATCGAAAGGCAAGCAATGACCGAACACAACAACAAAAGATGGGAGGCGCTCTACAAGCAATGTGATAAAGAAGAAGTTGCCCATCTGGAGTACCGATTTTTGCAGGTAGGTACATGGTTTACAAATACTTGAGATCGAATTGCTTGTTAGGCAATAAAAACGTTAAAAAATCCTCTTCTTTCATGGCTCTACCACACTAATGTGGTAGAACCATGCTTTAACATGAATGGACCGGCTCGGCCGGATCGATACTATGGCCATACTACTAATGAACCAACATTTCGGCTCTTTCCTTACTCTTCATTTACCCCTCCTCTTCAATCTTCAAATCCCCTATCCATAAATTCCTAATAATCCACAAGAGGCCGGCATTACACTTGTACTTAGTAACTCCTTTGGTATTACGAATGCTTATGAGCCGCGTTGATTGCTTACCATCAGGTAATTGCCGAACTATGACCCTAAAACCATCCCGTTCCTTCACTTGGTACAAGCTGGGCCGCGGTAGGTACATCATTCAACTTTACCAGCAGCTATGTTTGACCTCTTCCCCTTGGTATCCTAAGAGTCGACAATGAATGAATGAAAATCACACAATCGACAGATATCTGGTACACATGCCCATTTCAAAATGTATAATAATTTCCAATCCGCTTATTCAGTGTAGGTATTAGGTAGGTAGTAGGATTACGAGAGAGAGTTGCAGCCACTAGGCTGTGGCTTTCTCGTCATCCTCCATCTTTTAAACTGCGATCTTCAATCATACTGGTGTAGAGAAGGCTCACAGTCCAGCGGTAAATTTTCACAGATTATTGAAAAACATTAATTTCATACGTCATTCTTTATAATTTACAGCTAGATGAGCACAAACAAGAAATGGAAGCAATAATGTGGGATCACCACGAAAAATATCGCGAAGCCAAAATAGAACTAGAATCATTAATACAAGAATTACAACAAGAATTAGAAAAATTAAAGGCTACTTGTATAATCAACACTGAGAAAATTGGTTACACGTATCAGGTATGTCGCATCGTTTATTAGCTAATACCAACGTCTCAATGGCCTAACAGCATGACAATTTCAGGTCTTAAAAAAACGAGAAGAAGAAAATGTATTTGTAAGGTCGCAACAAAAACGTAAACTTAACAAAATGTCGGATGTTGCTAATGCGTTGAGATCGAAAATTCGCAAAGCAGCTGAGGATGGTGCTATAGAAGAAATAAAAGCAGACGCTGAAATTGTCAAGTTAATGCAAACAATGGACGATTTAGAAAAAAAATCTGATCATTTTTCGCGTGTGAATCATTACAAGTTCACTCAAGTGTGGCGTATGTCTACTGCAAGATGTATGGAGTTGAGCAAACAGCTGCGTCATGGGGAGGTAGCATTGCATGCTCATATTCTTGCTGAACCACCTCCTCCGCCCCCGCAGAAACCACCCAAAAGCCCTCTGAATAAACCGGGTACGTACTAACACCATATCGCTTAAATGAAGGTACATTACAAATATTTATTGTTTTAAGACTTAGATATTCTTTACATTCTCAACCTATTGGCTATTGATTATTATTTTGTTAATTTGTGTTCATTTTATTTTCAGAGGACATCAAAAAAGGGCAAATCGCAATTAAAAAAGAAACTGATCCTAACGACGGGAGTGAGGAAGCAAAAATTAATTTGGTACCTAATTTATTTTATTTCCATGAACATAGCAGTTTTACATAAGATTATTGAGGGGAAAATCATCAAATTTCTTTTCTCACTTAGTTTGGCGCGAGAGGGTTAAGTATCAGACGCGTACTGGCTAATCACCCCCATTTCATCTCCTGCTCTAGGCCACTGCGGTACATTATAGCGCTTGTCCAACCTCGGCTGAACATCATACGCGCCGTACGCTCGGGTCTGATTTTGGGCGGCAACTACCCTTGCTCGCCGTTTGCAGATCCGCGCAAATGGTGGCATTCGTTTTTTTTTATGCTTGCCTACGAAGTTTGAAATTATTGTCGGGTATTTGTGAATGTAATGATGTGGATACTAAAATATAATTTGGTTTCAGATCCGGCATATACTTCAACTTGTGGCTGATAACACGGGGTTTTTAGTTGAAGACCGTTTACTGAAACTTATAGAAAAGTACCAGACGAAATCCAGAAATTTGTGTACTTTAGATGCAATATTTATGGTGAGTTAACAGCTAACCCTAGGTTGAAAAACATAAGAAATGAAGAAACATTGTGAAACGGGTAAAGTTGTCTTATTTAATGTCATACATTACATCATCATTAACCTATAAATGCCCACTGCTGATCAAAAGCCTCTTCTCACACAGAGAAGGTTTGAGCATTAATCACAACGCTTAGAAATTATAAGTCCAGTTTTCCTCGCGATGTTTTCCTTCACCGTATGTTAGTGGAGTCTACATAATCATAGAAAGTAGGTACATATAACTCTGAAAAAGTCACATTGGTACTTGCTAGATTTCGAATCTCTTATGCATGAGAAGCGGGGTCTTGACCTCCGGGCCACCAATGGATTGTCAGTGAAACTTATATTTTCGTACACCCAGGCACTAGAAATTCAAGCGGAAGAGGATATAGAACTTTTATGTGGAACGTTCCTGAACTATGCGTTTTGTCCGATCTGCGTCGGTATGGAAGTGGCATCGGAATGTGTACCTATTGGTTCTGGGACCTCGCAGGATCAGCTGTCAAAAGCAGATTCTCAACTTGGAATTTCTATACGGCAAAGAGGTAATGAGGGGCAAACTTAGCTTGCTAGTACTTTATAAGTGTGGGAGAGCCATGCTTCGGCACGAATGGGTCGGCTCAACCGGAGTGGTACCACGGTCTTACGGAAAACCGGCGTGAAACAACCACAGCTTTGTGTTTTGCAGGGTGAGTGAGGTTACCGGAGACCCAATCCCTCCCTAATCCTAAAATCTCCAAAAGGTCGGCGAAGCACTGGTAACTCCTCTGTTGTTGCGGGTGTCCATGGGCAGAGCTTTTGATTGCTTACCGTCATGTAATCCGTATGCTCATTTTCCGTCCTATCACATAAAAAAACCTATTTAGTCTATCCATTTCTGCAAATTGTGCATATTATTGTACGCAACTACCTACTACTCGCGCATGTTTGAATGTCGAATATTTTATAGGTGACAGAATGTCCATACCCAGAGCTCGTTCGAGTATTCCTGCTCGGAGCATGTCCGCTGCCACGTCACGATCTGCTCACACTGCTTTCAGGTTTGAAATTGTCAAATACAATATTTTTTACTTCAGACGCTTTTAGCTTCGTCATGAAATTGGTACGACCTTTCAAGAAAAACAGTAGTTCTGCTTTATAAGACCGGTAAGGCACTTGTGAGTCACCATCAGGTGGCGGGGCTTACCATCACATGATAATTGTGTTCGTTTAATAAACATAAAAATATAGAAAACTTTACCTACCTTATAACATCACAGGTCTGAATTGTCGCCAGTGGAACAACTCTTAATGGCAGAAGCTGATGAGATCATGCAGAAGTATGGAAATTACCAAGGTAGGTATACCTAATAGGTATAATAATATTTTAATTTGCCCACCAGATTCGTTTTACTTTTAGTGTGACTTTCAAGTTGCGGTTCGAGTTGCCACAATTATGATATTTTGGCTCGCGTCCTATACTGAATAGGAATTACAACGGGGTGGGTTTTGAGTCGGTAGGACTCTGTCACTACCCCACGCCTTAAAGAGGGTGGGAAGATGATTTTCTCCCTGAAAAAAGGTGTTTATGACTTAGGTACGTTTTTTTTTCATTAGCAAATGTAATGATGACTGCGGGCGCTCCTGATGGAAGCTCCACTACTACCAGACGGCCGGGAGCCCGCGGTGTTACAGTAGCAACTCTTAGGAAGGATGAGACGATTGCCCCTAAAAACGACGCTAATCCCTTTTTGTGTCCAAGTAAGTACCTATCTATTTATAAGTAGTTGTAGTAACCTACCTCTTATTTTGCTATGTTGTTCGGGTTAGTAGAATATAAATTTTGTTTTTAGTTTATTTATTTATGCATTTATTTAGATAAGTCGAATTCAGAATTTGCTTGATTATGATATTGATAATAAGGTCCCACCTATCAAGGATTTTTCATTTAAAATGGTGGTAAAAGGTGCATATCAACTTTTAAACAACAGAATTTTGGTTATCTTTCAGTGGGCCATGTCCTGGAAATTGAATCAATGCAAGTACTAACGGCTTTAAATGAATTCATATCAATTTCCGTTCCTCCCGAGAAGCAAAAGTTACATAATATTTTGTGAGTATTTCAGAAGCTCAAACGTTTACCATTATTTACTTCCAAAATGCTTTATTTTTTTGAACAATTTAGTTATTTTCTTTCTTTCCTTAAGCTGTCTGGAGTTTCGGTCATTCTATGCGATCGTCATTTCTAATGTATTAACTTAATAATAAGAATTAATTTTATTTATTTATAGAGATAGCCTAAAACCACCGAATTTTGAAACGCCATCTCGTAAACTTACCGCGGAAGAGATCACCAACTATTGGGCTCAATGGAAAAACGTATTTCCCCCCGAAAAAGAGAAGTTTTGGGATGGATTGCTGACTGGACTGAATAATTATTTGGAAATCTTACAAGGTTTGTTAAAAAAGCTATCTAGATAACGTAACAATTATAATTTTGTAGGTAGATTTTATACTGATACGACATATATATCTAGACTTTAGCATAATTTCAGAAGATAGGAAACCTTAATAGGTATAGATACTTTGATAATATGTTATTGTTTTAGAACGTGAACGAGTGCACGAGGAAGTGGTGGATTTGCGTCGTCGTAACGTAGCGCTTCGTCAATTAGTGCGTGGCGCACTCCCTGAACTACCAGCACCGTTGCCCAAATACGCGCATCCCCTGCCAAAAACGTTCGTCGCACCAGTTCCGGATACAGCGCCTACAGCATATGGAAGGCTACCACCTATTTAAAAGGAGTATTAAAAGTTAACACTTTAGACGAATAGGTCGGCTCAACCTCAACTGGCGTGAAACAACCAGCGTTGTGTTTCGCCGTGTGAGTGAGGTTATCGGAGGCCAAATCCTTTCCCTCCTCAATCCCAAAATCTCCAAATCCCTAATCCCCAAAAGGTCGGCAACTCGTAACTCCTACATTGTTGCGATTTTCCATGGGCGGTGCTGATGGCTTACCATCATGTTACTAGTCAGCTTGTCAACCTATTACAAAAACACATCGTGTTGGGCTTAGTCAACATGTAAAACAAAAAACACATGCTCGTTACACATATCGATCATATTCTAAATGCAGCTTTGTTGACTGTTATCTAATCATATTGGGTTATTTCACGGCTATAGACTTCACATGTTAACGTTACCAGTATCAATGGCATCGTGTTAGATGTTGGTATACCCTTCAGTTATTTATGTATTTAATTTGTATTAAATAAATTAGTGAACAAATTAATATTGTAATCATTGCTCCAATTTTGATCATTTTAATGAAACAATGAAATAATAAAAAAATAAATATATGCACGTATATTTATTATTTTATTACTAAACGTAGATAGGTATGTAGTTTATATTTATTTTATTGGCGACCCTACGGCTGGCTGTCAAATTATTCTGTCAATGTTGTGATCACTGACTGATCTGTCATTCTGTCATATTATCTATCGTCTGTGAGGAAGCGTATGTCAAATAGTATAAAAGTATGCGTACGTATCCGGGAGTTGGTTAGTAAAGCAACGTCACGATAAAAACGCCGATGCGGATAAATTAAGTAAAGGAATTGTTTTAATTTTATCTATAAAGTTACCCTACTGATTCCTACATAACAAGTGACAAGGAAACGCGCAGGTGTGTAGCATTCAATTATAGTTTCATTTTCATGTTTCATGATCTTGATTTAAGAACCTAAGTATTTAAAAAAAAAACAATTCATCAGTTGTAACCGGAATTCTAAATGGTGAACTAAATTGTGAATAAATGAACCTAGATAAATTTTTTTTTATTTGCAGCCGCAATAGTCATGATGAAGAAATTGTTCCATCTATTTGGAGCCATCCAATTCTTCTACGGATGTTACTATGACTACGTTTATGTCAATATTCCAGCAACTCCAACTTCATTCACTCCATATGGAGGCAAATTCAAATATTTAACATACCTTGATGCGGTAAGTCTTATGTAACTATTTGTGTATTATTATTGTGATAAAAGAAAAATAAAATAATGGCCTTGTATGTTATTGATAGTTTATCAATTTTATTTGGTTTACAGATGATACAAACTGCATATTTCACTCTGGCATTCCTCAATGATATTGTTGGCAATAATGAACCATCACCATCAGAGAAACCCCTCATCAGGAGATTGAAGGACAGAGTGTTTAGTGCTCTAGCTTTCCCACTGGCTATTTTTGTTGGAGTGTCATTTTGGGCCATATATGCCATTGATAGAGAGTTGATTTTGCCCAGAAGCATGGATGCATACTTTCCAATGTGGCTTAACCATGTGATGCATACAAATATAGTTGTATTCATACTGATAGAACTACTTACATCATTCAGAATGTATCCTAAGAGAAAATCTGGCCTTACTATTCTATCTTTTTTCATGATTTGCTATTTAATTTGGGTACATGTGATCTACTTCAATACTGGTATTTGGGTGTACCCTATTTTGAATGTTCTTAACTGGCCCTTGAGAATAGGTTTCTACTTATTCTGCCTAGCATTTGCTTGTGGTGCATACTGTTTAGGAGAAAAAATCAACAAAGCAGTTTGGTCTAATGAGGTTGAAAAAACTGTAAGATCTGGAAAGAAAAAGGCTAAATAATGATTGAGCTAGTGATTATTTAGCTAAAAGAGCCTGGTAGCAATCTCATGTATTTGTGAGGTTTGTAATTTGTTTAAGATATTATTTTTATTGGTGGATGGTTTATGAAGTAGGATGCATTTTAACTAGGGCTTTGGAAAGATATTTAGATTTAGATATTATTTGAGAAAGAGTAATATTATAAGTAAACCATTTGCATTTCTTTTTATCTTATTATTTGGTCTTGAAGGAAGTGATAATAATAACCCCATAAGGTGTTTATGCATGTTTAATGATGCATCTGTATCCAGCCCAAACATTTACCTAAAAATGTTAATAATATAAAGAATAATATTATTTTATACACACTAGTAATGGATACCTAAGTAAGTAATTGTGTATAGATTTAGTATCTTTTACTAGAAGTGTTCTCTGTACACTTCATTTATGCTAACATTTGAAAATGGGGCTTGATAAAATCAATTGGTATACAGTCTCATTTATTCTAGAAGTTTCTGACTGTTACAGAACCTATATACAGCCATTTATTTTGAGGAAGGACAAGCAGTGATTTATTTCTTAAACAACATTTATTTATTATTGGAAACTTGACAGCTTATCATAATAGTGACACTATTAGTGTTTTTTTCTTAAATTATCATCATGACTGAGCAATTTTTAGCCATTGTTAAGTGGTTGTGGTATGACAAACTTATATTTTATCTACTGCATAATTCTCAATACGACTCATTTGTTGATTACGTAATTATAATTGAGATAACCACTTACAATGATAACATGAACAGACATTGGTTGTGAATGAACTCAGCAATAAATATACTATTTATTCAAAAAATAATACTCACTGTCAGCAGCATTCATTTATTTCGCTGCTTCAGTAAATTAAGGTTTTGTGAGTACCAATTCTAACGTACAAATAAAAAGTTTACAGTTTAAATAGTTAATTATTTAAATAAGTACTTATATATATCGTACTGTAGTTAAATCTAATCGTACTCGCTAGCATGACTTGATTCTTTATTATAGATAATAATAATAACTTACGTATCTCTTTATATAATATGTCACCATTAAAAATATGTACTTGTGAAGCTTTAATATAATAACGAAAAACAAATTAATTGCTTATTGGCCTGAATATTGTGAGTGTGGAAGAGTGACAACGTAATAGGCATTTTACTTAAAATATCGCAAGAATTTTCGTATTTCTCAAGTGTTGATTGATATTAAGCTTTATTCGTAACTATATCGTAAATATTTTCATGTTCAGATGCTCTTGCTAAAGAGTCATGAATTGTTGAAATATTTTTAAGAAGAAATTATAACGAACTTTGTATCAATGTAATTATAAAGATAATTCTTTGATATAGTGAATATCATTCCAAACACAATACGATAAGAGTTAATTAGAAGTGTAACAGATTGGTCTATTATCTGGTAGGTTATTTTTTTGTTATTTACTTTGTTTTTTTTTGTAACCTTGATAGAGAAATTGTTAATTGCCGCTAGAGATTGATATTGAGTAGGCTGGTGTGTTGTATTCACTATTGTTTTTATAATAAAGATTTTATACTTTATTTAATATTTATGGGAAATACCAAAAATGTACTAGCTTATAGATATTAACTGTTGTTGGAATAGATGGGTAGACTTAGGTACATGTTTTTTAAAAGAGCTTTCTATAGAAATGGCTAGCAAGAAAAAAATGTTACGGCTTATTAATTGAGTGCATTGTTCTAGATCAAAGACCCGGCTTATGGTATGGTTATGCACTAATTCTCTCTAGAATTGATTACACGACACGGCGACAACGATTGTGATGGACTTTGACTCCGCATCGAACACGATTTTGACGGACTTTGACTCTTGACTAAAAATAAGCCGGAAACCGACATGTCATCGTACAATAATAATAAATTCTGGAGAGAATGATACTATATGATCTAAGGTCTACTCTAGGAGCATGTTTGGTGATTGAGTCATAAAATATAATGTACCTAGTTGAGTTTGAGAGTCGTAGTAACGGGTGCATATTGTTTGCCCTTTGGTGCCTACCTATTTTGGTCCAGTGCCTATTCTGCCTAAATAGACAATGAAGTGTTCAATCACCGTACGAATGAACTTTGTGCATCCAACATTATTGTAAGAAAGCAATAAATTTTGTATAAGAAATAAACTGTTTACAATAGCGCGGTGCGTTTTATTGCGACCTTCATGTTAATTCCCTGGTTTCGTGTCCTGACTGATGATTGCATCTACACAATAGACAGGTTGTTAGTAGGTTGGTTATTAAAAGATTTTCTACGATAACTTGTTTCTCATAATACCTAATTAATAAATATTTGCGTCTTGTTTTAATACCTAGGTACTGCTAGCGGAGGTTAAAGATCGAGTTGCAGTAATTTTAAACAACTTTTTAAGCATAAATACGAATTTATTTCCGAACAAATTAAGTACACTCAAGTAATAAAATACTAGTCAAAATCACAATAAAATGAAATACATAAACATTTGTCATTAAACCCAATAGTCTATAATCTAAAATATTATCACTTAACAGGACTAGAATATTCAATTATGCAATATTATAACTAAAAATCACTCAACGCCATTATCTTATGTAACCTTAACAACACTTCAATAAATCACTTAAAATAAGGCAAATATTATTATGGCGAGATTGCGAACACGACAAGCTATTTAAAGAACAATTCATGTTTTATAAATGTCTTATTGAGTTCTATAATTCTTATTCTTATATTGTTTATATTATTATGCAAAACAATTATACATAGACATATATGTAAAATAAAAAAATATAAGTAATAATTTGCTTCGGATATCTGCTAACAAATTTTATCTGTGGACCTTGACATTCGCGCCTATATTTTGTAAATAAAAATGATCTATAGGCAAGTATTCCTATTCTGCACGATCTTTTTACATAAATTACGATATAATAATTATTGTATAACCTACTTCTCAGATTTACAAATGATTTTATGCCTACGATTTAGGTACATAATACTAATAACGATTTCAATAATTTTGTATCTGATTAAATTTCAATACAAAAAATATAAGTATATAATATTTACATCAATAAGGTTGCTCTATTTGGTCAATATAAACTATTATACATTTTTGTGCTCGAAATTTGCTCATATCTCTCTAATTCCCTATAGCTGGAAAAAAAACGTGCAAAAAAATAAAAACGAAACAGATCGTGGCACACAGCAACCCTATTCATGCACTGTTTATATGTAAAAAACTTATCTTAATCTAGAAACTACAAACTATATTATTGATTCATTATTTCATAGCCATTTTTGTTTTTATTGTATGTTGATTGTTTCCAATTTTAAAATTTGTATTTTAGAAATAAGGAAATGAGTCCTGAATATGCTTTGGTGATTTATACATATAAAATGTTCAATTGTAATAAACAATTTAGAATAAACTCATTCAAACTAGATCAAACTAACATGTGTCGCAGTGATTTAGCTATTTGATTGGATGGCAACATTTCTCATACCGGCCGTTACCTGACGGGTGACGGAATTGCCAATTAAACGTTGCTACCAAAATGGTAGGTTTGGTTAAGTTAGAACGATTATTGGGGACGATCACCGCTAGTTAAATTCAATACTTTTAATACTAAACAGATAGACTTAATAGATTATGTGTAAATGATATATAAGTATTTGTTTATAAAATTGATGGTAGTGACGTCACAACTATGTTTACATCAAAAAATACATATGTATATAAAATAAATTAAACAGACTTGGCTGTTAATAAAACGTCTTAAACTGGTAGGTTGCGACACATGCAGTGTTTGTTCTTGTGATTCAATTAAAAAATAAATATGCTTTTACAATAATTAAACAAATATATACTAGTCAGATGTGAGTGCACTGTATTCATATAAGTAGGCGAGTATTTATGTAAGACAGAAAAGAAACGATCACTGGATTAGTTGCAAAATTGTAACTGCTACTAGTTGGTTAACTACGTGCTATTTAACATTTTATATTGCTTTTTAATGTGCCACATAAGAACTGAATACTTACAGTAAGTTATCGATATGAAGAACTGTTATTATATAACTACTAATATTAGAATACCGATACTATTGGTAGAGCTGAAATGATGTTGTAATGGTCATTATTTTGGTACTAAAATATTTATTGACTACTGGCCTAAATCTAGCATTGTTTTGCTCTAGGCATGCGGTAGGCACAAACTGTAATTGTGCGCGAAGTTCTTACAACAAATTACATAAGTATAAATAAGTAGCTTACGGTTCCATAAATACACTTCACTGCACACTTATACAAATCGTTGGCTTACTAACTTATTCTAAACATTAACGATTTAGGCGATTACAATTTATTCTAGCATTTGTTCTAAACTATTTGCAATCACATTATGCGTAGTTTTATACACAATTTGGAATGGCAACGTGTCTTTATGTAATGTCCGTGTCAATGTGGAAGTATATTTGTAAGTTTTTACTTACAGTGACTAAAAGCCGACTTTATTCGAAGGCAGCTCAGTCGCATTGCGATGAGCTACGTCTTCACTTTACGGGAATTCTTGTAATGGCCGTTCTTCTTCCAGCCGTTGCCCTGTGACGCCTCGCCGTTCATGACGCGGGTGCCAAACGATGTTGTCTTACTCTTCGTTTCGAACAACACGTCCGAATCTGTCTCACTCTCCGATAAGTCTTTACTTGTAACTGCAAAATAATGGTTATTTGTTCATTGATTTTATAATAAAGATATCTCATCTGGACAACATCATTTTGGTGAGGTGAGGTTTACCTCCTACTCAAGAGACGTGGTTCTCACTGTAATAAGCACGGGTACAATTATGACTCCACTATTTAATGGATGCATACAAACCACAAACAATATATTTACAAACCTCCCTAATTAATCACTCTATACATAAAAACCGCATTAAAACCCATTGAGTCGTTTTAAAGATTTAAGCATACATAGGGATATAGGGACAGAGAAAGCGACTTTGTTTTTGTACAAGAGGTGATGAGACTTATTGTGGCGAAAGTTAAATGGTCAACTAGCTTTAATCTAAACCATTTTATTTTTATTATTATCTTTAATATGGTGGAAACTCTAAAATTTGACTATTAGACATAGAAATTTGACAGATGTAACGTTATAATATTCAAAGTGGCCTATTAGAGAGTTATCTATAAATGAAGGTAATAATAGTAATAATGGTAGGTAGTCGTACAATATTTACATGGTTTCTCCTCGTGGTCGGCTAGCGGCAGCAGGCGGTACTTGGGTCGCGCGCGGGGCTTGCGCGGGGCGCACAGTTTGCGCAGCGCGCGCGCCACCGCCCAGCTGGCCGCGCCTATTGCGCATAGCGCCGCCACCCCGCCCAGGCTCGCGTATACCACCGACCATTCTGTTAGACACGTTTAAGGTGAACGTGAGAAGGTTCCTTCCTTCAAATTTTTTTGCAAGGAAAACATAATGCTACCCTTATTTAAATTTGTGTAGACACAAATTAAATTTTTTTACTAGCTCGAAATCTAAATTGTTAAGCTATAGGTATATTGTACGCCATATTTGGCAAAACATGGAGTTCAATTTGTTATTTTAATGTATAAGACTGCACATATTGTTTGATGCATTATGCATTATTCTATTCTATTCCTACAACAGTAAAGATAGTCATGTTCTGAAGATATCGACGATTTATGGAAAATAACGACTTATGTGAATGAGCTACTAAAAAGTCTATAACAAAATGTAATAAAAATAAATCGAAGACATAGGTATAGCATAAACTTACCACAGTCGGGTTGCGCATCAGGATCGAGCTGTGAGAGTAGACTCTGCATCCAGAATGCGTCGCAGCGGCAGGTGCGCGTGGCGTGGTCGCAGACGCCGCGGCCCGAGCACGCGCTCAGGCAGCGCAGCGAGCGCACGCGCGCCCCGCCCCACGCGCCCCACGCTCCCGACGTACCCCGCACTAAGGACAGCGCGCGTATCCCTTCCACTGCTTTACCCTGACCAAATTTCAAACTTTTTATTGCCAAATTAGGTAATGAAAACATGGACACATTAAATAGGTTTGGCATCTCACTATACCAGCCTGAAGTCATGCAATTTTATTGATAAGTATTTATTTTACTGTTTTGAGCAAATTCATAATCAAAAAATTAATAAAATGTCAATACTAGTCACTCGAAAATATATAAATGAAATCAATTATTTATCATTAATTTAACTAACGTTAGTAAGTATATGCCTAAATCGGCTATAAGTGTTAGCTATTTATATGGGGTACGGCGGCAAACGAGCAAACAGACCACCTGAGTAATGAAATGGTAATGAAATCACCACCCATAGACAACAGTAGAGTTACAAGTGTGTTGAGGGTCTTTTTGGAGGTCTTAGGAATTTAAAGGTTCTGGAAATTGCGGATGAGAGCAGAATGGGCGTCCGGTAAGCTCAGTGACATGGCGCAACAACGAAAGTGATGTTTGACGCCGGTTGTCAATGTATACATATATATTATTATGTTAAATGATGGATAATGGTGACAGATTAACATCCGTACTAGTCGTAGAGTTTGCTAATGCTAGAGTTTGCGAAAAGAGAAATGAAGAAGTTAAAGACCGGAGGTCAGACGCATGGTGATTTTTTTCAATTATAGATTTTAGGATAAAATCAGTTATCTATCATGAAAATATTAAAATATATTAATTAATTTTGGATTTACCTGTTCTGATAGGAAGAAGATCAGCTGAGTATTTCCAGAATCGATTTGTCCGTGAACTTCGGTGACGTTGACTCTAATATCGTCCTTAAGGAGCAAGGTCATCTTTTGTACTAGTGAGTCTAATTGACTCTGGGTGAAGGCCGATATTGGAATGTTCAGGGTCAACTCCATTAGGTTCATTTCTAAAGGATCAGGCTTCACTTGGACACTTACTGTGTCTTTGTCTGACTCTCCTTGATCATCTGTTACTGTTAGTTCGTATACATATCTACCTGCTTCTATATTCGTCAGCTGTAAAAAGTTTTAAATTATTATATTATATATAAATGTATATTTCGTTTCAAATTTTTAGGTTTGGAATAACTGTAAGAGTGCCATTAGGTCAAAGGTCTAAAATGTTTAGACAAGTATACATTATAAAAAAAAATATTGACATATTTAAGTACCTACTTTAGTAGTAAGTATGAAAATGAGCTTCTTGGAGACGATGACTAGAAAAAAATAACCCAAACAACTTAAAACTTATGCGCAATTATGCGCATTGCGCAAAAATATTAAAATTGCGCTAACAGCGACATAATGTTTTTAGTTCTCACCATTAACACGGGTTGTGTATCAGAATTCAGGATGACAGTGCCGGCAGCAAGGCCGGACGGGGAACGACTCCATTTCCACGAGACTATGCGGAAATCATCCGAGGATTTTGATCCATTCAGTATTAACACCGACACTGGCAAGTTTAGTACTAAGTCTCCGCCCGCATCCGCTTTTGGAGGACTGTTTTTATCTGTAATTTGAAATATAATTAAGATTTTCTAGTTTGTGCATGCATATGTAAATAATAACCTTTGTTCTTAGTTTATTTGGAGATTGTAGGGTTTGGGTAAGTAATTTTATGTAGTCGATTTATATCAAATTGTTGATGTTGTGTTTTATTGTCAGATTCCTAAGTGTATCAGATTATTTTGTAGAACCCTCAGTGTGTTTAATGATATATTTAAATTCAAGTGAAATGTCAATTTTTTGCCAAACCAATAATAATTGTATAATCTGTGGTGACCTTGTCAATAAACCTTACCAACTAATAAAAAAATAAGTATTCCATAGTAATTAAATAATCAGAGCTTCACTGTACATTCACAACTCCAGATAGACCAATAAACTTCCCATAAATCTCACACTGAATTCTATTGAATTATTATTACTAACCCATGGAACCATTTACATCAAACACATGCAATAAATAACTAATAAAATTTTCAATGTAATGTATTACAAAAATCCATTGTAGATGACAAAATACCTATGGAGACCATGTTCTTTTGAAATTTAAGTAATATTAGAGAACCAGGAAGATGTGCCAATGGAAAAGGTGTTCTAGTGCAATAGACTTAGTAGTTCAATTAGAAAATTATATACAACTTACTTTGCGTTACGGTGACGGTGACATTATCAGATGCAGAGTTTCCATTATCGTCGAGTACAGTCAATGAGAAGACGTATTGTCCTTTGGTGAGAGCGGTGGCATTCGCGACTGACTCGTTAAAATTGATTATGTTAGAGTTAGTAGGACCGGAGAGACAACGCCAGGTGTACGCGACTATCCTATGGTCATCGTGCGATGTCGAACCGTTCAGGATGATCCAAGTTTGAGGCAGTGATATGAACTGTAAGTACACACCATTACATCTGTGATAGAGTTGATTAGTTAAGTTATTTACTATGATATTACCCACACCAGCACATACATTTTATCTACAAGTTTACTTATTACAATTTACAAGAATTAGGTTGGTCAACCTTTACATATAAGGTATGTTTTGAAGTATAATAAGTATAATAAACACCAAGTTTTTTTTTGTAAAACTACGTCATATTCCCAGATACCATAAAACAAATTTAAAAATTTTAAGCTACAAAAGTATCCGGTAGTTTTGAACCAGTGAAATTCGATACTTTTATTGAAATGAATTGAATTTTGTATGAAATAGTAAAATATGACGTCATAATGTTTCAACGTCAAATTGTTTACTTTTATTTGAAAAATTTGTTAGAAATAATCTTAAATTTAGTATATCATCAAATTATTAAAAGTAGGATTATATTCTAACATTATTATTATTTTAATAAAATTCAAAATAATTTATTTTCGTTCTAGGAAACTACCTAATTGGCGTCAAATGAGTAAATCGGTACTAAAATGATCTACATACAACACATTAAGCTCAGAGTAGTTTGTTATAACAACAGACGATTGTTTAGGATATCCGTTACGATAACTTGAATAGATCGACGGTAACATGCAGTGATTAGTTTTTATCATACTGATAGCCTCCCTCCGCAATTTAACAAGTTACATATAGGTACATATATTATATACATTATAGTTTTAGATACCAGACAGCTCAGCTCAAGCAGCATGCATGTTGTACAAGAATGAAGTGAAGTGGATCTTTAGTTTGTTTATAAGTAAAATAAGAAATTTTCCAACTAGTCAAATACAATACTTATTAAAATACACAAAACTATTATTTTCTTTTAAATTTTCTTTATGAGTTATGTCCAAAATATGAGTTAAAAAAAATTACGTCCATTCTTCCATCTAAAAATGTAAAGAATGACATTAGATATTTGATGAAGAACATAACTTTCTATAATAACAGTCAATTTTGAGACAATACGAAGTTTACTAGTAGTTAATAGTTGCTTTATATATAATCTTAATACCTTATAATTCTAGTTTTCTAACTGCTAATTTACACACTTGTTTTGTAATATTAGCAAGATTCACTGATATTTATTGCTAACTGATAATCATACTTACTTAGTCAGCTTGACCAACATTTTCGATGTAAACAATTGCTAGAAAAATGTTGTTACATTGTTTTGTTGGACATTATTTCCACAGCTAATCTATTACCTAGATCTAAACATGTTTTATATAATTTTATCTCACTTAGAGCTATGGTTTGCTCTCATAATTACTTCATGCTTCGATAGAGGGAGAACAAAATGCGCTGATAAAAAAATATATTTTATTTTATTTTAATGTCTATGTCGCTTGGATAATGGGAGCGGTACATAGCATCGTTCAGAAATGCGAATACAATATTAGTATTATTTCTGACCATTTTTACCAGTAATGGTTATCGTATTATAGTTATAGGTCAAATATGTAGATATTAGAATTAGAAATATTAAAATAGTAGATAAAATTTTGAACGTGCTTTCAAACATTTTCATTGCATCCGATTCACGCAACACCTGTGCGGTATTGTTGCTATCGATTATTCACTATCAGAGAACTCTCAAGTGGATATGAACGGTCAACTGCACTCGTAAAAATACGGGGGTATAATAATTTAAAATGAATCACAACAAATGACTTGCCTTGACTGGGTTTAAAAATGTGTATAACTTCGTTAACAAATAACATGAGAATAGTAAAAGAAATAGATTTTGTGTATTCGTAGAGAGGAACAGAGATAGATTAATAAACAGCTTTAAATTCAATATTGTTAGATGAAATAACATACGATTTTCGACCCTATTGATTTGCAATAAAGTTCAAAATCTATTAAACAAGGGAAGCCTAATAGGTATACTTACGGATTCTGCTCTGGCTTCAGCTACAGGTGGGGTGTTGGTCGGTGGTTTCACGAAGACATGGACCTCTGCAGTGGAGGATTGGCCTGAGGAGTCCGTCACTTTTAGAACGAACGTGTATACGCCTTCCGATAGATTTGAAAGCTGGAATCGAATGAAGTTTACGTTTTAGTTCACATTATGGGCAAGGACACTCAAATATGCTCATTGCCCAATAGTTACAACGAGCACAAAATATGACTCTTTCCTACATTTCGAACACCAAGATGTAAAATCGATAAACTAAATCAAACGAGCATTTTTTTATAGATAGGTATGCATATTCATATGATCTCAAAAAAGGCTTCAACGATTACGATAAAATTTTGCATATAAGGGGTTTCCGACCGAAAAATCAACCTAAATCGGTTTTATTTTCTGGAAAAAACATCGGACATCCAGTTACTATAAAATTAAAAATATATAAAAATAAAAATGTCAAAAGAGACCAACTTATACTGCTGTGCTTGAAGATGAGAATGAATGATGATGATACTAATATTTATTTTAGTATAAATGCGAAGAGCTGACTATTGAGTTCAGCGGCGATATAAGAAAGACAGAAAATGACTGATGATAGTGAAAAATTCGACGGTTAAACAATCATTCTCATCGAACAAATAACTAGGTATTATGAAAAAACTCATCACGACAAACAAAGGGCAATAACCGATAGCAAACCTAACGTTTGACGAACTATTTAAGCATTTGAGGTTAACATGTATCAACCTACTTTTTATAAAAAGACGATACATAATGTAGGTATGTTATACATGAAACACCATGGCATGTGCTAGATTGATAAGCTGCGATAACAACATAAGGATATCATTATAAACCTTGTTTTTTCATTATATTTTATCTATACTATTTATTATAATAATACAATAAAATATATAACACAGAACAATGTGAAGCCTTGTTTTCCTGAGAACAGGCATACAAAATTGATATTTAATTTTATTGAAAAATGTTCCACTACAATTTTCTCTTATCGTAAGACTTGCGAGTGCGATTCAAAACATACATTTTATAGTAAAAGTCAAAATTATTTCTTATTTCAAATGACACCCGCACTTTTGAACGTCAAACAAAGCTTAAAGATAGAAAGCTTGTTCTCATATGTGGTAGTTATAAGGTACAATGGGGTGGACGTATCCATGTGGATAAAAACCCCGTATAATCATGTCAGAATTAAAAAAAAAGTACCAACATAATGTTACAATTATGGTACTTTTTGTCATTTACATTAAGAAGCATTTTGCTTGTTTTTCTCAGCCCAAAGAAGTACATAGGTTTTGAAATAGATTTTTGATGAGCTTTATACCTACATATATAAAAGGAAGTTTGTTAAACATCCTTTTAAAGATATAAGGTAATAACATTACTACTAACTTACTATAACATTAAAAGTATATTTTACTAACTTGTAAATAAGGTGAGTGTGTATTTTGCATGTCGACTGCCTTGTTCTCATCTTCAGCCGATTTTGTCCATTCCCAGGAAGTGATCTCATGGTCGTCGGTCGAGAGACTCCCGTTTAACGTCAAGTTATTGTTCGGTAAATATATTATAACGTCTTGGCCTGTAGTAAACAATAACATGTAAGTGGAGTGTTATTTCAAATACGGTTTTTTAGAAACCAACGAATATGATATTTTGCTTAATAAAAAGTCGAATAAAAAAAATACAGACACTATTCGCCAGGTTTAAAAAGAAGAAAGGAAAATTATTTATGCACCGTAAAAAAATTAGAAACAAGAAAATTAGGTAAGTACAACTTATATGGAAAGTATGCACGGGGTGGTTTTTATTTAGTCACAGTTCAATACAAAAATGTGCTTCGTTTTTTTATGTGATAGGTCGGCAAACGAGCAGGCGGATTACCTCATGGTAAGCAATCAGCGCCGCCCATGGCCACCCGCAACAACAGAGGAGTTACGAGTGCGTTGCCGACCTTTTGGGGATTAGGGATTTGGGAGATTTAGAGATTGGGGAGGGAAAGGATTGGGCTTCCAGTAACCTCACTTACACGGCAAAACACAACGCTGTGGTTGTTTCGCGCCGGTTTTCTGTGAGGCTGTGGCATCACTTCGGTCGAGCTGATCCATTCGTGCGGAAGCATGTCTCTCCCACACTTAGAAGGTTCGTTCGAGCCAATTCATTCGTGCTGAAGTATGGCTCTATTAGAACTCGATAAACCCAGCAAAATTTTAAATGATACGTAAATGTTAATTATTTTTGTGAGAATGAAAATAAACTCACCGGCATTAGCTTCAGGCGGATAATCAGTGTGATTTAACACAGTTATATTAGCTGTCGTTGAATTCTTTACATGGTCGGAATCTTCAACTGTCAATTTGAAGGTATAGTTTCCTGGCTGCTTCAGATCGTTCAGGAGTAGCGTAGGTCCATCTTGTAAAGGAGGTTGGTAGCCAATAGGACCAGATGTCAAGTCCCAGTGCCAAGAAATAATTGCGTCGTCATCCTGTTGATGGAAAAATAAATACTTATAGATAGTATAAGTCTATGAAGTCTGTTAAAAATCATTATAGACAATATAAATTTAAGTCTAGGGTAGACTAAGACTTGTACAGGGCATTATAATAACTGTGAAATTGGTATAGGTATTATTATTGTTTCTTTTTTCTCTTGTTTTTTAAGACTAAGAAACTTAGTAAAAGTTTTCTTATTGAATAGCACAGGTCAACACAGAGTAGTTAGGTCGAATAAATTAGATGCTTAATACACAGATTACAGAACAAAGGCAGAGATACCCTGCAGAACACGAAAGTGAAGCCAACAAAGCAATTTCAAATTCAAAAGCGAATACAAACTCGAGTCAGTACGTCACGAAGCGTCACATCGTTATTATGTCATAGATCATATTTATATTTTTGAGAATAATGCCGTCTTGTCTTGTGTTCTCAAAACCTGTAAAATTTGTTCCCAAAAATAAAAATCAAGAGGAAGGAGTATCTTTTCATTGATAAATATTGATTATTTGTCTATTTGAATATTATTTTACCTAATTATTTTTAGTAAATTCTTGGAACACAAAACATCATCATCCATTTACTAAAATATTTCGATAATTCAAATTATTTATTTGTGGAACATAGGTACAGATAAGATATAATTACAATGTTAGGATCGCTTTGCTAAACCTAATGGGCATAAGTACCTACAAATTGTATTATAATGTTTTGTTGTCTTACTTTGTGATTGGTATGCACTTTTTGACCAATCATTTGACCGGACAACATAAGTCATAACAAAATTACATATGTTATAGTATGTCATAGTTTGATGGACATGCCACAAATTTTATGACCTTAGAATTGCTTGGTTTGCAATAGTATAAGAAAGTAATGCAAAATAACGGCTGCTTATAACCTAAATTTAAACTTTATTACAGTGAACTAATAAACATTATTCACAAAAAAAATCACCAATACGTAATTGTTTATTTGGAAACAACTCTTTCGTACAAACCTACTATCTATACTAATATCATAAATGCGAAAGTAACTCTGTATGTCTGTCTTTTCTTCACGCCTAAACCACTGAACCGCTTTCTGTGAAATTTGGTACAGACATAGTTTGAAACGCGAGAAAGGACATAGAATAGTTTTTTATACCACACACCCAGTTCATAATATAACAACCGAGGAACACAGACTTCGGCAAAGAATTCGTTACTTAGCGTTTCTGAGGAAAATATCTAGAAGCGATTCGCTACGTGCGTGTGGGTGGGATTATTACTATAAAGCGGTGACGTTTTGAAGATTGTCTGGTGGTACGATCGTGGGAAGGCCTAAGGGGAATCCGGTTGTGCCCTTGCACAGTATCTTATAGGTATGGGGTAAGGGGATAGGGAGGGCTCATAGTAAATGTAATAGGTGCCTAGATTTTATTGGTTACTAGCTATTCCCGTGCGGTTTCACTCGCTGCTCGGCTCCATTTGATTGTAGCGTGATGTTATATAGCCTATAGCACTCGGGAACATTGTAGCTATCAATTAGTGAAAGAACTTTAGAAATCTGACCAGCGGTTCCTAAGATAACTCCCTGCATACAAACTAACAAAGTTTACCTCTTTATAATATTAGTATACGATGTTATGCGAGTCATTGTATCGCTATACAGCAGAGGCCATACATTTAAGATTCTTGGTCGTTATTGACAATTTGAACACATTTAAAACCATACCTATAAAAATTATATCGAATTAGGTACAGACTCCTTGTTCATGTCGTGTTTGGTACCACTCACGCAATGAGCCGAGATAGATAATTAATTGACTAAAATTATAAAAATACAAGCCTTCGCCCGTTTTTCACGCGTATAAAAGTTATGTTTCCCGGGATGTTAAAAACAGCAGCGTTTAAAGCGATAGCTCGACTAAAATACGCAAATCAAGTATAATTTCCGTTGTTAAATGTTTGAAACCGACCAGCTGATTCAAACATTACGTCCTACATACAAAGTGACAAATTTTACCTCTTTATTCTTAATATTAGTATAGATTTGAAAGAAATCTGACATTTTTAATTTAATTAATTAATAGTTTGTTAATTAGCTGTTAATCATGTTTGGCTTTATCGATTTCCTAGAAGTTCATTGTAATCTAATGTCAGTGAATGTTATTGGTTGATCAAAGATTAATGACATGTTGGACTGTGAATTCAAATTAATTTTCGAAGGTAGGTACGTTTTCTTTCAGTCGCATCATTGATTTGATCGCAATAAATTATAAAGAGGCATGTCTTTTATTACCTGTCTCCCTGTTCTATTGTATGTTGCATGTTCTGTTTTATTAACAGCCAGAATCTTTTCAATTCGGAGCAAGATCTTTTAAATTCAAATTAGTAATCGAATCTTTCTAACGTAGGTTCTGAGTATCCGCTGAAGAAAGTCGCACAAAAATTCGTTCAATATTTCTTTTGCTATCTGGTCTTGGCAGTGTTTGAAGATCGAGCTCAGTTCCGTGCTACTGGAGAAGTATTCCAGCAAACAAAAATATAATACTATAAATACTTTTCTTACCTTACTAGCACTTCCATCAAGAACAGCAACCGTATTAGGAAGCTTGACGGTTTGACTTTGCGGCGTTATAACAACTTGGGGCGGAGTATTCACACGATGAGGTGGCAATACGGTAACATTCGCAAAACCTTCCCCGTACGAATTCGTCCCGTTTACCGTCACTTTAAAACGGTATTGACCTTCTGTTAGATCAGTTAACGTGACTTTTGCACCATTTTGATTCATATTACCTAATAACAAACAAATATAAAATAAACAGGAACAGATAAAAGCTAAATTTCTTCTTGCGACAATATCAAGTAAGTAAAAAGTTAATGAAGATCAAATATCTACATATCTGAAAAGAACATTAAATAAACAGCTCTATTTCAAAGCAGTATCTTGGTTTTTAGAAAATCAATTCGTAAGTATTTTAAAACTGTTCACATCTAGTAACAACACAATACAGGATGTGACTTATTCATCAGCTTCATTGAAACATTATATTGTAAATATTTTATTTAAAAAACCCAGTTTTATTTTTGATTGCTACATAAATATAGTTTTACACTATGTAGTTCACCTGTAAAAGTATGTAATATAGTTTACCTGTAAAGCCTCCCTTTGGTTGATCAACAAGTGTCCATACATAATTGTAATGGCTCATTGTTGCTTTCTCATCTGGAATAGTGTAAGCTGCCAAGGTCACTTCATTGTCTGGTAGTTGTACCTTAGGAAAATAGAAAATGAATATTATTTAAAGTTAGTATACTAGTTAAATTAAAGGTTATTGAGCTATTAATTTTATAATTTATTAAAAAAATGGGTTCATTGTAGAAGGGTGCAAATTGAGGATTGTACCTATGTGTTTTTGTATGTTGTATCATAAAAAAATTGAAATTAAAAATTTTGTCTGAAAAAAAAGAAAATTTCATCAAAATCGGTCAAGCCGTTTCGGAGGAGAATGGCAACGAAAACTGACATGAGAATTTTATATATAGACCGCGTCCGCGTAGATCTTAGTTACTGCTCTTACACAATCCTATATTTTTTCCAAAATAAAATATAGTTTATGTTGCTTGTTAATGTAGCTTTTGAATGGTGAAAGAATTGTTTAAATTGGTCCGGTAGTTTTTGGGCATAGTCTTTACAAACATACCAACGATGGTTTCCTCTTTATAATATTAGGGTAGATTAAAATTAAGAGTTCTTCATAGGATAATACATATAAATTAATTTTAATTTGAATAATTGTTTAACCCTCTAGTTGTTATTGGAAATTTCTGACACACACTCTAAGCCAAATTAAACTGCAATTGTACATTTAAATTAATGACATACCTGTTTTGACAAGATGGAAACTGTCAAAGTTTGAATACTTTTCTGTGAAGTAGTTTCAGTTTTAAGTATGTCATTTTTTGAATCAACATCATCATTTTTCTTCATGGCATCAACTGGTATTGTTGGCCCTTTGGAGAAAGGTCTTATTATTTGAACACATGCACCCTGTGCATTCTCTTCTGTACCTGGTACACATTTGCAAATGCCATTCCGTAGTTTCATACCAAGTGGTATGCACACAGAGTTAAAAGGGCAATCACCAGCATCCACTTCGCATGGTATTTTTTCTAGAAAACTATTTGTATCCATTATCATATCACTGTCATTGTTGTCTCGGTACTTGTCAAAGTTTCGTGCTTCATCCTCATCCATAGTAGGTAAGTTATTGAGGAAACGTGATAAAAATGTAGAAGCTTCATCACCATTGAGTAGGTCATTACGGTTTATTGAATACGGAGAGTACACCGACTCCTCTTCTGGAGAAAAATTATTGTTCACTTGTCTGTAGCCAGATTGATCTAATATATCTGACCAATTCTCTGTAACAAATATTTTTAATGACATTACTAAACATAACATATAAAGATAAGTGAGCGAAGTATTATCATAAAAATGTTAGGACTTATCTATGCCTACATGTAAATAAAAATATATATATAAAACTTAATCACATAAATTATTTGGCTCAAACATACAAAGTTAATTATATTTCAGCAAAGCAATAATCCAAAATAATAATTATACAATATACATTACCATTAGGTAGTACTGGTTTTACAAGTATCATGGAGACATGTGAGGCCTCCCATTTTCGGCTCCCAGTCCTCTGTAGTGGTAGACATAGTTCGTCACTTACACACTCCACATGGAAACACCTCTGGTCATATATAAACACTATATTGCAGGACTCAGACATGCAGCACTCCATCACACATTGTTTCAAACCTTTTAAACCTGGTTTCTCTGTGTAATTTCCAGCTGTTAGATTACCTGAATAAACATAAATAATAAATAGGAATTATTTCTGCATTATTAAGGTGACCAGTGTCCTAGGTTAAGGTGTTAATAAATTACACATGTGTGCCTAACATAAGTGAAAATTGTTATCATTAATTTGTAATGTTTAGTTCAAGACATGTATTAAAATTTTAAATAATAAATAAAATTATTTTTACTGACTTTTATTAACTGATATGTTGTGAGGACTGCGAAACCAGTAGTAATTTCTAGATAGAACACTGATTAAAATTGAAACTACTAACAGACTATTTTTTATTAACAGCTGTTCCTTCAGCTTGCATGTGTAGCATGAGAAAGTGATCATGCTGTGACCTTATAGACAAGCAAATATTTAACACAGGTATTACAGCTGCATAAACTTACCAACTGGCATGTAGTTCAAAAAATTCTTCGGATATAATTTGGGGCACTTATTATTTTCGTACATGTCTCTCCATGGTTTACTATATTGCGATAAACACACTTTTACATTAAACAAAACCACTACAATAAATAAAGTCATACATATACTACTAATACTGTTCATTATGGAATTTTAAACACGATATTAATAATTATTTAGTCGCACAGTGTTTTACTTCGACGACAATATTACGGTTTTAGTTATCTAAGTCACAGGAACCTAAATGTAATTTATGAGATATGCAATATTTGCGTGGGAGCAACGATAATATGATTTTATATTATTGTTGTTAATAATTCTGATATCCCAACAATAACATAATCGAATAATCGAAATCTCTCATTCTGAATGATAAAACGTCAAGTAACTACTGAAATACTGAAGTTCGAGCGGTTCGGCTGATAATTGAATTGCATAGTTTTTGATCTGAATATTAGCTGTGTCCCTTGTTTCATTGAGAAAATATTTCCCTGTTTCTCGTTCTTTCAATTTTATTATATGCTAAAGATTTGTATTTGTAACTTCTATGGAATATGAAACGCACCACATTTCGCAATTCTACGGGAATTTTACGTGACGTTTTGACATTTTGCTTTTGATGTTGTCAAATGACAATAGTGACGTAATTTAAAAATCTACTAAACTCAAACCATTAGCAGGATTCATCGGTATTACATTTTTTATAACCAACTAAATGGTTTAATTAAACTTTTACCATATAACACTTATGTTTGTACTTTGTACTATGATTCCCTGAAAAATGCATATAAAGATGAGGTAAAATTCTATGTTGATATTAGTTTTAGTTATTCATGCATAACGAACTTCCTCTGCTTAATCAAAACTGTAACGCCCGGCTAACTTTTGTTTTGATTACTTCCAAGTAATAAAGTGCCACAAAAAAAAACATTTAAAACTACAAATCTTTTTATTTCCAGATATGCTGCCGGTCAGCAGAAATATTTGAATTATTTGTCATATAATTGTATTTTAAGTCCCTTAAAATGGGCGCAGGTCAAATAGGAGGAATAGCCACTTTGGGTAAAATGATTGTTTTTATGATGAATATACTGTTGTAATACGAGGTCCCCAATTAGACCCTAAAGTACCTAGTTTCTTTGAGACTCAATTCAATATTCTCATTATCCCAAAATAAAATAAGTGAACAAAAATGAGTGCATTATTATAAAATATTTAAAACCATGACTACCTTAATTATATGTGTGTTATTGCAGTGGATATGGATTTTAAAAATGCCGCCGGATTTCTTGGCGAACCAGCGGAACCAACAGAAGCTCAATATGTTGTAAGTGTCTCTGTTTACCCGAATTATTGAAAGGTTTTTTGTGAGATAGGCGACAAACGAGAATAATGGATCATCTGTGGTTCTTAAAAAAGCTTAGGCCATTAAAAAACAAACTACCTATGTCCTTTACAGAAAGTTTTTTCTAAAAAAATAGTACCTACCTATACATAGATAAATTCATACTCTTCGGTTATAAACAGGTAGGTTGTACCTACTGGTTTTTAACAACACGGTTGTTTTGCTATTCGATGTGTTTTATCTAAATATTTTTTTTTTGTATTTTTGTTTTCTGTGTGTGCGCTTGCGCGAGAATAAATGTTTTCTTTCTTTCTTTTCTTTTTCTTTCTTTAAAGAATCTACGAATGGGTATGATTAAAAATGTACTTGCCCAAGCTTTTATTCGACACGCCGTGCTTGCATATATATAATAAGGTGCTATATTTAGCAATGTAGCACAGAGTTTGATTTTAAGATCCTGAGAAAGAAAACTACCTAAGAGGCTTAAAGATTTTAAAAATGTTCAGTACCGACTGCTAAAAATTGCAGTAGTAGGTACCGGTCTTACGTATTTCAAAATTTCATTAGGAGAATGAAACGGGTAATGATACTTTTAATCTAAACTTTCTAAATGTGAAAGTAACTGTCTGTCTGTCTGTCTTTTCTTCACGCCTAAACTACTGAACCGATTTCTGTGATATTTGGTAGAGACATAGTTTGGAACTCCATAAAGGAGATATGATTGTTTTTATTACCAAAAATCCGCAGGAAGTCAGTATTCCACGCGAACGAAGTCGCGAGCAAAAGCTAGTAGGAAGGTATTAAATGAATAGACAAATGAAGAAAAAGTGTTTTTTAGGTACATTATTTGTCACACGCGATGATGTTTTGCTTGGGCGTGCTAATAGAGGCTCACGTAGTACTAACAACAGCCAATTGTGTCCTCGGTGAAAAATATAAATTCTTCGTGGTTGGAGGTACCCACAAGTTTTTGGAACATGCGGGCATAACAAGAACAGTGAATCATCTTTGTATTCATAAGGGTAATGTATTCAAAATTAATGAAATATTTCCGTTAAAGCTTCAGGACAATAATGTTAAAGGCGCAAAGGGTGCATGTTGATGAAGGTATACCTTAACCGTAGAAACCGCCATACAAAAATTAAATAGAAAAGAAAGTTTTTTTATGACATAGGTCGACAAACGAGTAGACGGATTAGGTACCTAGTGGTAACTTGGTAAGTAATCAGCGCCGTCCACGGAGACTCGTAAGGATTTACGTACAAGTGAGCTGCCGACCTCTTTAGGCATTTAAGGATTGAGGATTTAGGTAACCTCACTGACACAGCGACACACGAAAGTACATAAGTGTTTTTTCACACTAGTTTTCTGTGAGGCCGTTGTATCACTCCGGTCAAGCGGCCCATTCTTGCCGAAGCATGGCTCTAATACACTAGTAACGAGAGAGACTGTTTCTTTTGTGGCAGCCGGCAACGGGTTTTCTTTTTGATTCTCATTTCTTGGTTGAGTTACATGCTCATCGGTTTTTTTTTTTTTTTTGTGAGGGGAAAATCATCAAATGACTTCTCCCGCCCAGGGCCGGGCAGGAGGGAGTGTCAGACTCTTACTGACTAAAAACCCCCCTGTTCCTTCTCCTGCTCTGTGCCGAGGTCGCGGTACCTCATTGCGCTTACCCCGCAACCCCGGCTGAACATCAGCCCTTTAGGGCACCGTCTGTGGTGGTCTATTGGCTCTTTGAGGCGCGCGCGGAACGCTACGCGCCGTACGCTCGGGCCTGGTTCTGGTCGGGCGGCGAGCTGCCCTTACTCGCCGACCGCAGGCCCGTACTTACGGTGGCCGGAGATCGTCCCTCGATCCCCGACGCCCGTAGTGTCGCCAGTTGCGGCTGCTGGGGCGTGAGGAGGAGGATTGCTCCCTCACGCGGGCCGCCTCTCTCTTTGCGAGCATGACTGCTTCACAAAAGGAGGAGACGGCGTCCCAGTTCCTCTCACTCCGCACCATGGCCTCGACTAAGGCCGGGCGCGAGAGGTCGCCGCCGCCGATCACTTCCCTGAGGATACGGCGGTGCTCAGCCCAGGCAGGGCATACCGCTACCGTATGCTCCACCGTATCCTCTAGGTGGTCCTCACAATGACGACACTCGGGCGTTTCTTCCCGCTGAATCCGAAACAGGAACCTATCGAAGCTGCCGTGCCCGGTAAGCACCTGCGTCAGACGGAAGGTGAGGACGCCGTGGCGTCTCTCAAGCCACTCCTCAAAGAGGGGTCTTACCGCTGCTATGGTAGCGTGCCCGGCCCTCGGTTGCGACAGTCGTTGTCTCCACTCTGCCATGAGATCTCGCCGGAGCTCATTCCGCCACGCACTTATTTGGCGCGGCAGAGGACCTTCGCCCCGGCGACGCGCGTCTGCGCGCAAACTGTAGACGCGCGCGAGCGCCTTCGCTTCTAGATCCCACGGCGGTGATCCGGCAAGGAGGTTCGCCGCCTCCCCGGAGATCGTGCGATACCCGCGGATTACTCGTATAGCCATGACCCTCTGGGACGCGGCCAGCGTACGAGCCGGCCGCCGCTTCAAGTCCGGCGCCCACACAGGGGCACCGTAGAGGGCCATGGATCGCACAATCCCCATATACAACCTCCGGCAGGAGGCGTTTGGCCCCCCGAGGTTGGGAAGGAGCCGCTTGAGCGCGGCCCCAGACCGTTCCAACTTAGGGGCCAAACGACGAAAATGACATGCTCATCGGTACGTTCTCCGCTTAAACTAAACCTTTTGTGGAACAATAGTCATAATAATATTGCTTGCATTAGGTAAGTAAGTCAATTTAATTACAATTGACAGGTTACAATACTTCTCAACGATGGTCTGACTGTTTGACGGACAATTTGGCGCTACTGGTTCTAAATACTCAGTTCTCATTCAACAAGCGTGAGCCAGGAACTGATTTTTTGTTGAATCGTGTCCGTTATGGAACTCCGAGGGACGACAGCATATATTCGGACACATCTTGCAAGTATTACGGCTGGGGTAGTAGGAGAAATGTAAGTTCATAGTTTAAATTGAAGCCATATTTTATCTGCATTTTTGTAGTAACAAGTGAATAAGAAGTATAAATAAACGTTGCAACTACTTAGGATTTTCTTCTGTGTCGTGGGTGCGGTTACAAACATACAATGACACCCAGACCCGGACATATACACATATGACACCCAGACCCGGAAAAACAATTTGTGGATCACAAAAAGAGTTTTTCCGTGCGGGAATCGAACCCGCGACACGTTGCACAACACTAGTTGTCTAAGAACCATCATTATCATATCTAATCTAACAGAATCGTAAATTACCCCAATACCTACGTACTAGTGCTTTAAGTACTCAACAAATCCATTGATTCATCTGCTGTTGGCTTCATTGGCTGTATCTAACAGCCGCAAATTCATAAAGCTAGCCTTTATTCTGAAGTTTCCAATAAAAATCTACATCTATCGAGACAACTCTCAATAAAAATTATATTTAATTATCTTTACATCTGGTCTACGGACTTTTGTTAGCGACAATGTCCATGTTTGCAGGGAAATTGATGGTCGTAGTTTAAAAAGGTCAGGTTTATCAAGTATTAAATTACTTTCAGGGCTATTTAATTCCATTGCTAATTCATCTTCAAAAGATGAATGTAATTATATTGCCGACGAGCAAATGTTTGGCAATGTTCAACTATGAGGAGAAGTTCCTTTGCATCCAGCAAGGACAGTGTAGGGTAATGTATCAATTTAATTTACATAATTATGTAGCTAATAAAACTATTATGTCACATGTCCATTCATATGACAGAAGTAGTGTCCCGTCTCTTCGAATGATAGCGATAAAGAACTAAACTGTAGAAACATTTTCATGTGGTTTCCTAGGTTGAATATCGTGCTTCTCACGATTTAATTTTAAGTTTAATTAGGTACGGTTTTAACGTATGCGAGTGAAAAGCTAGTAGAAAAAGTTAAACGAAACATGTGACACAACAAACTATAAGAACACATAAATAGATGAACGTTCTGAAAAACAGTTAGGTATTTCTTGTTTTCAAAAACTACTCGACGAATTTTTGTAAGGTTTTGAACCATTAGTGTGGTAAATTAACATATTTTATCTATAAGGCGCAGCTGGCAGTGGTTGGATGAGAAAAGGTGACCATTGCTTAGTGGCGTGCAATTTTTAATACTTTGTTTTTAATTGTTTCATTTATTTCAGTCATCAAAATTCGGAGAATTATGTCCAGTAAGTAAAGAAATTTGATTTAATGAATCTTAGTACATAACTATAAGGCAATAGGCTCAATGGGTATACCTATGTGCTCTCTGCTTAGGTAGGCAGAGGATTAAAAGGTGTTATGACATGTATTTGAAATACATAACAAACAGGTACATAATTGTACTTAAGTAGGTACGTTTCACCTTCGCACTCTCGTGTTTATAAGTTGGTCATAACCATGTCTTGTCCTAAGTACTTGCAGAGTGCAAATAATGCAATACACAGCCTAACTTGCGCGGACGCAAAATCGTGGCCGTGAGAAAAGAATATTCATTACAATTGTGGTACTTGGGTACACAAATATTCTTTGTGTTAGTTATGTAAAATAAAACCTGACATGGTCAAAATTGTTTACTTGTACTTGGTGTTTAGAATTCATTCAGTGCTATGGACATTACAGTCGGGTCGAATTTTTTTTTTTAAGATCAAGATTGCATCCAAATTGAAATAAAAACGAAAATTGTTAACTATTATTCAACGTGGTCGTCCAAAGATTAATATAAAAGTATTTATAGGGTCCGTCACTGTTAAACGTACATGCATTTAAGAAGTTTGTTATAGGTGTATTTCCATTAATATTGTATTTTTGTCTATTTTAGGACGACGTAGGTTCAGTGATAGTTTGTTCCGGTTACGCGAAAGGAATAATGGTTTCTCGTTTAGTGGACCGGCCATGTGGTGTGGGCTTCTTAGATTTAAGCAGGTATACCAAGTTTCTGACATGTGGAGTGGATGACTCTCGAGATGTGCTTGATCATGACTCTCATATGGAATACGATTTTACTACCGTCCCTCAACCTCCAACTCCTTCGGTCTTAACTGTACCCCCAGAAAATAAAACTGCCGAAAGAGAAGATTAAGTTCCAACATATTAGAAAGTGTAGTTATAATAGTAGAATATGTGTGCACGGCAGCATATCAAATTACACTACCACCATAAATTGAACTCTACAACTAGCTCGAGCTCCTATTTCACTAGCTCATGGCAATATTGGATAACACGCTAATATACGCCGTTATTATTTCTGTCATACCTACATATTGCATAAATGTGTTTTTTTTTAAGAAATAAAATATTAGTTGGTGTATCGTTTTATTGTTAGTTAAAACGTCCTTAATATGTACACTGTGTTTAACTTATACACTAGAATACAATACATTATCCTATTGAAATGAAGTTCTACGTGTGATTTTGACTTGATGTCCATTAATTGGAAACAGGAGCATTTCAACTTTGAGTGGTCCAATGTCGTCAGCCTGTATTTTGTAGGACCGTACCACAGATGAGATGATGCTCTTCATAATAAGCATACCAAAGTTTCGTCCTGAAAGAATATTTTATAAGGATTAGGAAATATATTTATTAAAGGGCACAAGCTCATTCAAAAGAACAGCTTTGAAAGTGGTCTTTAATGCAAGTCAGTCAGATGCAATGCTTATTCTTAATTTCTAAACGTTCATCTTTAATATCACATCAATATCGTATTGCGTAGTTTTAAACATTTAAGTATAAGTGCATAAGGATATATGGACAGAAAAAGCTATTATGTTTTTTACTATGCAGTAATGATGGAGTGTCGAGTGTACAGGTTAAAATAGAACTTTTAAAACTAGTACCAATGCAGTTTCTGGAGCCGTAGCTGAAGGGCAGGAAGGCGGCTGGATGTCTATTTTTAGACCTTTCGGGCAGAAACCTGTCAGGGTCGAAGATGTCAGGTTTGGGTCCCCACGCTGCTGACTGGTGAATTGCAAAAGCTCCTATCACGGCTCCAGCGCCAGCTGGTACTGTAACTCCACATGTAGCTGCAATAGAAATAGCGATTTCCATATTATTTCAAAGTTATTCTACCTCATTTTTGTTCGACGCCGGTGATGAACTTGACCATACCCGAGAATGCCGAAGTTATGAGGTACAAATTGATAGAGACTTGATTTTTAAAAGACGACGGAGAAGTTACAGTTTTTCTTAGGTAAATAGATACTCGATATATAATTTCAAAGGAGATGATTTTTATGAAGAGCTGTAAATATATACAACCAACAATAACGTTAAAACGGGGTGAACAGAATTCGATGGGTGAATACTTAGACGCAGAAGACATTAAACGATAATGAAGACATTACTATGACAATTACCCAACAAATTCTATTCAGAATTTGGGTCCGTTTTATGAAGAAACCAGCCTGAAACATTACTTTCCCTGTGTTTCGCCGTATTAGTGAGGGTTCATTACCCTCAGGCGCAACTGTCTTCCCACCCCCCTAAATCCTCCAATCCCTAAGCCCCAAAAGGTCAGCAATGCATTCTCTGGCGTTACTGGTGTTCATGGGCGGTGTTTGCTTACAATTATACGCAATTAAGTAGAAAAAAAGGATTTAAGAAGATGTTAATCCTCATGTTGACTGCACTGTGCAACGTATCGCGGGCTCCATTCCCACACGGAATAACCCGTTGTATGACCAACAAATCACAAATTGTTTTACTGGGTCTGGGTCTGACGTGTTTCTCAAATTGTATGTTTGTTAATGAAGAAAATACTTGTGTTAGGCAACGTAACATTTTTGTGTAGGTAAATTAATTAAAATTTCATGTTTTGTTAGAATTAATTCTCGATAGAAAGATTCTAATTATAATTAAATACTTTATGACTTACGCAGATAAATGTCCTTGTCTATATTCCTCGCGATGATTGGAACAACAGTGTATAGTCTCATGCTTTCCTTGATCACTCTTTCAAGATAATGCATCCTTTGTAGATCTTCTTTATTAGATCCTCGTGTTGACGTACCGAATATTAACTCTTGTCTAAAATGATATGAAATTAACTAAATGATTTGTCTCTGTTAAGAATCAGATTAAACAAAGAAATGTAGAGATTTTGAATTACGTAAATCATTTGGTTTCTTTTTGCTTTAAAACGTGGGTTAATCTAAATAACTATGTGTCGACTACATAGGGAGGTGTTAGTTAGTGCCATACTTCGGCACGAATAGGTCAGCTCGACCGGAGTGATACCATCGCCTCATAGGAAACCGGCGTGAAGGTACAAGAAGCATTCCTTCCCCTCCTCCAATCCATCCTCAATCCTTAAATCTCTAAAACCCTAATCCCCAATTGGGAACTCCTCCATGCTTGCCCAGGACATGGGTGGCTTGTTTGCCATCCTATCATGTAAAAGATAAAGATGTTTTTTTCATAGAAGATTTCATAGAAATTATTACTTACTCCTGTAGCACCCTTTCTTGTGCATCCTGATGTATCCCCAATAGGACGAGGGTATATGCGATGACGAGAGCCGTGGTGTCGTTGCCAGCTATGGTGATTGAGTCAATGTGCTCTCGTAGTTGTTCGTCCGTGAACTCGATCTCTCTACCAAACAATAAGTCAAGGACAGCGCGGAGTTTGCCATCTAAAATAAATAAAATAACATTCTTTAAAATATTATGCGGAGGCGTCAGAATGTTTGTTCGCTGTTGCTCCTAAACAACTTGGCGGTTTTCGATGTGGTTTGAATATTATTTTTTTTTCATTGATAAGTGTTTTGTAGTCTGTTTATTTTTATCGTCACGCCTATTATCTCAGTGCAGTGGAAGAGGCAGAGGTAAACATAATTTGCAAATAAATCTACTTGTGCCATGTACTGAGTGTAGGTACATATATTCTCACTTGTTATGTTATGTATGAATCCCATACAATATTGTTTTTTTTTTGTGAGGGGAAAATCATCAAATGACTTCTCCCGCCCAGGGCCGGGCGGGAGGGAGTGTCAGACTCTTACTGACTAAAAACCCCCCTGTCCCTTCTCCTGCTCTGGGCCGAGGTCGCGGTGCTTCATTGCGCTTACCCCGCAACCCCGGCTGAATACAATATAGGGTTAACCTAAAAACATAATGCGGAACAGAATACTAAACTAGGTACTACTCGCTTGCTTCGACCCGAGAATCGACCACTGGATCGATGAGGTAGCCAGTAGTAGTTAGTTGTAAAGCGTTTGTACGTTTTAGACACATAACTGTTCGCTTTTTTAAGTAATAACTCCGGATATAATTATAAGTAGAAATATTCGGACATTACTCAAGTAGACTAATAGGTAAGTACCTACTCATTGTAGATAAAGCAATTTACTATTTGTTTGTCCACTTCTGTAACCTGACGTAGGTAGATTGCAAATAGTTTGCGTAAAAAAACTGACTTAATAATGCATTAATATGACGTTATACATTTTTTTTTTGTACAAATAATCGTTTGGACAAAGACGTCATTGGCACAAACCTTCGATTATCGAAAATTGTAAATATCGTATTGTTTGTCATTATTCGTTTTTTTTTTGTACAAAAACTCTTTTGGACAAAGACGTCATAGACACAGACCTTCGAACAATATAGGTACTTAAAGCAAGGAAGGTAGAGCTAATTTAAAGAAAAAATATTTTATTCAGACTAAAGAAGAAAACAGAAAAATAATAGTTCTCTCTTTCTATTTGAGAGCGGTGAGCCTCCGCAGCTCCATCTGGGGTGGAGTTGGGAGTTCACAACCACAAGAGTACATGAAAATCACCCTCCACCATTTAACTACGACTGCACTGTTCGATTTCAGAAAAGAATAACGTGATAGTTTCCAACTACCTACTTATACTTTTCATGAAATGTCCATAACGATAATTTTATATTAAACTAGCGGCCCGCCCCCGCTTCGCACGGGTCCAACTATCTCGCTATCAAAGGGTCACTTTTTCCTAATCTCCCCGTCTACTTTTCTAATATTTTCTTTTATAAGAACATTCTCCTGACAATAACAAACACAACAAAAAAGAATTAGCAAAATTGGTCCAGGCGTTGTTGAGTTATGCGCTTACCAACACATTTTGCGATTCATTTTTATATATAAGAAGATTGAAGATTGATCTGTCTGTCGTTATAATGTTGATTTTCGTTGTCAAATGTTATAGGTACTTATTTCTGAAAATTATATCTAAAAAACTGAAATTACAAAAGTATAAAAGTATATAGTATACGTCGAATCAATATTTGAAAGTACAGTTAGTTTGATAATTCATTATAAGTATATTGAAAAGTTTGAATAAACACATTTTGTTTTCGACGTAATTTGTATGTGCAATTGTATTTTTCTTATCTCACCCACGACACGTCGTAGAACAAAATTCTATTATGGTGATAAGTTTAAAAAAATAAATTAATTTCATTTAAAAAAAAAACATCTCGAAAAATACGCACACGCACATCCAATTTATCATGGACTCGATTTGTATGATCTGCCCACACATTCATCGGTCAGTTTACACAGGTTTATAAAGCTATATGTGTTAAAATAAGTGGCAGTAAATTTTTCAAACATTGTAAAGCCGGCCCTTGAATTACCTACCTACTACTCACTAGTTACGCATTGGTGTGTTAATTAATAAGCCTATGATGGGCCTGTGGCCGGTAAAACGATATATTAATTGAAAACATAAATGTCAATATTTAAACACGTATTTATTCTAATTGTGTTTACAAAGTCTATACGAAGTAGTGCGATCGCAAAAACGTGTGTGAATTAATTAAATTCACGAGTTTTTGACCAAATTAGACTGTTAAATAATGCTTCTAAATGATATTTTGTTTACGGATTACCTGATGGTAAGCAATCGGCGCTGCCCTACTATTTACAAGTGCGTTGCTGGCTTTTTATGGATTAAATATTAGGGATTTGGAGATGGGGGAAGGATTAACAACGTAATTTTGGTGTTGTTTCATGTTGGTATTCTGCAAGCTCATGCATGGTATCACTCCGGTCGAGCCGGCTACCACGCGTATGAAAAACGTTATAAAAATTTTACTACTAGAGATTAAGAGCATTGTTTGCTGTGGGCGGATGGATATATTTGTTACTTTTTCACGAAAAAATTACTGAGTTAGATTCGAATGCAATTTTGTACGCAGAGGACGCCTTCGAAAGGAGCGTCATTAAAATAAGTAAAAAAAATACTACGAAATATACATATACCTAAGGTAATATTTATGTGTAGTGAGTATTTACTACTACTACTTGTAAAGAATATATAAAGTAATAATAACATGTAGGTAATAAAAAAGGCATAAACAAAAACTTATTTCATGTCAAATTTGCATAAACATATTTCTATAGATAAAAAGAAAATATTAACTGTAAAACTTTGTGATGCTTACCATTCTGTTCTTTATTATCACCTTTCTTCCTTTCGTATTCTAAACGCTTCTTCTTGACAACCTGTTAAAAGTAAACGTAGAATACTTAGTACAATAAACAATTGTACTCATTGTACACAAGCGTTATAAGTATAGTCGTAAAATAAATATTTATAAAATAAAATGGAACATTACAGCTACGCAGGAGTTTAGCTACCGCCGTATTAGGCACGGGGTCCCTGGGCCATGGAGGCGCCCAACGTTCACGATTTAAAATGAATATAGTTATTTCGTAAAATTAAAAGACCTCGATGATTATGATCTTGTCATACGAATATCAGCCTTATTCTACATCTAATAGTTTGCCAAAATTTAATTATCAAATACCAACCTCATCAGTGAATTTGTGAGTAAGATCGATGTTATCTCTCTGCTGTTTGGCGTACGGAGTGAGATTGAAGATGCAGTCTGGTTGGAGCCAGACCTTGAATAGGCGCATATTGAGGATTTCCATGACAGTGTGCCGTGCTCTCAGGTATGGGGTGTCTGGTGAGTGCTGGACGTCCATACGCTCACCCATTGCTGTTTCTGCAGAAGAAAAAAATAAATTTTGTGAAATTATATTTATTCATCGTTATATTGCTGGCTGGTTGGTTCTCGTTCATTGCTGACATAGACCTCCGCAATAGTACGTGAGTTACATTGTTGTTTTTTTTTTGTGAGGGGAAAATTATCAAATGACTTCTCCCGCCCAGGGCCGGGCAGGAGGGAGTGTCAGACTCTTACTGACTAAAAACCCCCCTGTTCCTTCTCCTGCTCTGTGCCGAGGTCGCGGTACGTCATTGCGCTTACCCCGCAACCCCGAGCTGAAAGTTACATTGTTGTCAGGGTGCGTTTTTGTCATTAGATCAGTTGAGTACAATTTACAGGAATCTTTCTTCTTTCCTTAAAAAAATAATTTTCTTGAGTATTATTTGAGTGTCACCTGAGCTGCAAAAGGCCGATGGATGCAAGTGGCAAATTGTCGTAGAGGACTATGGGGGACTTATTTCAGCAGTGGACGCCTTCCGGGTGATGATGATAGTATTATTTATCTCTATTATGATTAAACTTACCAAAAACTATGTCCAAAGTGCAAGCAGTAATGTACTTGAGAACATCGAACTGCTTTCCATCGACTCGTTCACTTAACCGCTCTATGAGAACGTCCGCCTGTTCAGCAATCACACCCAAATATTCTTCCACTATTTTGTTGTGGAAAACTGGAAGTAGCACTTTTCTATGCGCTTTCCATAGATTTACTAAAAAAAGAGTATAAGGAAAGGAGTCTTATAAATAAAGTCTTGGTTCTTTGAAAATGGAATGAGTAGGTACTCCATTGTAAATACATCTATTGTTTTGCCATGGCGCTAAATTACAGTAAGCATTGATATAAGGCTTCTCATAACAGACGAACTTTCCTCAAAAAAAAAAAATACAGCGACACTTTACACTAAAGGATTGACGTATACAGAAATTGGCAAATAAGTACGTTCTTTACACAAACGAAACGACGTAAAGATTAAAGACGTTATATCAAAAGAAATATTGTATCAGACAATATTTGTAGAGAGACAGATTACGAATTCAAAGTTTGTAGATGTGTTCGCGCTTACTTCACAATCTGATTTAGAATGATTACTTGATTAGCGCGTGTATGGTGTTCAGCGTGGTGTTTACTTACCCGGAGCCACGAAAAGTCCGTGGCCAAGCCAAGGTCGAAGGAATCGATACACTACATCTTTATCTAAACAATTTTCTAGAACTACTTGAGCGTCTTCAGGATCTCCGATTGCTGTAAAACAAAACAATAAGAAATACACATGAAACTTCTTAGTCATCTTTTATGTGGCTTTTACTACTTTACTTTAACTTTACAATTTGTTGCGAATAATCTCGATGTGGGATGAATAGGTCTACAGAAGAGGTGTGAATAGATGTTGGAAAATTGTTCCAGTAACAATTAGTAGCCGTCCGTTTTGAAAAAAAAATGTTGCTGTTTTTCAACTAGGTAAGTATGAAGTCATTTCAGATTGCTTTGCGATGCCCAACGGGTCCTATAGTTGAAACACATCTGTGAAAATTGTAGAACATTTCTGTACACTGTAGTTACATTAAAAACATTTAATTTGATTTAGGTCAGGTTAAGATTCCGAGTCTAGGTTTAAGAAAAGAAAAACATTTGACGAATCTTAGAGCGTACTAATTTTTTAAGACAAAAAGGACGTGTAAATTGACAGTGTGTACTATTTCAATTAGTCTAATATCGTAGATATGAGGATAAGAACACAGGAGGTTTGTCCTTAAATTTGTAATACATCGTTTTCTTTTGACATTGCATCCGGCATTGTACATATACATATAGGTCTGCCACCTTTAAAATCTGTCAACCAGGAAAATAAATGTAAAAACCCTGGATTTTGGATCTCATAATCCGAACATTTGAAAGATGTTCCTGCTGTTACTAAACAAAAATAGTTTTTTCTGTTAAAATCAAATTTGCGAGTGAGTTGGTTAAAATTCAACCCGGACTATAATTTGAACAACGCTCGGACGCACCCGGACGCCTCCTAAACTAGGACATATTCGGGAAACCCGGACCGATGGCAACTCTATACATAATTATATAGGTACATAACTACATAGTATCTATGTATTTCATATTTCATACAATACTAGACCACTTCACAAGTTCTATGAGAAATATAATATCTAGGTATATATAGAATACCGGATACTATAAATTACTCGTGACACATACATATTTAAATAGGGAAAATAACTACGTTTAATTGCTTTAGCAAAAAGTCTTAGGCGATTTTACTTAAATAGCTTTTGGTTCCGTTTAGTATTCCAGCCTATGATGTTTGGCGAGCAAACCTCGTTTGTTTGTGGTGACGCAAATACGTTTTGATGTGAAGGTATTAACTATACTTAGTAAGTACATTCCACTTACTATTTAAACACGTGACAAACTCACCTACGTATAATTTAGGGCCGAGCCATAGTTTTGCCGAGTTCTTGTGTTTGAACGCTAAGTCTGCGAGCGTCCATAGATTTTTTAGGATCTCTGTAACAAAGTAATTATACAAAATGTAATAGGTAGTAATAAATGATTCAGTAAATTAATAAACATTTTAAAAACTTCATACTTTAATCCCCACGTAAAAACTAAGTATTGATGGTAACCTACGCTGTGATAACGATGTCAAAAAAAAAAAACAGTTTTTTTCGCATTTTGAATACCTAGGTTGATTACTCTTTTAACCGTCAATAACGTATTTTCAAGGTCAACTATAGTGATGTGCAACAATCACTGAAGCAAAATTTGCAAGGTCAAAGGTTTTTTACAAAAACCTAATGTTTTCTTTCTTAATTAATTATCCTTACAACCATAATGATATTAAAATTATTCATAACAAAAACCTATTTTTATCATGTACATTGTACATATAGCATAAACACTATAGTACTAAAATCAAGATGGAGTATAATTAGAAATTATAAGTCCAGGTTTCCTCACGATGTGTGATGTTGTATTTATACAAATCTGGCGGTACAGGTTAAGGTCATATCTGCATTTTGTGATGAGTTATATCCATTTTTTTCACCGTTAATTTGGCGCTCGGCATCATTCATTTTAGAGAAAATGAAAAATAAATCCTTGAATGGCAAAGGTGGTCTTCATAATCATAATAAAATTGCTATTACGTTAAAAAAGCTTAAAATCATTTATTAGACAACAGTTGCTCAGTTGCTAAATTACAAATTGGTGCCAGCCTAAGGGCTCAAAAATAATCTATACTAATATTATAAAGAGGTAAAATTTGTAAGTTTGTATGTAGGGGGTAATCTTTGGAACCGCTGGTCGGATTGCCAAATTTTGTTTCACTGTTAGATAGCTACAATGTTCCTGAGTGATATAGGTTATAAAACATCAAGCTTCGATTAAATAGAGCCTAGCAGCGGGTGAAGAAAGAACCGCATGAGAGTATGTAAGTAAGTAATAAGTTGTATGCAACTGCGGCGGTTAAAATGTTAAGTAATATTGGGTACTTTTTTGTGAGGGGAAAATCAACAAATGATTTCACGCCCAGAGAGAGGCGAGAAGGAGTGCTTCTCCTGTTCTAGGCCGAGACCGAGGCCGCGGTGCCTTATTGCCCTTACCCCGCAACCCCGGCTGAATATCAGTGAATATTGGGTACCTACTTAGTAATCGATATAAAAATTATAATAGATCACCTAGATCCTTATTAACATATACACGCGAACTTCATTGAGACAAAGCTTTACTCAAATATGGAATTCTTCAAGTTTCTTAATGACGGAACGGTAAACATATTCGAAGGCGCATCCACGTAAGCAAATATCGCGTAGACACTGGCAATAAGCCCTGATAATAAGAACCTTCGTAAATAGATGCAATAGCAAGCAAACAGAACAAGTGTCACAATAAACAATTGTACATACGACTTCATTTTGAAGAGCAAAATCAACAAGAACTAAGTATAAATGACGCAGATACACCACAATATCACGGAATTTACTTAGTACAGTTCAATTTTTTTATAGTACCAATATTGCTAGGAATTCGCGGTATTGTTAAGGTCGATCTTTGAAGACTTGAATTAGGTAAACATGTATAAGTAAACAATAATTTTGCCCACGCAACAGACGTCTATACAGGCAAAAATTTGAAAATTGATCAAGCTATTTTGACTGTGATATGTTTAATAGCTTTAAGTAGGTATTACATAAAAAATACTTGTTTTGGTGGTCCGTTTATGGCATAGCCTTCAGCTCATAAAATAGGTATTGAACGATTAGATCAGCGATTCCATAAAGTACCAGGGATTTGATTCCAAGTAAAAATAAATTTACATTGACAATTTGGTGTCTTAGCAAACGAATCCACTTAACACTAGAAAATTAAGTCTTGTTGTTTGTAAATAAAATAAAAACTCACGTTGTGTGTCTCCTAGGAATAGTGACCCATTTCCAATAAGTGGTAATGTTGGTAGCGCCGGCAGGGACGCCGTCATCTGGTCCATGCGTCGGGCTTTTGCCGCCCAGTACAGCCATAAGATGCATGTCGCCAAGAATATTGTAGCTAAGATTATCATCGTGAAAAAACCTGGAAAAAAACATTTTGGAGAGAAAACTGATATAAAAAGGGAAGACATTTATCGATATATTTCCCTATTTTTAACATCATGTGCTCTGCTGATCAAAGTTCTCCTGTCACTAAGAAGTTAGTGAGCATTTATTACCACGCTTACATGAGACGGACTAGTGATTTTGAACCATTTTAAAGTTTAAGTTTTTTACGATTACGTAAAAACGTTACGTTTACGTTGTTACGATTTTTTTCTTCATCGTGTGTCGGGGATGTCTTACTAAATAATCTAAGATCCATTATAACATTTTCGTTTATTGTTTCCTGTCTTCAATGCTTACAATATATCATCAGTGTATCAATTGATCGATGAATTAAAGTAAAGTTATTTTTTGATATTTTATTGTATTGAAACGTCGAATTAATTTATTAATTTTGACCTAGGAAACTACCCGATTGCGGGCTACAACAGATATAATAAGGAGCATATATTACAGGAGATACAGAAAGATTAATTATATAATATCTAAAAATAAAATTATACCACGGAAAATTCATAGGCAGTCTAAAAATAGATTGTGGAGTCTACAGGAGACTTTTTTTGAAAAATATAATCATTTCAAATTCAATAAAATTGTACCTATTTGCGAATTGGATTTCATCATCATCATCATCATTATCAGCCTGTTGTCGTCCACTGCTGGACATAGGCCTCCCCAATTGCACGCAACTGAGCTCGATGTTCAGCTCTTCTCATCCAACCACTACCAGCCACCCTGCGGATGTCGTCAGTCCACCTAGCTGGAGGACGCCCTACACTACGTTTGCCTAGACGTGGTCTCCACTCTAGAACACGTTTACTCCAGCGGTCATTGGTTCTTCGACAGATGTGACCTGCCCCACTGCCACTTCAGTTTGCTAATCCTTTGGGCTATGTCGATAACTTTAGTTCTCTGTCGGATCACCTCGTTTCGAATACGATCCTTCAGAGAGACTCCAAGCATAGCCCTTTCCATAGCTCGCTGCGCGACTTTAAATTGGTGGATCAGTCGCACTGTAAGTGTCCACGTCTCGGCTCCGTATGTCATCACTGGTAGGACGCACTCATTGAAGACTTCTGTCTTCAGGCTTTGCGGTATCTTTGACGAGAATACCCGACTGAGTTTTCTATACGCTGCCTAGCCAAGCTGTATCCTCCTACGAGCCTCCCTCTCGAAGTTGTTTCTACCGAACTGGATAGTTTGCCCGAGGTAGACGTACTCTTGAACAACCTCGAGAGGAGATCCATTGATGGTGATCGGCTCCGGGAGAACATGTTCATTGAACATGACCTTCGTTTTTTGTAGGTTCATCCGGAGTCCGATGCGAGCAGAGGAATCAGCCAGGATGTTCAGCATATATTGTAACTGTCCTGCACGGTTTCAGCCACGATTACAATATCATCTGCAAATCTCAAGTGTGAGAGATATTTGCCGTTAATATTTAGGCCCTGGCCTTTCCAGCGCAGCGTCTTGAACACATCCTCCAAAGTATTAGTAAACAGTTTGGGGGAAATAACGTCCCCCTGTCTTACCCCCCGATGCAGGTGGATAGGTTCAGACTGCTGGTTCTGTACTTGAACGACCATAGTGCAGACCATCATATAGATCTCTCAACACTTGAATATACCGCCAGTCGACTTGGCACCGTTGCAAGGACTCCAGAACAGCCCAGGTTTCGATAGTATCAAAGGCTTTCTCGTAGTCCACAAACGTCAGGCATAAGGGCAGATTTTGTGTACAATCTGCCTCACTGCATGTATGTGGTCCACGGTACCATATCCCCTTCGGAACCCGGCCTGTTCAGGGGGCTGCATTGGATTTGGGAAACATTTTTTTATCAAAACGTCACAATCATCAGTTTTCTTTGAATTTTAGATACAAGTTTAATCAAGTTTAAATTTCAATCAAAACTTTTTTGCTTAAAATATTAAGTATTTACTTGTTTTTTAATGATTAACAACCAAAAATATCAAATCAGTTATAATTAGTAGGTAATATCGATTGTTTAAAGTGTGTGTGTTTCCTATTTTTTATTACAATTAAAAGATTTGTATGTCTTCTATTTCTATTTTTAAATTAAAAAGTCGAACCCATTACTTTTGGCTAGCTGTACCCGGGACTTTGTTATGAGTTAAACTATATTTTTCGTAGGTACTGAATTGGAAGTTTGGCCTGTCTTATTAATTGTTAATTCGAAACAGATTTTCATCGACAATTGAAATCGTTTAAACTTCGAATTGGAAAATCAAGAGGGACCCAATTATTCTAGGAGTATGAGTTGTCACCGGCGGCAGAATTTTTTATGTGGTAGGACGGTAAACGAGCAGTCTCATTACTTGATGGTAAGAAATCAGCGCCGCCCATTGACACCCGCAATGACCCGCAGCAACGGAGAGAGTTAGAGGAGACGAGTTCCTTGCCCATATTTTGGGGAATGGGTAGGGGAAGGATTGGGCCTCCGGTAACTCCACTCACACGGCGAAACACAACGCTGTAGTTTTTCGCCGGTTTTCTGTGAGACCATGGTACCACTCTGGTCGAGCCGAAGCATGACTCTCCCCCACTGGCCTTTTTGCCTAGCCTTAGCCGGGTACGTTTAGCAGTCTCATAATAAACACAATCTGAACGTTATGTTGAGTTTTAAATTAAAACGATTAAAATAAATATGTTTCGATTTAGCTATTAGCATATTAAGTTTAAATGTCAACGGTAAAATGAAGCCGAGGATTAAAATCGTTGGTATGATTTAAATATAAGTGATTAAAATACACGGTTGTTTTGTATTTATTTTTATTCTGTTGGAACACAAAAGTCTTTTCTATAAGTAAGGATATGTTCCGACCTCTTTTCTGTTAGAATTGTAAATTAGAGAAGAGTTGAGTATTATATTGTAATGCAAGCATGATTTGTAAACTAAATCTGGGATCTATTTTTTATATATTTGCCAGGCTGGTTGCAATTTTAGGACATACCCAGTTACAAAAAAAAACACTACTACATACACACACACACACATGTAGATTCACACATTTGTAGGTACCGACGTATTTGCGACAATGTTATTTATTGTTGACAAACATTACGCGAGTAAATACATTCAGTAAATAAGTACCCATTCATTCAACTACCTACAGTCATTTCAAAAACTATTTACCCTTAACAAAATAATACTTATGAGAAGTTGTTTTGTTTAAAACTCAAAAAACAGTATTTAATTGCATAATAATATCATACGAACACAATTTAAAAAGTAAGTATTAAATAATAAATACAACAATTAGACTCACTTTTTTCCCGCTAAAAATTTGACACAATAGGGATGTTACTATTTCATCGGAGTTGTAAGCGAGCACTCTCGATCGCGATTACCATTCAACTTATGGTATAATCGTAGCAACTAGGCAAGTCGCGGTCATAAGGTTTTGTTTACTCGCGGCAAAGCAAATGTAAATATCGTTGTTTAGGTAATAGGTTGGTCGTTATTACTCGTTATTTAGACAACTTCATTGTTGAATCTGCTTCGATGTTTTTTTTTTGTGAGTGTAAAATCATCTAATGCCTTCCCCCGGCCCAGTATCGGGTAGGGGAAGTGTCAGAACTCTTACCGATTAAAAACCCCCCGTTCCTTCTCCTGCTCTGGGCCGAGGCTGCGGTGCCTCATTGCGGAGATGGAGAGAGATAAAAAGAGGTAGAGATGTTTCGAATTGTATTCCCAATCTGAGGAGGGACATTACAAAAACATTTAATCAAGCCTTAGGTATGCTAAAAAGATATGGATCTTGCACAAGTAACTCATATTTTGTTGTAGGCGTCCTATAGTGCCACTGGTCCTTGCCATCAGATGATTCGACGGCTCATTTGCCGACTTATACCATAGAAACAAATATGATGGTGATGATGATGATGAACAAATTATTTAATATTAGCTTTTGTCCGCGACTTCGTTCGCGTGGCATAGTCACTTCTTGCAGATGTTTGGTTTAAAAACTATCCTTTGTCCTTTCTCGAGTTCCAAACTATGTCTATACCAAATTTCACATAAATCGGTGCAGTAGTTTAGTCGTAAAGAAAATACAGACCGACATAGTTACTTTCGCATTTATAATATTAGTTTGGATAAAAATAGGTAAGTTTATTTTGCAAACACAATAAAAACATATTGACAAGTTCAGCCATATTTGGCCACACAGGCCCACGATCTCTGGCCACACTGTATAGGCTACTAGCTAGGCTATCACAGATGGGGCACAATAGAGGACATACGTTGTTCAGCTGGGATTGCGGGCGGGCGGCCATACGGTACTGCGGACCAGCCTGAAGCAGGAATAGAACCAGGGTGGTTTTTAGTCAATTGTTTGACATTCCCTCTCGCCATACCCTGGGCGAGAGAAAGTCGTTTGGAGGTATCACCAATCTTTTTTTGTCAGGCGAAAGTCATTATATGGCTTCTCCCGCCTAGTCGCCTAGGGTGAGGCGAAAGGGAGTGTCATACTTTTACTGACTCAACCCCCGTTTCCATCTATAAACCAAAATCCTGTACCGATTTGGTTCGAAGATGGGACAAAATAGGACCGTTTTTGCGTTAAACTACTCGTATGTCCATACATGCTCACAAACTTTTGAGTTTTTTGCAAGCTATAATCGCTTCTATTGCGGGGAAATGCGTCTGCCATTATGTCTGAAACGACCTTTTCCAAACACAGCTTCTTCTATTATGTAGAGACGAGGTAATGTTAATATATAGTTCATCACTAACAGTGGGTTTAATTTAACACCTCGCTTTTACGCTTTAAACGTGGTTTCTTTTCCAGTAGAGTTTCCCCAAAATAGGATTGCATACCATAAACGTGATTCTACTATGCCATAATAAGCAGTAAGAAGAGCATCTCTAACAATTATAGGTGACTAGCTTCCGGCCGCGACTTCGCCCGTGTGGTATATCGATAAAAAGTAGTATATGTTAACACAATCCCGCCCCTTCCCTCTCCGATCCTTATATCCGCAACCCCTGTCCCATCCTTACCCTAAATCTCCGAAACCGTAATCCCCAAATGCCGCCAACGCACTCGTAGCTCCTCTGGTGTTACGGGTGTACATGGCTAACGGCTATTGCTTACCATCAGGTAATCTGTCTGCTCGTTTGCCAACCTATCACATAAAAACATCCATACATTCTGACTGACTTTCACATTTATGATTAGTAGGATATTTAGTATGTGTATGCAGATCGTATGCAGATTTACTTATCTGCTTATAGATACCTATAAGGTACGAATCTGGGTTTACCAATTTAATTTGTTACCTATTTTAAGATCAAAGAATTTTGTTCTAAAATCTAAAATTGATAACTTTAGTTACCTACCTTGCAAATTATATGACACTAGCTACTCGCGCGCGGTTTCACCCGCTGCTAGGCTCCATTTAATCATAGCGTGATGTGTATCTATCAGTGCAAGAATTTTGGCAATCCGACCAGCGGTTCCAAAGATTACCCCCTACATACAAACTTACAAATTTTACCTCTTTATAATATTAGTATAGATAGATTTTGATTCGAATGTTTGTCACGTATATCATCAAATGTCTTCTTTCGCCCAGGGTGAGGCGAGAGTGTCAGACTCTTAATGACTAAAACCCCTCGTTCCTTTACCTGCTTTAAGTCAAGGCCGCGATACCTTATTGCGATAGCCCCCTACCCCGGCTGAACCTTCGTTACTTAGTGTTGTTGTTTCGTCTCACATTATAAGTTACCTTTACTTAGTGACAAATATCGAAATTTATCCTAGCATTAAGATAAGATGAATGGAAAATGGATTTATAAATGAATGGTCGTGGTAACGTTTTCAAGGCCCAATCTAGAAAAACAGATATTTGCTGGACCCGTTAGAGAGATTCTATATTGATAATGATGATGAGATTTAGTGTGGGAGAGTCATGCTACACGACGACTGCGCCGGCTCGACCGGAGTGTTGCCACGTCCTCATAGAAGACCGTCCTGAAACAACAACATTGTTGTGTTTCGCCGGTAAGCGAGGTTACGGGAAGCTTAAACCTTCCCCTTCCCCTTCCCTTCTCCCTCCCTCCCCAATCCCAAAATCTCCAAAACCCCTTTTCTCTAAAAGGCCGGCAACGCTGTTCCAACTACTTAATCTGGTGCAGCGAGTGTCCTTGGGCAGAGTCGCCGATTACTTACCAAAAGGTAACCCATCTCTTCGCCTTCTGGTGCATACCTAAATGTGATTGAACCGAAAAAAGTTTACGTCCTTATTTTGTCATACTCATTCATTAGTATCATATTAAGTTTTAGCAAACATTTCATTAACATATTTTAGTGTTAAATAAAACTCTAATCTCATAAAGGTCGGCAACGCACTTGTAACTCCTCCGTTGCGGGTGTCCATGGGCGGCGCTGATTACTTACCATCAGGTAATCCGACAGCACGTTTGCCGACCTATTCCATAAAAAAATATGAAAATTCAATAATGCTGAAACCTTTTAATTATTAATCATTAGATAGATATTATGCTAGGGCCCTACGTCCCCATGATAAAGAAATAATGAGTTTCCAAAATTCAAATAATGACACGATGCAGTAACATAATTCAAGGTTTTTAGGTATTTCGGATAACCCCACGTCCTCCTCAGGTAAACGTACTCCACGTACGTAATATTTCGTATGACCTCCGGGAATTTTTCACGTATTGATGCTAAAATTTGTCAGTACGCACATATAAGTACGTTTCTTGATAACACTTCTCTATAAAACATTTTTGTCATATTTTAACACTACTTAGGATACCTAGGTTTGTCTAGATTTATTGTATGTACTTGAAAATAGATTTAGCAAACATCGATGGCCGACCTTCTTCTAAACATTTTCTAATTATATAGCGATGGTCACAATTTCCCTTCAATTGTTTACGATATTAGCTGTTAGATTGTAAATAGATATAGCTAATAGGTTGGCTAAGTGTAACAACATATATAAATGCGTGCATTTTATATATGTGTAGGTTACAACGTACATAGTGTCCACCTACAGTATTTATTTTGTCGGATACAGGTACTAATAGGAAAAGCTAAGCTAGACTATAAGTTTAGCTCTTTTCATTAAGTCATTCAGTGTTACATACAACGTTATACCAGTCAGTTGAAATTAGTGTTTTAACTTAAACCTATCCACTATAAAAATATGTTGGTCATAATTTTAATATGTTTGATAGCAATTGCGTTTTACATAAAATTCAGATATTCGCGTTTCTCTTTGTACAAGTTTGCCAAAACGTTTCCGACTGATGGTGATCTGCCGATTTTAGGACACACCCATTGGTTTATCGGAGGACCTGAAAGTAAGTGAAATTATTTGGATTAACTACCCGCCTTTGTTTTATCCACAAAAGAGATGAGTAGATAGAGAAAAATAAACTAAACGTTTGTTTGAATACCTTCCTAAAATTACTTGATTAACTTATATGGCACACAGGTCATACAAATGAAAATGACGCTTTAGGTAATATTCAATTTTATTTGGGATACAGCGGCTTTTCAGACAATTTCAGGCATTAAATGTAACACCCTCTTACGTAACAAAGATAGCGCGCTGTGCAAATTGTCATGCTCATGAGCACAAGTTTCATCCTCCAGGTTATTCCTGACAATGAAATAAATATTTCACTCGGCCCCGGAAATTAACCCTTGATCCCCATGCTTTAGACCAAGTTATTAAATTTCCAGATAGTTTTTATGAGTCATTGAAGGAGATTTCAAGGTCATGCTACACTCAAAGACATTAACCGTTGACTATAACTATACCTAAGCAACGACTTCGTTCTGAAACTAATAACGAAGGACTGATTAAAGTGACCATTTAATGACTCTGTGTGCGGCGCTAAGAAATTAACGTGTACTTAATTGATTTAAGCAATGTAGATCAAACAAGACCACATTTCATGAACCAATTTTTTTAATGTGTTTGGTTAATATATTATACGTGTTTATTTTTAGAAATATATAACAATTTACGTACTTTGGTGAAGGCTGCTGAGGTCAGAGGGAGGGTTAGTTCGATTTGGATTGGCCCAACTTTATATGTAGGTAAGTAGCAGTACAAATTACGAATTTAATATCTTGTAAACATAAACCTTGTAAACACATTTAAGTGTAGTTAGCATAACTCAGTTTCATCAGTAATTTAAAATCTAACAAGAAACGAAAAAAAATGGATACCTGTTTTGACGCAAGTTGCATTGAATTAAATTAAAATCAATTTCATATTTCAGTGTCATTCAATCCCGAGGATGTGCAGAAGATTTTGGAGACTTGCCTCGAAAAGGATAACAGCTATAAATACCTTCAAGCTTGGCTCGGAAATGGACTATTTGTTGCACCAAGTAAGAACAATTTAAGAGTCTATCTGTTTACCGTGTATAGTTTACAAGATACTCGTAGTACTTATTTTAACTTAGATAACGTATATAATCTTTAATTGGGATGTTTTTGTGTTTTTATGTAGAATAGTAGTACGCTTCACCTAAAATGTCGTTCAGCATACATGATTATAATTTGATCATTCAATATATCGTGACAGACATTGCTCGAACGAAGGATGAAAATATTTGCTCTCTGACTAAAGCCGTACATCACTACCAATTCGATTTCCAAGTAACACAAACATACAAAGTAACACAACAAAGACAAGAGAATCGTTAAGTTCAACATGTTTACATTTCCTATAATGCTATATTATTATGACAACACTACACATGTGCAGATTGGTGCGTTTTATTTTAAGTGACTATAAAACAGTAATATACTTTAAAAACATACCAACCCTACAGCATTTTTTTGATGTTCTTTCGTAACTCTACGAAAGAGCTACGGGATAAATCGCAGCGGATCGCACCCCGTAGCGTACTACGCCCGGCTACGCACCTTGTCGAAGCGCCCCGCCCGCCCTCGTCACCGAAACGAAGCTACCAGTACTCGTAGTCGTTCCTTGTAGCGTACTACGCTGGGCTACGCTCCGTGTAGCGTTTTTGGTTTTAACTCTCGTCACCGATGCGAACCATAAAATTTGCTGTAGTCTCGTATCAGGAAATTATTGCTGCTTCATAGTACAAATTAGACATGCATATAATATTTATAATCGAATTTATTTCTTGTTATTATTCCTCATTAGTTTGGATCGTATCTGCTTGGAGACATTAATATAAGGTGGAAATCAATGATAACCAACTCTTTTTGCTACAAAATCTTGGCATTATATGATACTTTTTTTTTTGTCAGGGGACAATCATCCAACTATTTCTCCCGACCAGGGTAAGGCGAGAGAGAGTGTCAGACTCTTACTGACTAAAAATCCCCCCATTCCTTCTCCTGCTCTGGGCCGAGGTCGCAGTGCCTCATTCCACTTACCCCGCAGCCTCGGCGCATTGTATGATACTTGTTTCCTGTTTTGCATAGGTCTACTATTGACTTTCGTTAACCTGTTATGCACGTCAGAGATATGAAATGTGCTAACATTTTCTGTTTACAATAACAATGCGAAAAATCGCAGTTAGGTAGTACTTAGTTTTGTAATGCCGATATTTTGATACTAAATGTGATTATTGTCGAATTCACATGTCCTAGAATGTTGATGAACACTATAAACACGTGTAAGAGCTTTGTTTCGGTACTAACGAGCCGGGAGTGACTGGAGTTTTGCCACAGCTGTGGACTGAAAGCATTGCTTGCCTTGTGTTTTGCCGTCTGAGTGAGGTTACCAATATTAGTAATAGTAACAGTATTATATTCGTGTAACCAGTATGTCAGTAAGTATGGTTGAGGGTGCAAGATAAAATTGCGTGGCCTGGTTCAGAACAGGAGAAGGAACGGGTTCGTTTTATGTCAGTAAAAGTCTGACAATCATTCTTCTCTCGCCCCATTCAGGGCGGAAGGATTCATTATATGATTTTCCAACGTTATAAAAAAGCCTGTCTGTATGTATACTTATTATATATTTCAATTAAAAAATACTTTTATATTCCAATAGAAACGTCTATGGGCAAGAAAATGGACGTCCAACACCACCCTGACACGCCATACCTGCGCGCGCGCAAGACAGTGATGTCTATCATCAACATGCGACTGTTCAAGGCGTGGTTGCAACCTGACGTACTATTTAACTTAACGTCTCATTCCGCGGTCCAGAAAGAAAACATTGATGCCACTCACAAGTTTACTGATGAGGTAAATATAAAAATCGAACATAGCCTAGCCTTTTTTTAATAGTTACTATCGTGAGACACTAATTCATCGAAAATAACAAAAATAAATTGAAACTAAAAGAGCTTTTCTTATTTAATTCACGTGAACATAGTTAAACACTTACTTGAGGGCAAAGCGCAATAAGTAGCTGCCGCCTAGCTACGACTAGATTTTGGAACAGGGAGTATAAAAAATTTAATTTGTAGGTACATACATTCTATACATAAGTACAAATAAAATTACACATTTAATTTACAACTTAGTCTCATGTGTCTAAGTGATACAATAATGACATAAGATCAATCCAAAGAGGCGATTGCCTTATTTTGCACGTGTGAAATACTACTGTCTGTCTGTCTAATACTAAAGTCTATATAGTCTTGAAAGCAAGATTTAAATCTGCTGATTATAAATCTTGCTTTCAATCAGCATCAAAATCCGTTACGTAGTTTTAAATATTTAAGCATACATACAGACAAAGAAAGCGACTTTGTTTTAACTATGTAGTGACGTCACCAACGTAATGGACGATGGCAAGCAATCAGTGCCGTCCATAGACATGCCGCAACGGTGATAAGTTACAAGTGCATTAACGGGGTTATAGGAATTCGAGGATTAAAACAGTAGCCTTCACCCAGAAATATTAAGCCCACATTAGACAAAGATCGGCTCCAAGGCGCCACCTTGCGAATTACACCGCACCGGGCGCAATCTAAGAAATTCACAAGGAATAAACGAATAACATAAAAAAAACATCTTCATTTTCACCTCTATTATAAGTATAATTGATTTCGAATGACATTTTAGACTTTTTAGGCGTTTATTTATTTAAAGAATTATCACTCGGAAAACCTAAATTCAAATAAGTACACACTTAAGACATACGTAGTATTGTATCAATCTATTATTATGGTTGCAGGTAATACAGGACAAGATTGCTCACTTTGATGAAGAGAACTGCAAAGAAGGTAAAGAATTTCATGAATTTTGTATAACACGTAAAATAACACACACCATTACGTATTTTCGCACCCAAAGGTTAAGAACATATAAAAGTAGGTATAACGAGATTCAAAGTCAAAGTCGAATCATTTGAACTACAAACGGAAACAATAAATATCAAATATGAACTATTTGTACACTTTATGTAATACATAGAAAGGCTTAATACCGAACGGAATTCTCTACAAGTCAACCGTAATGGTGACGATTATAAACAACCGTCAAAAAAAAATTATATACACAGGTACAAAATTGAAAAAATTGGAAATAAAAGTTTAATTCTAAACTTATTTAAAGTCAAAGTCAAAGTCATCATCATAATCATTTATTCCAACTAAATCATAAATAGGTACTTTTGAAACGTCAATATAGAGAATTAGTCTGTCAGTCTGTTCGTTTTATTAATTTAAATAAAAAAAGGAATCAAATTAGGTATCCATTCAATAAATTTTATTTTATATTTCCACTTTGTTCTAGAATAAACTGTTATCATACTTAATATCTTTTGTCATACTTATTTCTTCACAGGTCGTAAGGACATATTACAGTTACTATTAGAGAGAAAGTTGGCCTTCAGTAACGTAGAGCTACGGGAACACATAGACTCTATTACCTTAGCTGGTAACGATACCACGGCTCTTGTCATATCTTATGCATTATTGTTATTGGGAATGCATCAGGATGCACAGGAAGAAGTTTATAAAGAGTAAGTATAGAGTATATAATATATCATTTGTTAAGTAAGTACAGTAAAAAAAACTATAGTTTTACGAAAACTGTCGATGCTAACCCGTGGATTCGAGTCCCCACAATCAGTCGGATTTACAGCTATTAGTCGACTAATGACCGTTTTCGATCCTAGATATAATATATATATTCCGAAAGGGATGGGTGAATGTACATACATTAGGTATGTTACTCTTTCACTTAAAACCTACTGAAAGGATTCGAATGAAGGGTATAGAGCAAATCAATGTCTGGGATAACACAAAGGCTCCTTTTTAAAGCTGCAGGAAGCCACCTAATGACTTCTTCTGCGCTGGGTGGAGCGAGAGGAAGTGTCAGACTTTTATTGACTCCTGTGATCCTGTCCGGATTTCGTCGCATGATACACGACGGCCGAGAAGACCTCGGTTAGCCGTCTATCGCTTCCTTGAGGACATGGTGATGCCCAGCCCAAGTAGGGAACACCGTCATCGTATGTCCACTGTGTCCTCTTTGTTTTCTTCAAAGCGATCAAACGCGAGATTAACCGACTTAAAATTTGCCTATGTTAACTCGGTGCCTTCACTACAGTATACTAGTTAGCTAGACTAACAACGCAGTCAATGAACTAATATAAATGTATGGTAAACCTCACTATAACTGCGGCGGTGACAAATATTTTAATTGTTCTTTATTTCGACGCACTAAAGACTATTTTCGTAAGAAACCTTTTTTAGTAGAGGTGTGATTGACTCAAGCGTAATATTTACAAAGTACTTTGAAAATTAACTGCCTGGTTAGCTGAGTGCTCACAAGGATTTCCAAGTAACGGGTCTCGGGTTTCATCATCGAGTAGGGGAGTGTTAATTTTGAAAAAATTGACAATAATAGTATATTGACAAGACATTGTATAATGTGCATTCGCTGCTACTTTAAAGTGTGAGTTAACCACCTCGACCGGGGTGATTCAACGACCTCCCAGAAAATTGGCATGAAACAACGATAGCGTTATGTTTTGCTGTGTGAGTGAGATTGACGGAGGTCCAATCCAATCTTTCTCCCCTTGCCCTAATTCCTAATGTCCTAAATGTACAAAACACTAAACCCCAAAAAGACGGCAACGCAGTTCTAGCTCCTCTGGGCATCCATGGGCGGCGCCGATTGTTTACCTTCCGATATTGGTCAGCACGTTTGACGTCCTACTACATACAAAAAACGGATATTAAAATATAGTGATGTAACTTTTGAAGTACCTACTTTAAAAGTTTGTTACTTTGATCTTTCAGATTGAAAAGTATTTTTGGTGACTCTCAAAGAATGCCAACCAAAGAAGATATTTCGAGGATGGATTATTTAGACAGGGTTATCAGGGAAACCATGCGATTGTACACAGTTGTGCCTTTAATTGGACGAAAAACTCGGACGGAATTAAAGCTTTGTGAGTATCTGAATGTTTAGCATGTTAACATGAATAATATATAAATGCAAGTAGATACGTCGTGTGCATTTGTATAAACGAGGTTACTTAATACATCTAAATTTTCAGTGATAACATACATTAGTTTGAAACTATTAAATTTTGTTTTTTTTTAATAACTACCTACTGACATTTATGTATCTTTTTATCATCAGTGTACAATTTGTATCTACAGTCAGTCAAGATGTTTGCTAAGCAGGTGAGGAAATAAAGATTGGTTCAGTACAAAGCCATTAATTAATCAAAATATGTTAATGAATGAATATAGCTACTGAATATTTCTTTTCTACCTGCGTACCGAGGAGGTTACGTTAAAATTACCACTGCCGACACACCGAAGGAGGATCAGACACCCACTGACAAAAATGCACCCTGCTCCAATTGGCGCCGATACCCGCAAGGCTGACTATGCCTTAAGACTTAATAAGAACACTTACTGTGTTGTATCCTGCAGATTTTTACTACATTTCAGCAACATGCACAGTTCCGGCTGGCGTCGGCTGCGTTGTAATACCCATGGTGTTGCATCGCTCTAAGAGGCTGTGGGGTCCTGACGCCGACTGTTTCAATCCAGATAGATTTCTCCCAGAAAACTGCGCGACCAGACATCCGTGTGCTTATATACCTTTTAGTTATGGCACTAGGAACTGTATAGGTGAGATTGCAATTTGTCCATTTAATACATATTTGTTGCGGAGGTTGTGGCTCAAGCGTAATAATGTACCGTGGCCCTGGGCTAATAGGTACAATATAAGAAGAAGAGAAGACAATTTTATCCTTTTAAAAAAAACTCTTTTATTTGCTGCTATACTATGTATACAAGCCGCACATTTGGTTACCGTTTTCCTTAACAATGTTCGAATACTGTTCAACTTTAAAATTCTGTTACAGGCCGACACTTCGGCATGCTGGCAATGAAAAGCGTCCTCGCTAACGTACTACGAAGTTACAAAGTATCATCAGAAGCATTCGATCGGCTCAAGATTGAAATCCTCCTCTTCCCAGTGCATGGTCATCAAATCACATTAGAAAAACGAATGTAAATAATATTGATACCGCATTCATGACATTATATCTACCTACTTTGGATACCTGTATAAATTTAAAAAAGGAAATATATGTATGTATAAGTTCTTCTGTTTTTTTTATTTCTGTTTCTCGATATCTCGATTGAATCGAATGGTGTACCCCTCCAAGTTTTACGAATAATAGGTACCAGCTTAGCCCGTTAAAAAAGCTTTCATTGTGAACATTTAGATAAATGTCCATATTTATTCGATAAACAGCGGCACTGGTGCCGCTGTTTATCTGTTTATGGTGGATTGTTGTAAGATTTAACTTGCATCACCAACTGAATTTGACAACTGGTACTATTGCAGTGTACTTAAAGTTAATGGTGTTAATAAAAGAAAATTATGTCAATATTAAAAAATATAAATGAAGATAAAAAAGAATCATGAAAATCGATGTATGTAGGTATAAAGTATGAGTGCCCGTAATGAGAAATTTCCTAAAAGTCGGTTCAATCACAATAACAGTTTGCCCGACCTAGGAATCAGGCTCTATAATAATGTGTGATTATAATAAAGAAACGCACCACTAGTAATCAATATAAAATTATAAAGCAGCAGCTTTCGATGTCAGCAGCAAAAAAATGTTGGTCCATTTGCGTCAAATTAGCAAGGTAAAAAGCATAAATATTAATTCTGTACCGCATTGTTAGGTACTTGCGATGAAAAGTTGGTTCCACGCTGGTTCAGCATCCGAACGATGCCTTAATCCAAAACACCGCAGAAAAAATTTGATCGTGCGATCCATGGCACTTTTTTTTGTGAGGGGAAAATCATCATATGACTTCTCCCGCCCAGGGCCGGGCGGGAGGGAGTGTCAGACTCTTACTGACTAAAAACCCCCCTGCTGTTCCTTCTCCTGCTCTGGGCTGAGGTCGCGGTGCCTCATTACGCTTACCCCGCAACCCCGGCTGAATATCCACCCTATAGGGCCCCGTCTGTGTCGGTTTATTGGCTCTTTGAAGGCCTGGTTCTGGTCGGGCGGCGAGCTGCCCTTACTCGCCGACCACAGACCCGCGCTTACGGTGGCCGGAGATCGTCCCTTGATCCTCGACGCCCGTAGTGTCGCCTGTTGCGGCGGCTGGGGCGTGAGGAGGAGGATTCCTCCCTCAGCGGGCCGCCTCCCTCATTGCGAGCATAACTGCTTCTCAGAAGTAGGAGACGGCGTCCCAGTTTCTCTCGCTCCGCACCAGTGCCTCGACTAAGGCCGGGCGCGAGAGGTCGCCGCCGATCACTTCCCTGAGGACACGGCGGAGCTCAGCCCAGGCAGGGCATACAGCCACCGTATGTTCCACCGTATCCTCTAGGACTACCCTCACAATAACGACACTCGGGCGTTTCCTCCCGCTGGATCCGAAACTGGACCCTACCGAAGCTGCCGTACCCGGTAAGCACCTGCGTCAGGCGGAAGGCGAGGACGCCGTGGCGTCTCTCAAGCCACTCCTCAAAGAGGGGTCTTACCGCTGCTATAGTAGCGTGCCCGGCCCTCGGTTGTGACAGTCGCTGCTTCCACTCAGCCATGAGATCTCGCCGGAGCTCATTCCGCCACGCACTAATTTGGCGCGGCAGAGGATTTTCGCCCCGGCGGCGCGCGTCTGCGCGCGTCTGTGCGCAAACTGTAGACGCGCGGGAGCGCCTTCGCTTCCAGGTCCCGCGGCGGTGATCCGGCAAGGAGGTTCGCCGCCACTCCGGAGATCATGCGATATCCGCGGATTATCCGGATAGCCATGACCCTCTGGGACGCGACCAGCGTACGAGCTGGCCGCCGTCTCAAGTCCGGCGCCCACACAGGGGCCCCGTAGAGGGCCATGGATGGCACAATCCCCATATACAACCTCCGGCAGGAGGCGTTTGTCCCCCCGAGGTTGGGAAGGAGCCGCTTGAGCGCGGCCCTAGACCGTTCCAACTTAGGAGCCAATCGACGAAAATGGTCCGTGAATCCATCGGCTGTCGAGGACGAGACCCAGGTACTTCATCGCCGACTCGACGTCGATAGTGATCCATGGCACTTGAGGTTCATCCGCATGAGCCGCAGCTATCGCATGATCTCCGGGGAGGCGGCGAACCTTCTTGCCGGATCACCGCCATAGGATCTGGGAGCGAAGGCGCTCAAGCGCGTCTACAGTTTGCACTCTGACGTGTAAACTGACGCCATGGCGTCTCTCATCTTTTTTGCCTGCGACCAGAACCAGACCCGAGAATACAGGGCGTAGCATCCCGAACGCGCCTCAAAGAATCGACAGACAACCACCGAGGGGATTAATGTTCAAGATTTATCAAGATTGATGATGGATTGTGGATCAAGCGCAATAAGTTGATCCTGCGGCCCCGCCCTTAGCAGGAGAAGGAACGGGTTGGTTTTTGTTAGTATCTTAAACTCAGTCTTGCCACACCTAGGGCGATAGCGATTTGAAGGAGTTGCCCCCTTAAAAAAATTGGCTTAATATTGTACGTCGATTAGATCATAGTCTCCGATCGGGTCGAATCATTCATGCCAAAGCATGTCCCTCCGACACTGGATTTGTGTGAAACTTTTGTAAATAATGCAAACGAAAACTGCACAGACTGCACGGTGAACAAAATCCACATTATGCGTTTATAACTATGGTTAGAGATAAACATGCGTGGCGTGTCGCATCGTGTCGAGTGCTGTCAAAGGTATGAAACCGTCGTCTTCTTTGTGGCGCAACATTACACACCACAATCTGTTTCATTATCAATTAAACATTTATTACTAGGTAGCTGTAAAATCGTGTTCCACCCACTAAGCTACTAATACCTAGAAGATAAAAGTATGTTCTTCTCTCCACCTTTTTCTACATTAAAAGTAAAAAAATCAATAATGACACTGATTTGATAATTTTTAATCATTATTTCGATTTAGTCGATCGTTAAATAGTTACTAATTGTATTGGCGTCGTTATTAGTCCCCTCACTATCATTTAGCAACATGGCTGATTTGCTTGGCCTAGCATTCCAAATAGGTTAACGTTGGTTTCTGTTTATAATTGATAAAACTTTGTTTGGTGATACTGACAAAAAATTGTGTGTGTGCATTTGTGAAAAGAGGCGTGTATAATGATATAGTGTATTTTATAATCATAAGGTAAGAATAACAACTTAAAGACTGCTCAATTGGCCATATTTAGTACATTCTGTAATGGCCGAGATTGTAATGAACTTATTTCTTTAATTAGGTATCGAAGTAATTAACCATGGATTTCGGACACCCTCCACCGAATATGGGGATACCTCCTCCAAACATGGTTATGGGTATGAATATGGGACCACCAGTTGGTATGCCCGGTAGAAACAACATGCGCCATATTAGGCCGTGCAACTACCAGATGCGGTTTCCACCCCAAGGGCCACTGAACATGACACAAGATGATTTTGATGGTAAACGCTTACGTAAATCCGTTATGCGAAAAACTGTAGATTATAATGCTGCTATTATAAAAGCTTTAGAGTGTCGCGTTTGGCAGAGGGACTGGCGGGACCGACACGCGCTGCAACCTGATGCTATGTATACTCCCGACCTGTTACCGCCGCCCTCTTATCCCGATAATCCTATAAATGCTGTCACTACTCGTTTTGTTAAAACTGCTACTAATAAAATGAGATGTCCAATTTTTGCCGTGGCTTGGACACCCGAAGGGCGTCGTTTAATTACTGGGGCATCGTCTGGAGAGTTTACATTGTGGAATGGATTAACATTCAACTTCGAAACAATTCTTCAAGCTCATGATTCACCTGTGAGGTCAATGGTTTGGTCCCATGGCGAAGGTTGGATGGTTACCGGAGATCACTCAGGATTTATTAAGTATTGGCAAAGCAATATGAACAATGTTAAGATGTACCAGGCTCACAAAGAAGCTGTTAGGGGTATTAGTTTTAGTCCTAGTGATTCCAAAATTGTTACCTGTTCTGATGATGGTACGCTTAGAATATTTGATTTCTATAGATGTCAAGAAGAGAGAATATTGAGAGGACATGGTGCTGATGTCAAATGTGTCCAGTGGCATCCTACTAAAGCACTGATTGTGTCAGGAAGTAAAGACAATCAACAGCCGATAAAGTTGTGGGATCCCAAATCTGGGACAGCATTGTCCACACTTCATGCACATAAGTCTACTGTGATGGATCTGAAATGGAATGACAATGGCAATTGGTTAATTACTGCTTCTCGTGATCATCTTCTCAAACTATTTGATATTCGTAAGTTAGGTACAGAGTTACAGATATTTAGAGGTCACAAAAAAGAAGCATCTAGTGTAGTTTGGCATCCAACCCACGAAGGTTTATTTTGTTCAGGTGGTTCTGATGGAGCCATATTATTTTGGAATGTTGGTACTGATAAAGAGGTTGGCTGCATAGAAGGAGCCCATGAATCGATTGTTTGGACAATGGCCTGGCATCCACTTGGTCACATCTTATGTTCCGGCTCTAATGATCATACATCTAAGTTTTGGACTCGAAACCGACCTGGAGATCTGATGAGAGACAAATATAATCTGAACACTTTACCACCAGGGGTTCAGGATGATCATGACTTAGAAGAACCAGCAGTAATACCTGGTATGGGTCCTGAAGATAAAGTAGAAATATTTTCATCAGATACTGACAAGGTTATTCCAGGTCTGGATTTGGATACTACATTTGTTCCAATGGAATTTGAGAAAAAAGTTAAGAAAGTACCATATAGTAAACCTATTCCAAGAAATTTCCAAGCTCAATGGAACCATGCTCCAACCTCTGATGAGACTGCCAGTGAAGTTTTAACTCAAGCACTTGTAGAATCTGTACCAGGAGCTATACCTCTTCAACAAATAACTCCATCAGCTATTTTTATCTATGGTAAACTGATTGGTGTGGAGCCTGGGTCTAAATTAGAAAAAGCTATATCTGATGGACCATTGGCATTAAAGAAATATATTGCATCAGGTGAAATAGAAGAATTACATGATGTAATGCCTCATTTAGAGGATGATGCAGATGAAGAAAACTTTCAACCATTTGAATATCCTGACCCTGAAAATGAAGATGCTCAAAATGAGGACAATAATGAAAGGGATGACTATGAAAATTACGATCAAGATAATGAATATTATAATAATGAAATGGATGTAAATGAACAAAACAATCAAGATGATGAGCAAGGTTTTAACAATGGACCTGATGCAAATATGGGTCCTATGAATAATATGCCACCACCCATGGGTAACATGATGCGACCACCGATGCCACCAATGGGAAATATGGGTCCAATGGGTGCTCGGCCTCCTATGGGTCCCATGCATCCAATGGGCCCACCAATGCATATGCCTCCGCCACCGCATATAGCTAACATGATGGCAAATATGCCACCACCTATGGGTGCAATGCCACCTATGGGCAACATGCCACCAATGAATAACATGCCACCACGTCCACCTTTTCCTGACAATGGATTTAATAAACCTCATTTCGATTCAGGTTATGATAATCAATCGCAATTCTCTCAAAATGACGATGAATATAATGAAGATGATTCGTCATTTGAACAGAATTATGATGACGATAATTATAACAATGAAGATGGCAATGGAGATGACGGATACAATAACAATATGCGAAATCAGAGATGGGATGGCGGTTTTAGAGGGCGCGGCCAAAACCGTGGCAGAGGTCGTGGCATGAATGGCCACGGTGTGAGGAACAACTGGAGAGGAAATTCTGGCTCTCGTGGTGCCCCTCGGGGACGAAGAGGGACGGGTGCCAACAGAAACTTCAGAAGAGGGGGCAAACCTGTCTCCAACTAGCGTACTGAACTTACCTATCTTGTTCCGAAAATTATAGACTTATTAATTTCTTACGTTATAATCCAGACTTTGCGAAGTGTTGCGAAAGTGCTAGACAATACAGTGATGTTGATGCAAAAGGTTGTACATAATTCTTATTTACGCCTTGTATTTTATTTTGATAAGCTAAACCACATAATAAAATTTATATTATGTCACAAAATTATAGGTTTTTGTACAGGTGTGTTGATACCTACCCATTTTGCTGTAAATATGGTAAGTTGATCAGTTTCTTTGTAAAGTATTTCCCTTAATCATTATATTTACATGTATTTTATTGTGGCATCAGGTAATAATTTGGTTAAGAAGACAAGAAACTACTATCACATCCAGTTGGGAGTCGGGAGCAGCCGCAGGTCGTACATTGTTTCTTCTTACGTCTGGCTGATATCCATCGTGCGATCACCTCGACTTCACCATTCTTATAGTAAGAGCCTGGTATTTTTTGAATTTGTTTTGTCAATAATAAAGAAATAAAGATTCTTGAATAAAGTTTTACCCGATTTCCGAGTGTAATAAAGAATATATAATAATAATGGGGTCGTAATAAATTTATGAATAAATAAATAACTCCCTGTCCAAGGGCCATCCTGTCCTTACATCTTTGTCGGTACATACAATTTCATTGTTTTAATTAGTTAGTTTTTTGCCCTGGAATTGTACCCTTTTTGTTATTTTGTTTTCTTTTTTAATGATGATTTAGGTATGTAGTTTCGGTTAATATTATGTGGCTGTGTTTATTTCACTGAAATCTATCTGGATAACATAAAAACATAATTAAAATGTGATTAACTCGTTTATGATGAATGTGATAAACACAGCATGATGTGATCGCATTTTGTCGAAATATGAAATCTTTTCGACTGCTGGAAAAACCCTTAGAACCAATACTACCTGTCCACACAAAAATTCGGAGGAATTACCACTTAATACTATTATGTATTGTATATGTAACCTTTGATTATTTAAAGATCATTTCGTTTTGGCACATGCACTTTTTCTAGTAAAAAATTCTCTGAATAGTAAGATTTTTCTTTTCATTCAATGAAAAGGTGTGAGAGGTTCCGGTAACAAGAACTGTTCTGCTTCAACTACTCATGTTCAAAACCTATTCATATCTACACATCTAGTACCTTCACCATATTTTAATTTTATTGCTGTAATCAAAGGCTCCTTTTATAATTACTTTCTCGATGACCATTTATTAGATGTTTACTTACTATTTACACAAATTAACTTACCACCAAATACCAGCAGATATGTAAATTCTGTTATCCTTTACTTAAATGGCTCTAAAATAATGTGGAAGCCAAGAGTTATTGCAGTTTCTAAGCATCGGACATAGGCAATGTTTTCTATCAGAGTAGGAATTATATAGTCGACTTTTTATCGGCTGATCGTAGAATATACAGTAGGTACTATACAGCTATGTACTGACACCTGCACTCACTACACACCCTTTCCCTTGGACAAACGCCGGACTCGGGTATTATATTTCAACTAAGTAACTCTAGAAATACTGAATGCTACAACGATGTTAAATTAATAAAATTTTGAAAATTTAAAGGGTTTCATTTGATACCGTCATCAACCTACATTAATAAAGAATTGTTGAGAAACAAAATGTAGTTTTAATTATTCTTTTTTTTTACTTTTGCCCTGATTTTTCCGCATGACGCCAACGTTCAACATTAGTTTCTTTTGTTCCAGATGACCCCTTGGCGATGGTTGAGTGGGCTATTACTAATATTAGCATGTCGAGCAAGCCAATTCGACAGCGGTGTCGACAAAAACGCTATAACAGATATGAGCGACAATGCTACAGAACGCCTTGAAAGAATTAACGGCACACCAAATTATAGACTGATTAAGCCAGACAAAAATACACCGTGGTTCCCGGAGCCGCAAATAAAGCTCAAGAGCTGCGTGAGAGAAGCCCGATGTGAAACACTTAACAAGACGAGTTGCTTGGGAACGAAGTTGCCCTACGACAAGACAAGCGTTCATCTTACATTTTTTGAAAATCAGTACCAAATACAGACGCAACTGGAACTCTATAGAGAACTGATAAATGTGCCAAATTGCTGGGCCGTTATACAGCCTTTGCTATGCGCCACTTTCATGCCCAAGTGTGAAAGAATTTTAGGCCGCGACATGGTTTTTTTGCCCTCCTATGAAATGTGCAAGATCACAATGGAACCATGTTCAATATTATACAATACCTCATATTTTCCGTCCTTTTTGAAGTGCAATGAAACGTTGTTTCCACCAAATTGCGAGAATACAATGAGAGAGCTGAAGTTTAATACAAGTGGAAAGTGTCTACCACCCCTGATACACACCGATAAACCTCTGCATTTCTATGAAGGTGAGATTTTTAATTTGTGATTTACTCATTACTAAATGGTAGCGATCTAACAGTAGAGTCACTGCTAGATCTACTAAAGCACAAATAAAATATGTGATTTTGAAGCCATCTAAAAATTTGATATGGATCACACAAAGAAGTAGAAGAAGCAGCAAATATTCCAATTTTTGTCTGTTAACACTTCTTCTCTTAGCATTGTGATACTTTTATAGACTAATATAATTTATATCTTTCTTTAGGCATATCAGGGTGTGGGTTGCCCTGCCGAGATCCTCTGTACACTGAAGATGAACATCAACAGATACATAGACTAGTGGCCTGGGGAGCCGGAATATGTCTTGCATTGAATCTGCTGACCGTCGCCACCTTCTTAATAGACTGGCGGAGTGCTAACAAATACCCAGCACTGGTAATCTTCTATATTAACGTGTGCTTCGCTGTCGCTTCCATGGGGTGAGTAGAAAGTTAAACAAATATTTTAAGGAAGCAAAGAAGCTGGCATTGAATTCAGTACTAGTTCGATCCCTAGCTGATATGACGATAAGCTGTGACGAACACTAGTGTTTTTAAAATTTATTATCTTGAAACATATGAAATGTGTCAAAATATGTGCCACTTTTACTGGCACTCACTTATGAGGTGTTGTGACACAGCCGGGCCCAAAAACTACATTTTTATTAATACTCCTAACTATATTGTGTCACTTTTCTTTCAATGATGGCAAACAAGGATATATGATTCAAATCATAATTTTATTATCTCATTGTTATATTATAATATGTTCCACTGTGATGAATTCATATTGTATATAAGATTAGAAAGGCCAGCATAAAAACCATAATACAAGCTATAATTAGTTATAGCGCATATATTACAGAGAACAATAATATACAGAAGTTGTTTCATAAAATTGAGCAGTGGCTAGTTGTGATTACTTACTGCTTTCTTATGCTAAACCTTTGCAGTATTATGTATTTATAGAACTAGTACACATATTTTTAAACTTTCGCGTTCCATATTAACAACATATATTTATTTACGCGCGTATTAACGCGGACAATTATTATTTGAATAAATTGGTAGGTCGTGGTCACAAGCAATACCCGCGTAAATATTAAATGTTGTTAGTACACATATGTGGGCAAAATTGTAACAATAATCATTTCCATGTTATGTACCTATGTTCTTTAGCCTAAGTGGTATTTAAGGTCTCTGACTCTCCTAGATCACAATACGATTTATGATTTTATATCTTATTGTAGATGGCTGATTCAATTTGGTGTGGGATCCAGAGACGACATAGTCTGCTCTAAGGATGGTACCAGACGACAAGGCGAACCTTCTGCTGAAGAGAATTTATCCTGTGTCGTCGTTTTTGTTTTGGTAAGTGATGACAATCTATTTCTTAAAGATAGGATAGAATACCTAACTCAAAAATCACTCCAAATCTAAAATAACACAAAACACTCTTTTCGCTTCGCTGTTCTTTCTTTTTGAGATTTGCTTTGTTTTAGTGACTCACAGGCAGACTAATCAGAGGTTAACTTACACTGCATGTACACCATTTAGATGGAGGTTAGATGGGTGTGCATAGTTTAGTAAAAGCCTTTGACTGCCATAGGTCACCATTTACTTGTGGCCGTTCACTTGATCAGTTTTCTCCAATAGTACCTCAAAGGTTTTGTGAAAATTAAAAGTATTTTGTTTGTTAGGTATACTACTTCATGATGGCAGCCTGTGTGTGGTTTGTTATATTTACATACGCGTGGCACATGAGCTTCCGAGCGTTAGGTAAGTTATTATTATCTTTGTCATATAAGGGATTAGTTGAGTAAAAAACTAGGGTTACTCTAACTTTATTTCCTGGCGAATATTAATTAATCTTTCTTAACGTATGCAACTTGCCTTCTTAATAAAATAACTATGCAATTATGTTGTTATAATTATTTAAAGAATATGGGTACTTACACAAATAATTTTATCTTTAATCTTAAATTTCATTTACCAGGAAAAATCCAAGACCGTATAGACAAAAAGGCGGCGTACTTTCATCTAGTGGCATGGTCGCTGCCTCTAATCCTCACTATAGCGACGATGGCATTCGGCGAAGTGGACGGCAGTAGTGTCACAGGCATTTGTTTCGTGGGCTACGAGAACCATCCCATGAGAGCCGCCTTACTTCTAGCTCCGCTCTCTGTTGTGCTCGCTTTAGGCGGCTATTTTCTTCTTAGAGGTATGAACAAATTAAATTATTTATGAATTTTATTTCTGTAACAAGTGCATTAATGTTTACACATTCATTTGTCCTTTGTAATGTCTTCTGCATAGTTGGCCAGACTCCAGAATGGAGTTTTTTATGCTGTGCATTTTATAAACTATTTTAATATTTAAACTAACTGAGAATATTTAAAGCCAAATTCAAAAGGCTAAATTTATCTTATTTTAAGCTTCGTTTCACATTACAGGAGTATTCTCCCTGATCGCGGTGCGCGTCTCTAGCAAAGATGTGATATCACCGCGGGCTGCAAATAAGATCCGTCAAACTATAACTCGGTGTTCCCTCACTGCGGCGCTGGTTGCAGTCTTTATATGTGTCACCTTCGCCTGCCATATTTACGAGTTCAGGAATGCTGACCTGTGGAAGGATTCCTTTAAGAAGAATATCATGTAAGTAATGCAATGAAATGACAAAGTCAAACACTTCAGTATTACATAAAACTTCTGAACTAGGAACTGTTGCATTCTGGGAACTTTTCGAAAGTAGTTTATTCATTATGAAACTGATCATTCATTTGTTTCATTGTTTATGATATTTTAATTTCCATATTTAATCCTTTAGATGCCGCCTCGAAGCTTTGAAGGCGACAGACAAGGAGTGTTCGTCGGGTACTCGTCCATCAGTGTCAGTGTTGCAGCTCCGGCTGCTTTGCTGCTTCGCGGCGGGCGCACTCATGGCGTCCTGGACCTGGACCCCGGCTGCCGCGGCCGGCTGGAGACGCTATTTAGCAAGGTGTGGTACTTTGTTAAAGTTTACGTTATGAGTCAGGGCTGACTTGCTGGTTGTGTGGTTCAAAGTGATCGCCAAAAAGAAATTAGGTTTTATTGATCAAGTCGTGGATAGGTACAGATAAGATATTTTTATTAAATACTTATTGATTTACATAATTATAGAAAAATTATTATAAAATATAATTTACACCCAAATACAGGAAATGCGGCTGTTCGGTAGAGGCTGAGGTGACGCGTCGAGCGCGCAAACATGAATTGATAGCGCGTGCATACCGGCGCCGTGGGGAATTCGCCGCGAGGGGCAGACTGTCTATATCACTAGGCGGCTCTAGGCAGGACCCAGTAGGCCTTTGTATCGATCCTACCTCTCCCGCTGATTATCCAGATGATGCTAAACATGAGAGGTAAGTGTAGATGTTCTTTTTTTATGTGATAGGATAGCAAATGAGCATACCGATTTCCTGATGGCAAGCAATCGCGGCCTAGAGCAATAGAAGGAATAGGTGGTTTTTAGTCAGTGAGAGTCTGACACTCCCTCCCGCGCCAACCTGGGCGGGAGAAGTCATTTGATGACTTTCCCCTCACCAAAAAAAGCCTCACTCACACGGCAAAACACAACGGTGTGGTAGTTGCATACCGGTTTTCTTTGAGGCCGTGGTATAACTTCGGTCGAGCCGACCCATTCATGCCGAAACTTGGATCTCCCACACCTAAAATTATCTTATAAACATCTAAGAAATGTAATAATTCCATAACTTATTTATAATACTACAAAAGACATTGTGTCTAAGTAATGCGTATATTTTTCTTCTTCCTGATATTAGTAGTATTTTTGTTTCCTTTCCTTTCAGTGGAGAACTTTCGTCATCGTGGGCAGCGACCCTGCCTCGCTTCGTTCGACGTCGCGATGCTCTAGTGTTGCCGACACACACTCATCATTCACTCAGCTCCACGCCGGACCGTCGCAACTCACAGGACTCGCAGATTAGTATTAGCCTACGTCATGTTTCAGTAGAGTCTCGACGAAACTCGCTCGACAGCCAGCTGTCTGTCAAGATAGCTGAAATGAAAACAAAGGTGGGGCGACGCCGACCCAAGCATAGCAAGGCTAAGCGCAAGGCCCGCGCCGCTAACACTCGCAAAGAAAGCACGCCTTCTATCGAGAGCCAAATAAGTCGCTACTGGCTGCAGGCTGTAGCTGCCAACAATGATCCGTCCCGAGAGGAGGTCAAATTCAGCTTCGACTGATACGAGCCATATCGTGATATATATCCAAATTTGCAATTCATGCATTGAAACGTTGATACTTATTATGTTAAGTGAATTGTTTACTTATAATAATTTACACAAACTAGATATAAGGAAAAATGTTCAAACTAAGATTGCATACAAGCAAGGGATGGGTGTGATTTGTACTTGAAAATGATTCACAAAGGTTTATATGCGTGTCAAAATTTCGTTGTTTTGTAAACTTGTACAAAGCTCTATTTATTATTCTGACATTAGATGCAAGCGTATCGCACTCCGTTGCTGACGCCCATGCCCATAGGATTGCTAACTATGTATATTGAAATAAGCGCAATTGCACTTGTTGCTGTTTATTATTTTAAGGATACATTTTGAGTTGAGCAAATTTATTCGTCATTTATCATTGAATATAAGGAAACAAAGACTGATCAGAATCTCGAAGGAGTAATGTTTTATATTTCTCCTGTTTAACAATATCCATGACAATGCATTTTTGTGATATCCATGACCTCGACAGTACATGTGCCATAAAACTAGCTCTTCATTATAGTTCATTGGATTTGACTGAAATATTTTTTAGCTTGTAAGAATCAAGTTTCTTATCATACAACTGTTATATTAAATATTTGAATGTAAAAAGCAATGTTGTAATGTTGAAAGTTGGATGTTTACATTTTTTACTAATATATTTTTGGGCAATAAGAATATGTTGCTTGTCCATGAAACTATGTACAAGATACGGTTGTGATACCAGTTTTTATTGTGAGGCTATATTTTGATGAAATGGGCAATTACATCGCCACTTATTTTTAATAAGTATTTTGTATTAGAGTTGATCTGCAAAATTATGCACCTGGCAGCTAAAATAAGACTCACTTTTGTATTTTAGACATGTATTTGATTTTTGGAGGAATCTCATATTAATTATCACCGATTTTAAAAGTGATAGGTGAGATTTGTTCTTTGGTAACAGTAGTTTAAAAGTTATCAGGATTGTTACCTAACATACTGTGGTGGTAAAGATTGTATCCACTCCTTTGATGTCTTTACTGTTGCTACCCAGCAACCTAGATCGTGTGGAGCCACAGAAAGTTGTGTTTTGTTTCCTGTTTACCTCTTGACATATGTTACTTTTGGGAGCTTTACTTCCAGAAATAGTCATTATTACTAAAACATCCTTCTAGACACCTAGAGGATACATTTGGTAGCCGTTTACTTATTTTTATGTATATTTATTCTCTGTCAACAAAGGTTTCACCTGCTTTTTCAGAGTATTAAGTCTGTGCTAGCTTTAAATTTTGATATTAATTTTGCATAAGTTATACTTTTACCAATAATTAAGTAAACTTTAATTGTACAATAAAAAATAATTATTTGCTAAAACTGATTTTTCATACCTTTTTCCCACCATTTACCGGTATTAAATCTCCTCCGCATAGTAGGCAGATGTTCAGTAAATAAAACAATCGACTTGTTTATCCATTTACCATTTAATTGAGAACGAAAGCAAGCAACTTAATGTTCCAGAAATACTCTTATTACCTTTTAACGAATGTCATGTATTTTATTTACTAGTGATAAAATCTATAGTAAATTAAAATATTAATCAAATCTATAATACCTATTGTACAAGATTTGTATAACTATTGGACGTTAACAATGCTATAAAAATAGCTTATTATCACTGCTTCCGCATTCCCTAATAAAAAGAAGCAAGATAAGGTGCAACAACAATTAATTTGCATATATTTGCTCTAAAGTAAAATAATATAAGTATGTAGTATATAAAATAATTATTATGAACAGCCATCCCATTCGATATTTTAAGGTAAAAGTTGCTTGTTTGATCTCTCCAATTTGACATTAACGGAAAAACATGCTGATGTACATGTTTTTGAAAATTTCAAAGTGGAAAGAGTAGTTTTTGTATGATTAGCATAAATTATCGAATGGATATTATGCGTTGTCTTCACTATAAGGTACATTTATAATCACAGATGCAATTTTATTTATGATTGGCAAGAATAAATCATGTACAATCTAAAACAATTTAAAATACAGGTCATTTTCATTATTCGAGTAAAAACAAATAACAGTCGAAGATAAATATTTTAAGTTAGTACATATTGCACGTTAATTAATGATTTACACTTTTTAAGTAGGTACCAGTGTTCCGTGAGTCAGACAAGGAAAGCCACATTGTGGCTATTTGTGTAACTAACCCGATAGAGGTAATTATTGTCATTGTTATCATTAAAATTTATCTTCAATTGTGATTTGCAACAATTTATTTCCCTGTTGTGCGAAAGTTAGTAATACTTTGGTTTGAAGACATTCTGACTTGTATCGTCATGCTTATCCAGACAACAGTGTTAGAAATGAAGATGTTAAAATTTGGACCTTATGATTGAACTAAATATTTTATCATAGCCATAATAATTAAGTAAAAATGCTGACCAGCATGCATAGTAAAAATCACAAAAGATAGGAAAACAATACCAAAAGGAACATAATAATTTTAAATATTAAAAATTATTACTAAAGCAGCGTGGAATGTAATCGCTACTATTATGCTTACTTCTAAAGTCAAAATTGCACGATTTTTAAAAGGAAACTCGATCTTTGGTGCTTACAAACTAAATATAAAAAATCACAATCTAGAAAATAAATTCGGTTTAAAACCTAGCAAATAAAAATGTAAGTACAACCAAGACATAACAAAATAATATTAAAAAAACAAAACATTAAAAGAAACCTTAAAACTATGTGCGAACTTATACCGTTTCAACGCAACTTGCGAGTAATGTGCACACACTAGCTACTAGGTATACACAATAGCTACTGTAACCTATATGAGCTACCTCGTTCTTGACGACAAATAATAAAATAAGACCTATCTAAATAGTAACAAAATTATCTAGTAATAATGTCATATCACACGATCACAGCAGTCTTTCCTACGATGTCCTAGCCTTGCGTATATTCTTCTTTTCTGCGTCAGTGAAGCCCAGAATGTTCTCGATGGCATTAAGGTGTCCCTGATGATTCTCGGGATCAGTTAGGAAGTAGTAGATGGCCGATTTTAGGAACTGCAATGTCACTTCTGGATCTACATTGGTCTTGCTACCCTTCTGCGACTCGACAATGCGACGGTACATTGCCTGCAAAAAATAAAAAATGTAAGATTTCTTCATTATTTTGTTGCCTTAGGCATGCACAGGAACTAAGGTCTGACAAATCTTTTTTGATTTCTACTCCTACAAGGTTTGTTATTCAATAGCTACGAAGTTCGTTTATAATTAATTATAATGTTAGTCACAGTCCAATGTGTCAATAATATTTCGTAGTAGGCTCTTTCAATAGCGTGTAATCGTGGTTCGTGCGGGCTGTAATAAGCAGCGTGAAATATGGAAAGATGAATTAAGATTTAAACCTGATTGCATCAGTCAAAAAAGATTTGTGTGAAATGTAGAAAGACAACACAATAAGTATCCATATACTAAAATAATAAATTTATTATTTTAGTAAATACTCCGGAGCAATAAATTAAAACTGAAATTTTCACACTAAAATACATAATTAGGTACTACAACTACAAAACTTTAATACTACAATATACACAAGGCAGCTGTATCCATTGGATAGTTTATACATGCAAAGGCAAGAAGTTATTTATTGATTTGTATCATCATCAGCGTTTTCACTAAGCATTGTATTTACCAATTAATTCAGCTGTCTTCTTTACACATAAAACTTATAAAATAATGAAAATACCTAAGTTCCCAAACCAAAAGAGGCTGTTTCAACCAAATAGATAGGTCACATGCGAAGCCAAAGTTAGGCCAGAAATAAAAATCAGAAAAGGGTTAGTCATACATCAGTAAGCTATGCTAAAGAAAGTGAATTAGTTGTAAGCATTCTATAAAAACCACTACTCAAAAACTACTTACAAAAGAAAAGAAACCTAAACCAATAAAATGTACCAAAATATACAAATTCCAAATAAGAAGCCTACAACAAAAAAACATTTAGGTCCAAACACCTAAATTTTACACTCAAAATTCCAGATGTAACCAACATTGTAAACAATATTAGAATTAAAGTAAGACACAGATTTTTCTTATCTGTGTAGTAAGCAGGGTGTAATATACAAAATTAAAAAATAAAAGGTGTTTCAGCAGAGCACTGCTATGTCTGGAATAAAAATCCAACCTTTCGAGCTCCTAGGACCCATAAAGAAACAGCCTCCTTTGCACTTAGCAGTACTTGTGACTTTGCTGATCGGTCCTCTGTGAATGCCGTGTCCTGTAATGCACTACACGTTAAAGCTGGCTCATGTTAATGGGCACTACATGCACACACTAACACTAAAACCGTGAACAATGCTGTGGGTTAATTTTAGATCAAAACTGTTAATTAACTTCTGAATGGTGAAGTCTCCAAAGTCTAAAGGTCTTATTAGTTATATTTGAAAATGTTAGAATTTGAGAATGATTCAAGAATAGGATAGTGAGCATGTTGAAGTTCAACGGAAAAAATACATTTCACAATGAAATGATAGGATGAGTGTTTCTGGATTATTTTTCATTGTGATTCTAAGTGTTGCAGTTAACAGTTATAAATGGAACTGTATACTTACTCGAACTTTCTCGAGCTCGGTCTGAGTTATCTGCAACTGCTCCAGTAGTTCCTCCACAGACACGCGGTTTATTTGCCCCTGTGAAGTACCAGGCTCATTATCCTGTGAATGTTAATGTTAAATATATATTTTCAATTCAATGAGAAAAAGTCATGTTTAGTCTGGAGTAATATTGTTAATGCCTACAAAAATATGCTTAAAGTATCCGTACCAAACAAATTGGTCTATTCTGATATATTATAAGCAATTTCAGTTATTAAAAATAACTTTGTGTCGATAGACTACTTCATTTATTAATAACTCATTTCAAAATTAAAGATATTATAATAAATTTGAACAAAGTGCTACCTAAATAATCTCTATGGATTTTATGTCCAAAATAAAAAAGATTTGGTTTGATTTGCTTTTGATAGTCTGAATTTGATTTGATTATGTATTGTTTAGTTAATTAGAGTACTAAAGGAAATGTATTACAGAAATTTTAAAGTTACCTTATCCAGCTCAAACTTGGCAGCTTCAACCCCCTTGTTGTACATTTGTAGATAGATGGAACGGTGCCTGGCCTCCTCCTCTTGCAACTGCTTGCTAACTTCTTCTAGCTGCTTCTCTAGAGAGTGAATCCTCTCTTTTGCTTGCTCATAGTTGGGTAGTAACTCACAGTATCTTGTGTTTACATCTGCTAACTTTTGTAACAATGCTTCCACTTTATCATTATGCTGCTTTTTCATTTCTTGTGTCTCTCCAACATGTGCTCTAACAACATCTTCTACTTTCTTCTCATAATATGATATCAAACTGCGACGCTCCTCATCTCCATCACCCACATCAGTCATACAGGACGCCTCGTGTGTCAACATGTGTACAGACTCTTTAGAATGTAATGATGAATTTGTAAGGTCATCAAAATGTCCTGAGTCAGTGAATGAACCTTGCATTTCATTGCGACATCTGGTTGGTGTTTCATTTTTGAACATTGGACTATCTGTGATGTCATATGATCTACAATCATCTCCATGTTTTGGGCTGTCATGTTCAATGGAAGTTTCATCGGCATTTTCCCTTATTGTAACTATTTCACTTGAGTTGGATTTTTCATCGGGTGAACATATTGATGCCTTGTAAAGTCGCAATTCCACAACTTCTTTTGTGAGTTGGAATATTTCACTATCTTTTTTCTCTAAATCTTTTTTGGCTTGATTGAGGAGATTTTTCAGTCTCCTTATTTGTTTTTGTGCCCTTTGAGTTGGTGTAAGATATTCCTCTCCAGCAAGTCCTGCATGTGATGAGCAGTGCAGTACATAACGCATTGATCTTCCACTGAATGTTGTGCCATTGAATGGTGCATAGCCTGCATCAACAGAAGCAGCTGTTGCAGCACTTCCATAACTGTGAAGTGATTCATCATCAGGGAGATCTTCTGGAGAGCCAGGTGGAGTGTGAGCAGAATCAGTCATACTCAACTTCCTATCTAGACCAGTCTCTTGTGGTTTCAAGCAGGATTTTTTTGGCTTTTGTAGAGGGTTTGAATTAAATGACTGAAATATGAAAATAGTTTTGTCAGCACAAGGTCAAATAAAAATATTTGGTTGGTTGAAACTACTGTTAGAACATTTGAAAACAATTTATGTTTCTTGTTATTGTTTTAACTCGGCATTGTTTCAAGACACTTATGAAGGCGTTAAAATTAACGATACCGGTCCATTTAACCTCAACTAAAAACAAAACAGAAGACCATCAAAACAAAAGCTGTGTAGATAAATGTGTTGGTTATTTATCATTTTTTAAGTAGTATTAAAACATATTTATGTATGTGTTTGTGGCTTGGCTACAGTCGCTATGGTGATGTTTAAAAAATATGGAATATATCTGAGTTGATGGCTACTTACATGACTTCGCTGGCGATGGCCAGGCTCTTGGAGTCGTGGCACATCGCTGCGTTGTTTTTGATGTGTATTTTCCGTGATTATTGGTATTAATTTCCTGGTTGCCAAAGGCGAGCGCTGCACCATTTTCTCCCCGCGCAGCCGCAATGAAGAGCTGCGCCGGAAGTTCCCGGTGACATTACCCGCGCAGCAATGTTCATCGTGGAAGTCAGCGACCCTTCTACTATAATTCCTGTTCATTTTCTTCAATTATTCACATCAGCGTAGCGTACTAAAAGAAAAACAGCTGTTTTTGAAACTCGCTCACGCACGCAAACACTCCTTATGATGGTGTAACGAAACGTAGATTGGAACTTAAAATGTCATTTCACTACTTTTTCAGCATTCAGCGTTATCAAACAATTGCTACGCCAAGCGTTCGTATAGTCTGCAAAAATGTATACAAGTACATACATAGGTTACGCTATGAACAGAGATTATATACATTCAAAATATTGACGTCCTTTTAAATAAGTAGTGAATTGTTTGTAATTCAGTAAGTAGCTAAGTATAATAGTACAAACACTGGGTTAAAAATAAAATTATTAATTAATTACCTACGCTACAGTATCTAAGTGACAGGCGCTTGAAGATAAGTACTCTACTTGTGTGTGATTATTCGTTTTGTTTAGCACAGACTGCCTATTATCTACTAATTATTATTAACTACCTACCCACCTCCACAATTTTATATTTTTTGCAGTTTTATTTTACAATAACACTTTGAAATAGCACACGTGTAATCGTCTTAGCGTCTCAGATGTGTATGATATATTAAATGTATTTAAACTGCTGACAATGAGACGGAATGATGCCACCAAAATAACAGCTAAAACAATATTTGTTCAAACTCGGAGACAGACAGTACTACCAATGTTCAATTTAAACTTTGTTGTACCTAAATGTACATAGGTACCAGGTTATATGTGGATACTAAGTTGAGATATTCCCAGCACTTTTAATGCCTTACTGACATAAAAAACACAAAGCGCTCGAGTAATTTCCCAGGCCTCTAAAAGTGGCCTAGTTCCCGCATTCAACGTGAAAACTGTCCTTCGCAAATATTAACTGCATGCACGTAGCGCAACGCGTTTAGTTGACTAGGTACCTGCTTCCTACATTTTTTATAGGTATGTAACGGTACTTACTTATTTACATAGCAAAATCGATGTACCTAACTAAGTTTGATCAACAATGCGAATTATGAAAAGTAAAGTTTAAACCGGTGCTATAGATATTACCTTAAAATACGAATAGGATATTTTAATATTATTATTTTTTAACTATTATTATGTAATTAAAAAAAAATCCAAAGGCTCGGCTTAGATAGACTTTAGTTTAGTTGTTGGTTTACAAAAATATTTAATAGCAGATAAACATGTTTATGATTTCGTTTCATGTATTTTGTTAACCTGGTCGGTGTTTATTTAGGTATATGTCTGTAATCAAATCATCCAAAAAAAATTTTGTTCCATTTTCTGTCAAGTGATTAAGCTAAAATATTTGCATTTGGTATCCCAAATTCACATGCAACATTGTGGTGGCATGGTGCTCCCGATTTACGGGGCAAGCGTAATATAAGGCACTGCGGCCTCGGCATAGAGCAGGAGAAGGAACGGGGTGGGTTTTTAGTCAGTAAGAGTCTGACACTCCGTCTCGCCTCGCTATGGGCGGGGGATGTTATTTGATGACATTACTTATCCCCGCACTATTAAATATGTGATGGTTTGATGATGGAACTAGTAGGTGGCTAAAGGATGGCTTTCGCGATGTATTGGTAAAACCTCATGATTCTTAAGAGTACCTAAGTGGTCAATGGTATGTAGGGTTTAAGAATTCAGTAGTTAAACATTGATATGTCGTTATTTGATTCAGTTTTCGAATGAATGGATTTAGTAGATTTTCCATTTACGCAGGAACTCCGAAATATAAACTCCTCGGGTTGAACTTGTGTTATTTGTGTTGGCAATAACATACGCATTGCAAAAAAGTATTTTCATAACATTGCACTTTGTAACTTTGGAATATCTCATAAATTGTTGTTGATTGTTTCAAGATTGTTAACCATACGACTTTAGCTTTAAGATACATTTTATCCGGTTTAGTTAAATAAAAATAAAGTCTTCAGGTTTGTCAAATTAGCATACGATAACCTTGAGAATGTACTTAATGTTTGGAACGCATGAAAAAAAAACTCAGATAGTAGGTACCTACTTTGTGGTGATGGTGGTTGTGAGGATTTTTATATTTATACCTACACACTAATTATTAAAAAATACTCTATTACATTTACATGCATATAACGATTAGTGGCGTAAGACGATAAATAAATAAAATATTCAAGATTCAAGTTTATTATTTGACTTTTTCAGAATTTGTACTTTTTTATGTGATATGTCGGGGAACGAGCAGACGGATTACCTGCAAATGGGGTTACGAGTGCGTTGCTGGCCTTTTCGAATAAGAGTTTTGAGAATTGTGGAGGGTTGTGGAGAAGGATGATTGGGTCTCCGAAAACCTTGCTCACACGGCAAAACACAACGCTGGGATTGTTTGACGCCGGATTTCTGTGAGGCCTTGATATCACTCCGGTCGAGCAGACCCATTCGTGCTAAAGCCTGGCTCTTACACACTTTGAAAGTGATTAAGTATATCTATTGTTTTCCTACCTAGCCTACCTACGAATAAGTTTACAAAAGTAGGTCTCTCTACATGAAAATACACAAATCAGGTACAAAGTCGTTAGTGGTATTACATTTAGGTATTCAAAGTGAGTGCCAAAAAGTCTGTTTGAGCTACAGTTAATACTTGTGGCCGTTCCTGGCACTGCATGTTACATTGTTACCGGATAGCCTAAAAATCGAACTTGGTTGTAGGTATACTATTTAGCTTTTTCTGAGGTTAATTCATGGTTTGCATCGCGCAGTGCAAAGCAGCAGTACCTAAAGTGAAAAAAGACAAGTATCTATATACTTATGTACCTACGTTAAATTCATCCATACTCTCTTTTTAAAACATGATTTTGTTTAAAAAAGGAGGAAAGTAAAGAAGGGAATGCCGCCTTAAACGTTAGGTCTGGAAATTGCTAGTAGTGGGTCAAGGGCATTATGGTACAGCGACCTCAGCCTGGACCTGGAGAAAGAGTATTTGATGATTTTCCCTCCACAATAAATGGCCTGGAAATTACTCGGAAAATGATACGTTACGGGTATACTTAGATAAAATATGAACTGCCTGTCTGGTTACTTAAGTGCCTAATCTAATAAACTTTAAACCATGTTAGAACAGAGCATTGAATTTAAATTAAAAGTCATTTAGCTTAACTGGCTCCTAAGAAGAGAACTGAATAATCTGTTTCTAAACACTTTGTTAGGTAGTTACAATAGTTTCCCTATTCGGCATAAAATTCGCAGTGCAGTAGTTATGTAATCAATCAATCAATTTAGTATGCCCGCAGTGCTACGGCATTTTATTAATATCTATAATGTACTTCAGGAACGAGATGATAATGTTATAGGGCGTAGTAAAGTGCTACGCTTTGCCACGCAGTGACTACGCATGTACAACTTCCCTACCTATTTAACTTTTGATATTAGGTATTATAAAATATTCTATGTAGGTATTTATTTATATAGGCACAGATATTTAGATTATATATCTGTATTATGCAAGGCATATGTAATAAATTTACAATTGATATCTTCGGTAGAAGACAATACATATACAAATTAATCAAGCGAGTTTATCAATGTTTTTTTCCTTTTGTTTACTCGGGTACTGGGTATCGGGTATCGGGTATCGTGTACTCGGGTATCGGGTAATACCTTCAAAAGGCACCTAGCGTTTTTGGGCGAAAGACTAGGTAGTGTGGAATTTTAACCCTCACTAAAAATACCCCCAGCACTTGGGAAGGGCACCGGGTTCTGTTTTATTCATAGTCATACTCAGCAGCTCGGCGAAGACATTTTAGTGTTACAGATCGACAAGCCCAATTACATTGCTGTAGTAAACAATAAGCATAGAATTCACAAATTCATGTGCATATTTCATATAGCTACTTAGTTGCCGATTAATTAATAATTGTGTCAACACGAACTGTGATTAAGTACCTACTCTCGAGAAAAAGTAAAGACCAAAAAAGCGTCGTGAGCATGAAAGTTTTTGCTAATAAGCTATTATTTGTAGTTGATTAAGTCGAAAGATTGATCATCTGTGGTAAGTAAATAATTAAAAAAAATTAAATAGGCACTGAGCACGCACGGCAAACTATAAACTCATTAATTAATTTGTCCCCGAGGCAATTATGAGACGCTTTTTAATGGTTTTATTAAAAATGTTAAAATCTTTTTTTTATTTAAATTTCGAATTTCGTATACGCGTATTCAAAATGTGACGGGTAGTGTTGGTATAATCTACATTTATGGTAACGTTACTGCGGCATACAGCTGTCCTGCCAATTGTGGAGTTACTTCTAGTAAAGAGACACCTACCTAATATATTCAACTTTACTTTTCCCAGTTCTTCCAGTTCCAACTTTAAAATCAAAATAAAAAAGCAAATCATAGGTAAGCATTGGCAACACCTCTGCTTAAGTAAAACCATAAAACGCCTCGTTGATCGTCGATCTTTTGTTAAGAAATTAATTACATTTTTGACACGTTAGCGTAATATTGAGTAATGAAATAACTTCGTAACCCAGTTAACAGCGTATTTGCGAGCCACAGCGAAAATATTGCAACTTGAAGCATCGTCAAACTAAATTAATGTATAATCAAGTGGATAGGTAAGTGTGCTAGTATATTTTTTGACACGAAATATGCATAGTACAGTTTGAAAACTAAAATATTAAAATTTTCCGTTTAAAAATAAATAAACGAATTCTGTATGGTGGTGACGTGGTTTATTTTATTAAAATTATAAATACTATGTAGCTGATACAGATAACTCTATACCACGTCTTAAACCATTATACACCTTTTAAACCATTCTTGAACTTCTACGAATATATCTCAAGGTTACAATTAGTCAGATCATGAGAGCCGTTTTCGAGAATGGCGTTTAGCGAGACTAACAAACAACAAGAATTTTTTTAGATAAGAAAAAAATTAAGAATAGTCTTCATTCGAGAGCAATGTGTTGTTAATCAATAGAATTTCTATATCTTTCTGAAATGTTATTTTTTTATGAAATAGGAAGCAAACGTGCTGACATAACGCCTGATAGTACCTGACCGATTCGCCCCAGCTTATTAAGACTCGCAGCACCAGCGGAGTAACAAGTGCGTTTTCGGCGTTTTGATGAGACGAGGCCTTTTATTTTCTACTAATTATCCTCAGAACATTATATTTACGCGGGTATTAACGCGGAAAATTATAATTTGAATACCTTGGTAGGCTTGACGTTTCGACCCGGTTGCACAGGTCGTGGTCACAAGCAGACTGAAGACGCGATGTCACAGCTCCCTGCATTCGGGTGATGAATCTTCATCTACCCCCTTATTTTCATTTTCTACCATATTAGGCCGTCTACACACTACGCTGATTATATCCGCGTTAATACCCGCGTAAATATAATGTTCTTAAGATGAAACGCGAAAGTTTAAAAGTTAGTATAATTATCCTCATTCACTATACCTTATTGCTTAGAGATCAATAAGTAGGGCGTCAGCAGAATGACGTACGATAGTTGCTGATTTCTAAATCCTTATACACTGACATCAATCAACTTTTTCACTGGACCTGTGTATATATACGTGTCGATATATGTGTTGTATACTTGTGACTTGCATTTCCATTAACGTTTTAATCGTTTCCTGCGAATTGT